GCAAAGCTTGGGCAACGACGGGATCTCGAGCTCCTTAGGCGGAAGGGAACAAAGACTGCTTGCATTGTTCCCAACGTGTATCCTGCTGCAGGTGCGCTGCGAAAGGTCTTATGTGCTACTGCACCCGTGCATCCGCCACGAATGCGGCCACCCGCTTGGGCGCGCAACCAGCAAAAGGTCCAGGACGCGCTCACCAGAGGCTTTTATTCTTATCCAGACAAGGGGCCGCACTGGAATTAAAACGTGGCCAGATATCAGGGGCGTGTGATCCCTGCGGCAGGACATTCTCTGCTGCATGTTCCCGGACCTGATGCGCAACTGTGCTGGCGAGGCACGTGTGTTGGTCCGGCATACAGGGAGAGCGGCAGCAACCGCATGTTTTCTCAAGTTCCTGGGCTGAGGTGATCGCCTGGCTCGAATCCCAAGTGCTTTCCCCGAACGACTTGCAGGCGTTCGGACTGGGAAGTCATTCAGGCATTCCCACATGGTGAGAACAACCAGTGTTTGTTTGTGCCAGGTGATCTCGCAGTCGTGGCAAAATGTCCGGAGTCTGGCGGTGGATTTCAGGGCGCTGTTATCTTTCAGTTGCCAACGCGCTCTTCCCGACGAGGTGGCAGTGAAGGTCTGGCATATCGTCGGGTTGTCTTGCTTTGAATTAATGCTGCTTCATAATCTCCTGCTTTGTAGGTCATCGGCTTCCTTATGCCTCCACAGCTGTCACTCTTGCAGAAGCGCTTGGAGAAGCTATCAGCGAGGGCGAAGGATGAGGCGCAATTGGTTTGCCAGATCACGATCAATCCTGCTTGCAGCATTCTCGTGGTGATTCCATGCCTTGATGTTTTTCCGGGCTTGAGGGAATCATCGCCGGTGCATTTGCAACACCCTATGATACCTAGTGCTGCGGAGGAGCCATCAGAGGCGCCAAAAAGAAGCAAAAAAGAAGTGAGAAAATACAAGAAGCGCATTATCAAGCAGGCGCGCAAGGCCAGGCCGGTGCTAGCAACTGTAACATTGCGCCGGAACCGCGTGCACATGGCATTCTTGCAAACGCTTACAGGGAGCTTCGCGAACGGGTCGCTGGGCTGATCTATGACCTGTCACGCTGAAGGCTGGGTATCGGCCTTTCGAACCCTAAACAATAATCACAACGACCTTTCCAGGCCATAGCGGGGACGCGAAAGCTGCATGCATAGCTATTGTGGGCTTGTAGGTGTACTCTGGCAGCCAGGGATTGTCACATACAGCGCACATGGAAGCTCTCGATTAGCTTGTGATTTCTATGGCTTGCAGGAGCGATTAGGTTCAAAGCGTCGTGGTAGACTTCCAGGTTTCGATTTGTTTGAAAGATGTCACTTCTAGGTGCTGGGTCCAACGTCTCGGGTTGGATCTCTACGACTCTACGATCTCGTGTTGTGTTTGCAAAATTCCGCTTCAGAGGCTTAGCCCTCGCCCAGGGGTTGTTTTTGTTTGTGGATCTCAGTTGCACCTCGGGCAGGCTACACCTTTTCTCCACAAGTGCTGCTGATGGTGGCGTCGATTGCTGCGGTGTCCTCTGTATTAAGGGATGGAGTGGGGGGGGGCGGGGGTCCATGCATTTGGGGTTTGTTTCGGGGTTGGGTCTTAGGGCTCATAGGCTCATAGGAGTTATAGGGCTGGGGGTTTTAGGGCTTAGGATTGTCAGGTTTTCGGCTTTCTATAGCCTTTAGGATTCTTTAGGATTTAGCTTGTGTGCGGGCTCTTTTGCAGGTTTTGGTGTTTGGGGATTCAGGGTAAGGCCTTCTAGAGTAAGGGTTTACAGGGTTGGGAGTGTTGAGGGTTCTGGGGGGGGCTGGTGCGTGATGCAGTAAGGTTTAAATGCGCCAGAAGAAAGAATCATTGTTCTGTCGGCCACCATATGATGCGGGCCATCCCTGGAGCTCCCTATAGCCTAGACCGCACGAAGTCTTCCTGAGCCCCCACAGTCCTGATACACAGACAGAAAACCAAATAAATTTGGGTGTGTCACCATGGATGCCCTCAACCACACCTGGAGCCCCGCTCAAGAGAAAATGAAAAAGAACAAAACAGCTTAAAGCGGCCCTCCTGCTGTACATGAATGGGTCAATATTGCAATTGGAGAAAGCGAGCTGTCCTTTGTTTGAGGCCGTGCTTGCGGTGTCCTTATTTGGGAAGCTCTGAATGCTGAGGTCGATGCATCGTGACACGGCTTCGCTGCATTTCACCCCCGGCTCCCAAAACGAGGGCCTGAGTGAGGATGCCAAGCAAGCTTAAAAACGCGCTCCGGGCTGGAGTGAGTACCCGAGTGAGCGACTTGAGGGATACACATGTTGCGCTTCGTCGTGCTGTCGCTTCCTGCGACTCCGGCAGCGTCGGTTGCGCTGGAAAGGCTGCACCAAGCAACAATCAAGAGAAATGAGGCTGGGTCATCAAGACAAAGGAGGCTCAGTACGTCAGCAATGTCTTGCCACAGTATGCTCCAGTGTCTGTCGCTCTGTTGGCAAGGGGTGCTCCTCTTGAACGGCCACTGGCTCCATCAATACAGGCTCAAGATGCCTGACAGCCTGAGGACTTCCGCCAAAGGACTTGCGATAGAGGACTTGCGTGAACGGTTGCAAGTTTGCTTATCGGCACGGTAAGAAGTGAAGGAGGATGCAAGTTTGCTTGCTGGCACGATAGAAGTGAAGGAGGTTGCAAGTTTGCTTGTTGGCACGGTAAGAAGTGAAGGAGGTTGCAAGTTCGCTTGTTGGCACGTTTTGCCCATACAAACAGGCATGCCACAGCGTTTGTTGCTGCTCTTTGTTCTTGTGTGCACGGCGCTGCTGACAACCGAAGGCGCGAGAAATCGTCCAGGCAGGCATCCTTGTGCAAGAAATCGAAAAAAAACACATCAAAACCTGTTGCTAGGAAAAGCGCCGAAAGGAAAAGCCAAGGCAAAAGCTGCCCCCAAAGCCGGCGAGGTTCCGTGCAGACTTTGCTTTGCGTATAGGCAGAGCCGACGATTCTACCTGCGCACCCTGATGAGCATGTGTTTGACTTGTCGCGCCGTAAGTTCGCAGGCAGCTTCTACGGATTCGACGGATGCTAACGGCAACGTGCCTGGTCCAGCTGCAACCTCAATCAAAGTTGGCTTGCAAGCGCAGCTCACGTGCTTTGAGCGGACACCGTGTAGGCGTCTTCAACTTGCGCAAGTGCCACCCCCAGCGGAGCCGGTACCTCAATCAGTTTTGCTTCGCCACCCAAAGCCGGTGTTTCCTGAACCTACAAACACCGTGCAGTTGTTTGTTTCCCCCGTGCTGAGTTTATTGAAGGCTGCGTCATCCTCTGCGAGCACGGCTACTGGCGCCAATGAACACGTAGCTTCTCAAGCAGCAACCTCAGCAACATGTTTCCACTTCGCAGCCCAACATGAGTTACAACGTTTTTGAAGGCGTCTTGGTCATCAAGCTCTGATCACGCCCACGTTGCAACCTGTTCAGACCCGCAGGCGTGGGCGGCGGCCAGCCGGGAAAGTTTTCTACCACAGTCCGTTTTGTTTCGCCGCACAGAGACGGGACTACTTGCGTCTCGCGCTGCAAGGTTATTTATGTCGCACCGCTGCACCTAGATGACGCAGTGGCTCTGCAGCACGGTCTATCCGATGACCTGATTGTGCTCTCCAATTCCGTCTTCCAGGCCAACTGGGTTTGGTCTCGTATCGGTAGGAGTTGTGCTGGCCGGATGCTGCCCAGGAGATGCTGTCAGAATGGCGGGAATTCAAAAAGCAGGCCCAGGCGTGGACTCGCTTGCGGCATTTGTCGGTATGCGGGATGTCGCCTTTGCCAGAGCTCGTGTGCGCCTAATTTGGATGTCTGTTGGCGCTGCGCCAGCGCAGCTGTTGCACGCATGTGGGATGTTGCAACACTTTGGATCAGCATGCTGCCTGCTTGCGTTCACAGCGCGCACAGAACCCCTTCTATTGACTGCGTTACGGCCTAGATTGCCATCTTGCGGGACTTGTTCACCTCGCGTAGCCTTTGCTTCACACAGCCTTGGCCTAGGAGATGGCAACGGGGATCAGCCATTTTTGGGGCCGCTGTGGCCCCGGACGAATCAACCTGTTGTGGCAAAAGGGTTTCGATCTCAGCCTCGCGGTAGCTCGGCTCCAGTAGCCTTTCGGTCAGCTGCACCGTTCCTACATTCCAGTCCAGTGCACCAGATTCGGCCCAGATTGGACACGCGGATCAGTCCAGAACATGGGGGGAAGGGTTCTTCGATTTAGAGGTTCAGACAGCCGCGGGGTGGTTGAATTGCGGGCGCTAGGTGGCCAAAGCATGCAGGCGCGCCAAAGGATTGCCACAGCAAGGCAAGCAGCTGCGCTGGCCTATTTGTTGCCATAATCCAGGAACACAAAAATTTGTACCAAGCCTGCATGCTCCTGCCCGGTCGCGCCCATTCTGCAGTTTCAGCGAACATGCAATGGGTTTGACAGGTTCGTGCCACAGTCTCAATGTCGACACCGGATGTGCTACCACATCGCAGCCTGAATAGACAACCATCACTCGGTGCAATCGCAAAGACATCAGGAAGCGTTTCAACGTCGGAATGGTGCATCGGCCCACGACGCAAGCTTTGCGTTGTGATGGAACACAGTGGGGTTTTGGAGGTTGAAATGCGGTGCTTGCTTCAGTGCGGGCCCCCCCGCCCTGTCCCCAAAGAAACTAGGGTCCATCCTTCTTGCCTCTAGAGAGAAACGAGTAGGGATGATCTCCATTGTCCGTCACCTCAGCCGGAAGAGTTAATCAGAACTGCCCCTTGGTCTTTGCAGAAATTGCCGCCCAATTGCTGGTTCGGAAATAAAGGATCGCAGATCAGCTGCGGAGCTTCTCGGCTCGTATGCCGGGCTTGTGGCATTCGGGCACACTTCACCCCCAAAAGCCTTGATCATTTGCGTCTGCAGGTTTGTACCGGGACAAATGACTCCTGTTATCACGACTTGAGCATCTCTTGAGCATGCTCGAGCTATGGCAACATGGTTTGGCCCAGATGGCCCAACACCTGTGTGCTTGGGTCCCGCCTCTCGTCCGTATGCTCTTGTTTTCTCTAAGTTTGCTCGCGGCGGCGTCTTAAATGTCACAGCTCAGTTAGGTCCGCATCGAGAAGTGGCGCAAGCAGCCGCTGCGAACGCTGCTCTGTGGTCTGAAGGGTGTTCCTGGCGTGAAAAGCCCGGAGCAGAAGGAGGCACCGTGTCGCGATGTGCCGAAAGAAAGCGAAAGAGAGCCAACAGAGCTTAGGGCTTGACCTGTCGGTGTCGCCATTTGGGCCATGCTTAGCTAAGCCTTCGCGCTCGGAGGTGCGACCGGGCCTCGTGGCCACGCTGTGTGTGAGCAAAGGCTTGCCGTCGCACTCCGATTCGAGCACGCTGCTTGTATGCGAAATGGGTAGGCGACTAGGCGATGGGCGATCGCACTTTGGAGAAGGTAAGTTGTGCTCTCCGTGACAAATCTTGTTTCGCCTGCCTGAGGTTTTCAGCTGGAGTGCGCTTCACGGAGTCTCCGGGCTGGTGCGGATACTGGTGTTGTCCCATCGATTTCCGTGTGACACTCCTGGGCGAAAGAGCCGAAAATCTTTCTCGCACAGTGAGATGGATTGTGACACCTGGAAACAATGCACCTTGGCGGCCACGGGTGTTCATTTGCAGTGCACGGCAATGATGAGCATACGAGCCGAAGCAGCCCTTCATGCCCTCGCGAGGAAGTCTTCTTCCCTGTTCTGCCTTTGGCGGATGTGGAGCGTTTTGTTTCCAGCAGCGGTTCCTTGAAGCTGAAGGCCGAAGTCTTGTTTCATTTCACGATCAGCAAGGTGCCCCGACTGCAACCTACATCGCTCCGATTTGGCCTCTGGCAACGTCTGGCAGGTAGTCGATTTAGGATTTACGGAAAGGAGGGCTGGAGTAGAGGCTGAAGAGCTGTTTTGGACACAGATCCTACGCTTGAAGCCTGTCATCTACCGATCAATGCCAGCGGGCTTGGAGCAATAACAGTGGTAGTTGATATACTGGCACTTCCTTAGCAAGAGTCCCGTGGCCTGAGGAGACCTTCCCGAACACACTCGCAACTGCTGTTCATAGCCCGGCCCTGTCGGCAGCTTGGCGCAGAACTGCCGAGCATCTGAGCTCGATGGTATGTTTGTCTATCTTCATGACGCCCGTTTGGCTTGTGTGTGTGTGCGCATATTCAAAGGCTCTGCTCTGGTCGTGGTGCTTGCTCGGAGGGGCTGCTCTGAAGCAAGCGGCGGCTTGCCAAAGCCAAGAGCATTCCATTTTCCGGGATCCCACGGCGCAGGCAAGGAGTCGCTCCCTTTAGCCCTCTGTCTGTAGTCGCTGGGCGTGGGCCGGTCCTGATCCTGAGCAGGACAAAGTGCTCGGCTCCTCCGGCGGGCGCTTCTCCGGCTCCGAGACCTTTGCTCTGGATGCTTTCCTCCTCCATCCAGGTCTGCTGCCCCCTTCGCAGCAGCAGGAGGCGGCGGTGGAGGTGCTACCCGGCATTCTCTACATCGCATCGGAAGCCGAAACTTCCGTGACACGGCTCTGGCAACTTGGGGTCCGCTCGGTGCTGGAGCTGGAGCTGGAGACGGAGGTGGCAGAGTCAGAGGCTCTGTCGCCCTCCGAGATCCTTGTGAAGGCAGAGTTGCAGGAGCTTCGGTTCAGTTTCCATGTTCTCCTCTTCGGTTGATGTGCAGCTCTGTTCTCGGCAGGAGATACTTCCACCTGACTTGGATCCTTCCGATGGGGAGCGGAAGCCGAAGTTGTCGCTGTCGTCGCAGTGGTCGTGTGGGAAAGGCCTTCGGGACGTCGTCGACGCCGCCGAAGGGCTCCTGAGAGGCGGTGCTGGCGCTGGTGGAGCCTCCGAGGCCACGACGAGCGGCTCGGCCTTGGCGCTGCTGCCGAGCCCGCGGAGCGCGCACTCTGCTGCCGCAGCCAAGCTTTGTGCCGCGGTGGTCGTCGAACTCCTGGCTAGGCTCTTCTTCAAGCGCGAGAGGAGGAGCCCCTCCGGCGGGAATTTGGGGCATGAGTCATGAGGCGCCACATGTCTTCGAATTGAGGTTCCACGACACTCTAACTGACTGTCTTTGGGTGGAAGCTCATAACTTGGAAGGTCCTGAGTTTCACTGTAAAGCAATTGCAAAACCGTGCAGCAGCGAGCTTGTTGGTAGGCCCTATCTCGCTCTTTTCTCATCTGCAGTCACTGCCGAACTGTGCCCAAATATGCCTTCCCCCCGCTTTTTGCAGGAGCAGGGCCGCCGATTCGGCTGATGTTCCAAGTTCGAACCTCGATTGATGTTTGGGCGGCCATAGGATGCTATGTGCGTGACCGGCTGTCCTGATTGCCAAGACTCGCAAGCTCGGAGCCGTGCCATTCTAGGCTTGTAAGCCTTCGCACTTTGCAGCTGGTCTGTTGTTTTTTTTACTGTGCTGCTCAGCGCAGTCACGATCGCTTCTTCTAGGCTCTACCTATCGCTTGTTACATCCCTTAGTCTCAGCTCTGCTGGCCGTGCCCAGGACACCCTTCTTGGAGGCCCGAAGATATCTGAGCAGCCGATGGGACGTTCCCGTCCGTGACTGTTGGATGGCCGCCCTGGCCTCTGAAAGCGATGTGTCGCCGTCTCCAGAACCAGAGCCTTCTTTCGATGCTTTGGATGAAGACACGCCAAGGCGAGCGGGAGCCTTGGCAGAGTGGTTTGCAGCGGGTTTGGGCGTGCGGAGGCCTTCCCTGGCCTCGCTGCGTCTTTGGGACCTCCCAAACCAAGCCTTCTCGGAGCCATCCGATGAGCCTCCGGAGCCTCTGGTGCCCTGGAAGCCGAAGTCCTTGGGGAGCCTTCTCCACGTGCAGGAGCCGGGTTGGGGAGCGGTGCCGGAGATCTTTCGTGCCTACGGGGCCTGGCGGCTTCGCCGAAACCCACCGAAGCGGAAGTCCAAGTCCAAAGTTCCCAAGGATTCTGCAGATTCCAAGTGCCCCGGGGGGCCCTTGGGACCTTTGGGGCCGTTGGGGCCGTTGGTGACGCTTCGCTTCTTGAAGCGCTTGCTTCCCAACGAGATTCTGGCATTCCCGCATTACTTCAAAGAGGAGGAAGGGCACACTTGGCATCTCGTGGCCCTGCTATGCCACTCGACCAGGAAAGACGAGTCGAAAGGAGATTCACGGCACGTTTCTGCAAGACGTCGAACTCTCACCTTCCTGCACGGTGCCAAAGAATGGGTGCTGGACGGTGCGCAGATGCACGAAGTCCATCGCTGGCAACTGCCCGGCTCTGTTCCCAACGCATGGCTCTGCACCCGAGATCTCACTCCGCTGCTTGCGGTTTACAGCACCCATTCCCCGCGAGGACACCTACCTGCTCCCGTTCGAAGCCGCCTCCCGGCCATACCTGCGGGCTGGCTGCAGGCCGACAGTGACCACCTGAACGTGCGCATCGTTACGGAGAAGATGCTTCAGACAACCCGGGGCCCCTTTGCCGGTGGCTACGAGGTTCCTGCGTCCGCTGAGCTTAGGCTGCCGATGGCTGCATCTCTGGAAGACTTGAAGCAACAGGTGCACCAAACTCTGCGCATTCCCGCCGAGCGCCAGCTGCTGTTCCAGATTCCCGACTGCACGCCGGCATCCGGCAGCTCGTGCTCGTGGCTGGTGCCAGTTCGCAGCCCGCTTTCCACGTTGCTTCCCCTGGCCGTGGCACATGGAATGCGGATCATGCCTACAGTTCTCTTGATGTTTCAATCCAACGATGTGGACCCTGCCTCCATCTCATCTATGTTGGGCTGGCGCGTGCCAGAGGATGACACAAGTGGGGAGGGGGAGCCGGATCAGATACCCCTTCTTTGCAGGTATTTCCAAGCGGACACCTTGAGCCACAGCGTCTTGGGCGTCCTCCTGTGCTCTCCAGCAGACAGGCTGCAAGAACACCAGCCCTGGTTGCAGAAGCGCATCTCGACCCTGCCCCAACCTGGACCCCAAGCTGCAGAATCCTCTGGGGGCCCCTTTGAGCCCTCCCCGCCCTTGGCTTTGGCGGCCTCTACCGGCCCGGGTCCAGGAAGGGAGCCGTCCGTGAACCCTTTCAAGCCACTCTTCCTCCGCATGGATCGGCCACTCAAAGAGCAGTCGTCGCCTCAGAGGAAGTCCCCAAAGCAGGATATCTCAGAAAGACAGCCCGTTCCTCGTACTGGTCTGGTCCAGGTGCCATGTGCGAATCTGCTTCGGAGCAGCCGTGGATCTGGAAGCCGAAACCTGTCTGCACCAGAGCCCTAAATACTTGTGATGCGTCATGACTCACGGCCACTGCGCCGATTACAGGTGCAAGAGCGAGAGACCTGGACGTGCACCAGCAGAAGAATCAGCACTGAATCAATCTCCAGTCACATTCGCGCGTAGGTACACGTAACCGTGTATACGACAACAGCATATGTGTTCACGAGCACCAGACGCGGACATGTACGCGGACAGACGCGGACATGCTGAGAGGGGCGCGAGAGGCGCGCGAAGTGAAGCGCGACAGCGACGCGGGGCATTCTTCAGCCAGTTCTCAGGCGGCCTTCGGCCCGGTGCCTGGCTTGGAAGTGCTGGAGGCCCCGAGAAATGCTTGAAGGAGGGATGATTTTCTGAGCTAAAAGGCCTGCACCCGAAAAACTTGAAGTTCGACAGCAAGTTGCAACGAAGACAAGCTCAAGCTGTGTAAAGTCACTTCATGACTGGTCTAGAGCTGGCACTCCTTGCTTTGTGTCTTCTGCAGGCGGCGGCGGATTCAGCGGACTCGGAGGCGAAGGCCGCTGAAGAGGGGCAGCGGATGAGCCTCGTCGGCCCGGAAGGGAGGGCGAGGACTTCGGGGACTTTGTGAATCGGCCTGCTGGGTCACAGTGCTCCTTACAATCCCTCTGCACTGGAAGTTCATCAATGGCCCAATGGCACTACCCTTCCTCTTGCTGGGTCACAGCCCTGTGTGGCACTCCATGGCACTCCTCCCAATCCCTGCTGACTGCCTTTTTTCAACCCCATACAGTAGGGCAGACGGGTCACTAAATTTCGAGGGAGCTGTGCGGTCCAAGAGTTTACTCGGTTTTTCGCTTGTGTCCTGCATGCATGCGCACGCCAAGTTTCGTGCGAGAATGCCTTTTGCCTGAATCACAGTTGTTTACCCAAGTCCTGCGCACGCACACTCTCACTTTCTAGCTGGAGATGCCCCATGTACAACCGACCGGAAATGCAAGTCTAAGTATGGATCAATTCTTGGGTGCCTCTGACAACAGCCCAAAGCAGGCCCTATACACCCGCCTCGGCCTCGCCGCGCCGCCGCGGAGCTTCAGCCCAGGCTCGGGTGCCTCTTCCTGCACACCGATGTGGGGCCGCCTTCGAAGACGAAAGACGGGATCCAGCCGTCGGTATGGCGGGCCTTTACAAAGGCGCTCAGAGAGGTCAGTGGCTCTGGCTTAGAGGTGGACCTGATCGCCGCGAAGCCTTGCAGATACACCGCAGCAGCCGGAGAGATGCCTTCGAAGCCGCCGGAACCGAGCTCTTCACCGCTGAGCCTCGTGCTTTTCCAGCTGGAGCGGCCGAGCTTTTCAGCGGAGTGGATAGCTGAGGCCGTGTGCCGAGGCTTCGCATCGGAGGCCGATTCGAAGTCTTCCTTCTGCAGGGGGAGGCTGGCGCGGCATCGTCCCCGGGAGCTGTTGCTACTTCATGGGAGCCGCTTCGGGGCCCAGGCGCGCCTGTGGACGAGCTTGGCGCCGGGAAGCGAGGCAGTGCTCCGGCTCGGTGGGCCAATCCCCTGGGACTTTCTGGCGGCTTTGGACTTCTTTGAGGTGCCCCGCTTCGTTGACGTGAAGTGCGTGCAGATCGGCGCTTCGGGGCTTCTCAGGGCCGAGTGGGCACCGGCTCAGAGCGGCGAGGCGCCCTCGCCAAGTTCCGGCACCTTGGAGTGGAAAGCCGATCCGGATCCGATCGCATCGACGAAGAAGGTGATCAGGGCCGAGGAGGCCTTGGAGGCACCCGAGGCTGAGGAGAGGGAGAGCTCCGAGGAGGAGGAGGCTGTCGAGGAAGAAGGCCCCGGGCCCCCGCAGCTCTGGGGGATCATCAGGGCCCGCAGGAGGAGGTGGGCTGACGAGACGGATTCCGACGACGAAGGTCAGAAGAAGGCCCCTCGAATCCCAGAGAGAGGAAAAGAGCAGAAGAAGAGAGAAGAGAGCTCCACTCGACAGGTGGTTCGTATGGCGCATGCCGACTCGCTGCCGCCCGAATCGGCCACAAGCTCGCTGCCGGAAGCGTCGCCGAAGGCCCAATCTCCAGGCACGGACTTGAGCTAAGTCGAGCCCGTTCCTGCCGCGCCTCCGCATGTCCGCGCAGGCCCGAGCAGTGCCAGCCCCGCTTCCAACAGCATCCGGCCAGGGCCCCAACAATTATCAATTGGGGGGGGGGGGGGCTTCCGGGGTCTCGGCTTCTTTCTGAAAGCTGCGAGGCCGGGGCCCAGCAAGTTCGCGACCAGCTTCGGGAGCCCCAAGTCTCAGATGCTCTCCTCCTCTTCTTGCAGCCCGAAGCACCGGAACTTCCCGTCCACCGACCAGGCTCAGATCTGAATTTTTCGGCTTCGGGAAAGAAGCTTCAGCCCCGTTTTCAGGAGACCTCCGAGGCGACGGGAACGCACTCGCCTTCCCCCGTTTCCAAGCTGCGGTGGTCACGGGGGTTTTCGTTTCTGCGCCTTGCGTTCTGTTGCTGTCTTTTGCTTTCTGGTGCTTTCTAAGGAGCCGGAGGGGCCCTGGAGCTTGCCAGCGACCTCCATGCACTGGAAGACCTTCGTGCGGAAGACTGCGGAGGCAAACGACAGTCGCATCTTGGATTAGAGATTGGAGTTCGTGGTGAAGTAACCGAGGAGCTTGAACGTAGGGATTCTAGGGCAGGTGCCAATCCAAGCTCGTCGCCGGGTCTTCGCTCGCTTCGCTCCCACTTCGCACGGCTTTTGCGAGAACCCCCCACAATGCACCCGCTCATATATTCAGTCAGTCACTCACCTCCTCATGCAATTTTCGTCCGCTTCTGTTCACTGCTCCCTCTCTTGATTCTCTTGCCTTCACTTAAGCTACGCACTCACTCGCGTCACGTTTTCATCGATATCTTGGCTCCATGAGCTCATGCAGCTCAGCCCGTTGGAGCACAGATCTCCCTCAGCTCACTCTCGGAACTTCCGCGCACCCTTTGCATTTCAACGTCATGGGGCTTTAGGTCCATATGGGCCTCCTTCCTGTGCTGAGGTGCGGAGGAGACCTGTGAACCAAGAGGCCGCAGCACGACTCCTGCGGCGTTGGGAGCACGATCCGAACGGGGTCCGCTTCCGCTCGGCAAGTTGGGCATTTGCTTCGAAGGAGCCCGACCAGGGCCACAGCTCGCAAGCACCGCAAGGGCCGAGCCCTTGCGGCCGGATCAGCGAGAGCAGCGAGAGCAGAGCGCTTTGGCTTTGGGATCGGGCCGCCTCGCCGCTCGGCTAAACGAGTCCCAGGACGAGGAGTCGGCCTCGAACGTGAAGCGATCCCTGGGCCAAAGCATGGAGCAGGTTTTGGCGCTGCTTGCAGAGGCTCGGGCCTTGGGCCTGGTGGACGAAGTGAGGACTGCAGAGAAGCGCCTGAAGGCCGCGATGCTCCAAAGGCTGGGACCTGCGCCGTCCTCGACACCCTCGGCGCCCTCGCCGTCGCCTTCGCCAAGCTTCCCAGCTCCCGCAGGCTGCGGCTCTTCCGGTGCCGCCTCAGGCGCGGGCACTGCAATCTACGCATCTGGTAATTTCGGATTTGGGATGAAAGGCGCTAGACACGGTGAGAAAGTAAGCCAGCCGTTGTAAACACGAGCAGAGAGGTCCCTGACGCACCTTGCCAGGTACGGGGTACGGCTGCAGAAAGCCTGAAAAACCGCAGAGCCGCCAAAGCCCCAAAAGGCCCATGCAGAAAACGAGGGCAGATGAGAGGGGAGACAGGGCTCGAAGACAGCCAGCGAAACCTCGGGCATAGGTACTTGCGAAGGGCTCTGTGAGAAAAGCTGAAAGCAAAACCACTTATCAGCGACATGATGCTCTACTAGACGTTTGGATGCGGAAGTCATAAATTTTCGAATTGAAGTTCCTTGAAGCTTGGTTCAAGATTTGATTTGCGAAATAGTGTTTCCGGCTGGGACGGGTTACGGTCGAGCATGTTTGGACCTCGCAATGGCATTTTGAGAACTCTTGCCCCCGAGCAGCTTGCTGATGCTAAGCTGCAGAGGTGTCGCTTCAGTGCCGCGCAGCCGGGCACTTAGCCGGGCATCTTCTTGCGACTCCTTCTTCGACGGCGAGGCCCTGCGCTTCGTGCTGGCACCTTCGCCATCGAACACACCAGGTGACATTACTCAGTCGAACTCCCCACGCTCACATTGCCACACCCCGGGTGGCGGTGCCTATGGCGATGATTACCAGGCCTACCATGGCATCTACAGAGGCTCCTTGCCCAGCGCAGCCAGCATAGACTCTGCGCTGCGAAATGTGGCCGTGGCGGAGGCACTGCAGGTGCCACAACAATGGGGAAACAGCCCGAGCCCGTGGGTCCAAACGCAACCGCAGCAAGTCAGCCAAGTGGCGGAGACCTTCGCCTTCGAGGAGGGACCGGCCGCAAACGCGGAAAAGACCACGTGGCAAGAGGCCTGGGCGGCGCCGCTTGTGCTGCGGGCCCCAGCAGCCCCCCAAGGCCCCCAAGGGCCCCAAGGCGCACCGTTGCGGCGGCGCAGCAAGGCCTCCGCAGAGTCCGGGCCGAGCTTAGGGTTCATGTGGCATAGCAGCCCCTTTGCCATCTCCAGAACGCCCAACATCCACACACCCGTCTCGCACCACTCTCCCGCCCGCTCCCCGACCTCCTTCAGTGGCTACTGCTCCCCCATCCCGGGCTTCCCCTCTGGAGTGGCCTCCCCCAACCGCCGCTCCGGCTACTCCTCCCCTTCCACTGGCCTGAACGCAGCGGCTTTCTTCACCGGCGCCGCGGCTGCGGCCACTCAGTCCGGGCTCATGCGCCGGCTCATGTCCTTAAGAGAGGCCGGGGCCGGGGCGGAGAGTGGAAAGCCTGTGTTGCATTTATCCTTCCTAGGCACGTGTGTGTTCGCATTTTCACGTGTCAGGCCCGCGGAGAAGAGCGGGAGGAGGACAGCGAGTGGTCCAGCGAGGACCTCTCGGATGGCGACGGAGAGAAACCGCCCGACCTCTTGGAGCTGCTCTTGAAGCACGCGGAGCGCGTGGCTCCGCGCCGGGGGGGACGGGAGCCGAGATCGCTGTGCTTGGACCTGAGCTCTGTGACTGGGCCTGTGCTGGAGCTCTTTGTTTTATTTTGTCCGAGGCATCGGGCAACGCTCAAGTGCCTACTGTAGTTATTTCTGGAGCTTCTCAAGGAGCTGTTGCCTGTGCGGCTCCGGGGCCTGTTGCCGTGCCATGCGATCCCGTTTCTCAACGCCTGGGTCCAGGCACTGCTGGCGTGCTCGCCACTTTGTCATCTATTGGCACAGGTCTCCTGGCAGAAGCAGCCGCATCAGCGTCCGGCATACAACTGCCTCATGCAGTTGGCTTGGGAGTTTTACGGAAACTCGTCAGAGCTGCGCTCTGCTGCGGGCTCCGCTGCGGGCTCTGCAGGCTCCGTTTTCAATCGCCTGCATGTGGCCGCCTCGGGCGATCGCGGCGACCACGCGGCCGATCTGCAGCGAAGCCCGAATCCCAAAAGATCCCCTACGAATCCCAAGCGATAGTCCAAATCGCCAGGGACACGACCTCGGAGGAACGTAGCATGTTGCACTCTCTCTGTCTCCTGAGGTCGACGCAGCTTTCCTCGCCGAGCCGCTGCTAAGACGCTTTGAGAGGGGGAAGTCGGTGCAAGAGGCGCCGGTTTTCCCCGACCTCGTCGGTCCCGACATGTTCTCCTGCTTCCTGCGGTTCTTCCTTGGCGAACTTCATGACGAGTGCAAGTGGCCCACTCTCTCCGCGGTGCCTTACCAGCACGAGGACTCACCGATGATGCGAATCTTCGGCGGGCTCGTCCGGAAGTCCCATGGCAGGCGAGTGAGCACCCTCGGCGATGGTCATGCTCACACGGATGTGGCGCCCTTCCTCTTGCTTCACCTGGATCTTGCGGACCCCTTCGGGGATCCCAAAACCCCCATCTCAGTGGAGACTTCCGTGGAGCAGCTACTGACGCGACAGGAAGCCCGGTTCCTGCGGCTCCCACCCTTCTTGCTCCTCCACCTGCACCGATTCCGCACTGGGAGCGATGGCTTACCGGACCGCGTCAACCGCAAGTGTCGGCGGCCCAGGCGTCTACATATCCATTTCTGTAGCTATTGGCTATTGTGGTACACACATAGGCAGCATGTCGGCGTAGTTTAGTTTTTCGTGCTCCCCGAGGTCGCATCGGCCTTGAAATGGAGCTGGAAGAGGCCACGGGCTACACCCTGCGCTCGGCCACTTCCACGCAAAACGGATTCGGTGTCTTGTTTTGGAGCTTCGTCTTCTGACACCGAAGCTAAGTTTAAGAAGCGTCTCTTTCGGAGGTCACGTACCAGCTGCGGAGCGCCATCTGCCACTACGGCGAGGTCCCGGAGGGCGGGGCCTACAAGGCTTTCGCCCTGCATCGCTGCGACGAGGAGGAGAGCGGCGGCCAGGGCCGCTGGCACGTGCTGGAGGACGCGGCGGTGCGCGGGAAGAAGGACATCCAGGAGATCATCGACTCGGAGGGGCACCACGCCTGCTTGCTGATGTTCCGGCGGCAAGACACCAAGACCGTGAATCTCAGGCCGCATGCTGCTTGGCTGAACTCGGCTCTTGACTTTGTTGCAGGCTAGTTCCACCGGAAGTGGGATGCGTCAGTCAGCCAAGGCCGTCTTTTCTTGATGGATTGTCGGGAGGCCAGAACAACTTGCCCCCCTTCTCTCCAGCACTGTTTGCAGCATGTCGACCACTTTGTGCAGTCTTATCGTTTCTTGATTATCGCCCCCTCTTTCCGGCAGTGCAGGGGGTTCGAAGAGCTTTGTCAGTCTCATGTTGCTAAAGCTGCTAAAGTGATCTGACCATGCAAGCAGTGGTGTACATATCTGGCATCGGTTGGGATTCTTGCGCCGAGCAGCCGCAGGCAAGAAATGCAAACCCAGGTCGGCACGCGTTGACAGGTGCAGATTGTGACTGTGAATGATTGAATGAGCGTGATTAGCCTTGGTCTGCAGCTTTGGGTTCGACATGAGCCGTCACGTCATGCAGATCATGCTGCATGCTTTCCTGAGACAGACCTGCCAGGTCCAGGCCAGGGCACACACAGCAGTTACCCACAACAGGCTTCGTGGCAGCGTCAGATCCTGTAGCTTTGCCATGTGGGGCCGCAGCTGTGGCGTTCGAGCCTTCCGTGTCGCGGTGCCTTTGTCTCTCCACTCCAACCAGCGCATTTGCATCGCCAGCAAGATGGAGAGACTGGGACAGACGTGTGTCGCGTGTGAAGGTGCGGAGGGCCAGCGGCGTGGCCAGCTGCAGCCGCTCAGTGCGGAGCTGGGCAAGAGAGAAAGGACCCCTGTTGTGACCTTTTAGTCTTCCCTTCCGGAGGCCAGCCTGGCTGGGGTGCTGTCCAGGTTGCGCAACGACAGTGGGCTGACGGTTTTCCTTGCCCACACCCCTCCCGCACCTGTCAAGGCAGCGCCTTCCCGCATTCGCGTGCCAGCGAGGCGGGGAGCTGCTTCGCTCGAGTTGTGTGTGTGTGGGTGCTTGCACTGCAGCAACGTGGTCGGAGCTGAGGCCGCGCCTTTGCCGCCGAGACTAAGAAGCGGCGGCCCCTTCGACCGAAGGTCGGCCGGCCGGTTGATGTCGGTTCACGTCGGATCATGTCGTTTTGCCAGGAGGAGCTCTTGAGAGACGCGACGCACCACGATGTGCCCGTGCGCCGCAAGGCACGGCGAAAAGCACCTGGACCTCGCCGAAACTGAAACTGCGACTGGCTCTGTCAGGCAGTGAAGGACCTTGGCAGATACCCGGGTGACCCTGAAGCCATCGCGGCCTTGGCCAAGGCTCGCGACTTCGGTGGAGTTGGGTTGAGAGACTGCGTGACTTTTCTTTGCTTTCCCGTGGGAGGCCCTGGGTGACGAAGACGTTGCTGTGCAGCTCGCTGCGCAAGGCGCCATGTCCAAAGTTGCTGACATCGGCGACCCGCGCACTGTGGGTGCCCAAGAAACCTCTGGTTGCCAGGGATTGCACCCCTTCCGAAGGCAAAGCCCGCAAACCAAAAAGCGATGGTCCCACGTTGTATAGTGAGGTCCAGGCGACGCTGGAGCGTGTGTCCAGTACCTGCGCCGCAAGCTTGGTCTCACTTGCACAATCCGCCGAACCCAACGGGCGAGCACGACCACGATCTGACAGTGGTTTCCAGGAGTGGACGAGGATTGCAGCATTGAGCACCCTGGCAGACATCACAGGCAAGTTCGGACACGCCGTGTCCTCAAGCTAAGAACAGTCTTTTCAAGGAGTCAGCAGATTGCACTGGACTTCTCCGCAAGGCCACACGAGGGACGGCGCTGGACCAGCAGGCAATGCTTTGCTAGATTCGTTGATGCCTGCAGCCTTTCCGGCAGTGTGTGCTGGTCCGAGGTGGAGGAAGCTGTCAAGTCCCGACTAACAGACGAGGACTGGGGAGTTTGGACCTCATGCAGGGAGGACCTTCTGCCGCAGCGCCAGCGTCTTGAAATTCGTTCCCACGTGCTTGAATGCTTGGCATCGAATCGCGGTTCCAAGTGTGCGCACCTGCCCTGCTCTCCTCGCCATGGCTCTGGCCGGGGCAGTGGGTGTCCCACGGCAGTCCCTGCAAAGTCCCAGCACACGCTCTCCGCCTCGGGCCGGACAGGCAAACGCAGCGGCAGGCGCAGCGGCCCGAGAGGCCCGGAGAGGCGAGCACGGTCGGACTTTGGCTGCGTCCGCCGTCCTGGTTGGGTCCCTCCTCGCGCGAACGGGTCGGTGGCCGAGGCAGGGGGTTTCTTGAGTTGGAACTTTTTCTTGCTTGTGCTTGTTAATTGAAGGAGGCGTGGATCCCGGATCGGCCTCCGTGCGGGTGCGGTCACGGACACACTGAACGTCACAGAGGTCTACAGGCTCCTGAAGCAGGCTCCGACGACGCGCCATGCTCTTCAGCTGGCATCGCGCTTGCGTAAAGCAGCCAGGGAGGGGAAGCGCACAAAGGAAGGGCGCATGTTAGACCCCGGCATCGTTGACGAAGCCTTAGATGTGCTGTTGGAGAACAATGCAAGGCTCCGAGTTCCGGTGAAGAAGGTGCAGAGCATCTACGACGAGGACGAGGACGACGAGGAGCTCTCGAACCCCTTCGCGCAGCGCAAGCAGGATGCGCCGTGGGCGGAGGAGGCCTTCCCCGAGGCTGCCGAGGCCGCAGAAGCAGGCGGCGATCCGAGCTTGCTGGCTGAGGCGGCGGCCGCCGAGGAGGCCGAGGACCGGGCCGAGGACTTCGGGGAGCGCGCCGAGGAGGAGGCTCCGCTTCCAAAGGCGCCGCTTGAGCCGGAGGAGGAGTTGGAGGTGCCCCAGGCACCGCCCCGTTGGAAGTCGGGGTCTTCCCCCACAGAGACTGAAGAGGACGACGGCGATGTTCCTTACGAGCTTTGGGAACAGGTGTCTTTCAGACATTTTGGAAAGAGTTTGAGCCCCGTTGTTGCTTTGAGCTTGAAGCCTGAGCATAGCAAGGAGTCTCTTGCCGTCCCGACAAGAATCATAGGAAGATAGGAAGGACACTAGCGGCAAGGGTTTCTCCCCCAAGGTGATTTCCCCCAAGTTCAACGTCGTTGACAGGGTTTGGAAAGCCCCGACCTCGACGGACCTCCCAAGGGTGCCCAAGCTGAGCGAAGATGCGATGGTCCCAGAGAATGCCTGGCTGAGAATGCCCCACATTGCCGTGAACGGCATGACGAACTGCGGGAAGTCTTCGTTGATCAACCACGTCGTCAGATGGAACTATGCCGCCAAAGCATCCTCGAGGGCAGGGCGCACAACGAGCATCGATTTCTACGTCGTGAACAACCGCTTTGTCCTCGTCGATCTGCCGGGATATCCTGACCCAGAGGAGATGGCCCACCAGGGTGTACTGAAGCGCTGGGAGGCGGTCTGGGAGGATCTCGTGCTACGATACCTTCAGATGTGCGAGGAGGGTGTCTACGATTTGCGCCTGATGATGCACCTGCAGCAGAGCCACAAGAAGCCGTCCAGGGCTTGCCGGCGCTTCGTGCAAGAGCTACAGGAACGGAAGCTTCCCATGCTCCTAATCATGACCAAAGACGATCATCTTGTGAAGCCCCAGGAGCAGCGGAATCCCTATGCTACCCAGATGAAGAAGACTTTGCAGCTGGAGGGACCCCACATCCACTACACTTCCAAGAAGGGCTTAGCAATGGCCCGGAATTGCAAGAAACACGTGCAGAGATGGATTCGGAGGGCGGTGACGGCAGAGGGCGCAGAGGACGTCAAGACGCTCCTGAAGGAGAAGTGGGAGAACCGGACAATCTCTGCCCCCAAGCAGACCGCAGAGGAGAAGCAAGCAAAGACAGACCTCTGGAAAGCCCGGTACAAGATGATGAGGAAAGAGAAGAAGGCGAAGCGCCGAGCAGAGAGGGCCACCGTCGCCGCTCTCGCACGTGCCGCGAGGCAGGGGGATCTCGACCAGGCGACGGCAGGGGCGACAGGGGACTTCGATGAATATGACTTGGACGAAGCTCCCGAGGAGCGCTCCAACATGGACTTCGCCTAGGCCTAGGCACAAAGCAGGCCGCGTTTCAAAAGAGTTTCTTGGAGACAGAGCAGCAGGCCCAGGGACCCCTACCGGGACCCAAGGATGCGATGGACTCTTCCTTATGGCAGAGGCCGCCAGAAGCCAGGGAAAGAAGGCGACGCACGACGTGGGGAACCGCGGGCGCCGAAAGCCCTCGAGAAAGCCGTGGCGAAGTGAACGTAGGCACTAAGTCACCGAACGGAGCCGGCTGAAAGAGGCGAAATAAGTTAATGAATGAGGCGAAGTTGATTCTGATCAAAGTTGCTAGCTGCCAGAAGGCATTCGACGTTGTTCGAAAGCTGAAGCCGAGCTGCTGAGGTCAGGCGCGCTGCCATTGACACCATGGCCTCCAGAGCAGCACCGGTACCTCGCAAAGTGCTGTTTGTATCTCCATGACATCATGAGCTTTCTGCTTGGCTTGTTTTGCCTTTGTTGCTTTTGCTTTCTCAACAGGACTGCCCGGAGACGCTCGCGGCCGCGAAGCGGCTCCTCGAGGCCGCGCCGAAAGCGCGGACTTTGCCAGGCCGCTGTCTTCGAGTTTTGCAGGACCAGATGGGAACAGTGCGGGAGTCGGCCATCAAGGTGCTCCGGGCATCTCCGGGCTGCGTCGTTGAGGCGTTGAGACGTCACTTCCGTGTAGGCCATCGCCGCCTTGGTCCCGAAGGGCTCGCGGGAGGCCATCGACTGGATCTCGCCGAGGCGGAATTGGCTTTCACATCGTCGTGAGAGTACCATGGCTGGTAGATTGGGGTCATCCCAATGCCCATGTTTAGCAGCGGAACTGTTGGAAAGGAAGAGAATTGATGGAGCGGAATATGGTGCCTTCGGGGGGCGGCCGTGCAGGCTCGACGATTGGCATGAGTCCGTGCGCCGGGCGGCGGTCGTCGCAGTGCAGCACTCAAGCAACAGTGCCGTTTGAGAGAATCCGCCTGCGTCCCCGGCCAAGGTTGCCAAGATCGCTGCTGGATCCTCTGTTCTGCTTCTGTCGCATTGCTGTAGATTCTGGAGTAATGGGCAATAGGGGTATGCCGAACCAGGAAAAAGGCGATCAGCACGCCATCGAGCTCGAGAAGAGTGCCTGCGATGACAGGCGCGCTGTCAGAAGCCAGAAGCCAGCGGTGATCCGTGCTCGGCGCAGCTTGGATGTCGCAAGGTCCTGGATCGTGCGGAAGGCAGAAAGCGAAGTGCGAAGAGCGAAGAGCGAAGGGGCGGAAGTCGGAACCCACGAGGTTGCGTTGGCTTCGCCTGGCAGGCTGCCACCGACTCGCTGGCCGCTACAGCGACGCTGAACGACCTGCCGTCCCTTCGGAAGCTCGCGAAGATGCTGGAGGAGGGGCATAGAAAACCGAAGACCGGAGGGCCCGAGGGCCCAACTGGTGCAACCAGCTCTGGTTTTCTGCGTGTTGGTCTCAGGACTTCGATCCTTTGCCGCGGATGGCCGCCATCTACGGCATGGCCGAGCTCTGTGGGGTCGGCCATCGGAAGGCGCAGGCCTCAGCAGCTTCTCTTTTTGGCAGGCGTCCCGGATGTCAGACTGGAGAATAGCCCTTGCCATCGAAACCGAAAGTTCATCCTTCTGCGCATTTCGGACCTGCACGCGCTGCAGTGACCAGCTGTCTTTTCTCACAATCAGTACACTTCGTCTCCATGTCAATGATGTCAATGTGTGCATGTGCGCCCTGCATGCGGGTTTTGGATTTGGGCTCACAAGTTTCGACGCAGGCAAGTCAAGAGGAACAGGGTGAAGATTCGACGCCATGCGTAAGTGCCAGTTGAAGGCCACAGAAGCCGATGCCAAGGACCAGAGCCTTGTGCCACTGGGGCCCGCCGCCTCCCTGCTGAAAGCGATCGTGGCCCACCTTGGGCGCTTGCTCGAAGAGTTGATCCCCGTCCCCAAGGAGCACGCCCCAAAGCCGGAGATCTTGGGAAACCCATTTCATGATCGTGCCGTCCAGAAACACCTCCGGAAGCTCCAGAGGTTTGAGATGAGTGTGAAGCGCCTGGGCCTGAAACCGTGGGAGAGCCGACGGAAGAGCCGAGGAAAACCCTGGCAGTGCTGAGCTCAGAGGACTCCGACACCCCCGCAAGAGGGCTGAGGATGACTGAGGAACCAGGGACCAGGGAAGCTCAGGCATTATTCCCCGGGCAGGCATTGCACGCGAGAGGAAAGTGAACATGCCACAGTTACAGTAGTATCAGATTATCAGTGTATCATGTACAGTGTACAGAACAGCCGATCGCATCTCGTCATGTCGCTTGGCGGATATCACTCGACAGGCAGATTTCAATTTCGCAGCCCTGGAGAAAGGAGCTCGCCGTGTGGGATTTTCTAGTCAGGGTCTTCCCTCTGAGACTTCTGCCACCCTGCGACTTTCTCACCTCTCCGAGGCCATCGCCCTGGCCGAGGCACGCCTGGAACACCGTGACCCGGGCACGCGCCAGGCCACGACGAGCAGAACGTTGCAGCACGTTGCAGAAGCGGGGCAGCTGGGGGGGTTGCAAGACGCTCCGAACATCGCAGCCTTGGGCCAAGAACAGCCGGGCCGTAGGGCCTTTATGGCCTTTGTCTTCAGAGAGCACCCACAGCGAAGCACTGTCTGCAAGTTGAGTAGAAGAAGCGCGTGCGCTGCCGCATCTGCCGCCATGGAGCCTCCCAATGGCAAGCGACCTCTGCAAGGGTTCCTGGAGATCAGCGAGGCCGCTGCAGAAAACCGCCACAGGATGCCGTGAGGGTGCGTGGGTTTTTGTCTCCTCTCAGGAGGCCATGGAGAAAAAGCTGGCGATGTTGCGGCGCTTGGTGGCGCAACCCATCAACGGCCAGGACACCTGTCCATCCCAGGCACCACACCACTATGTCACTGCAACATTTTCCGAGCCTTCTGCACGGCACCCTACGGCCCAGGTGGGCGACGGCTTGTTCGTGGGAAACAAACGTCACGTGCTTGGGACATTGTTGCCCTGTAGTCATCAGTTCTTTCCCTTGACTCGGACCCGCTTTAGCCGAGGTCACGCGACGGACGTGCGCACACTGGTCAGCCTGGGGGTGCCTAAGCGTAGACATGTTTGGTGTCCTGTTGTAGAATGTTCGCAGCTGCTGAGGTCACTGGTGCCATGAACTGTGCTCCGACGGGCATCAGCTCCTTGAACCTGGATGTGTACACGCACCATGGCGTGGGCCTGGGGTAAGCACGGTTATGCCGCAATGTCACCTTCACCTTCGGGTTGAGGAAGCCTCGTTCTGCCCAGGCATCGCGTACGGCTACACGAACGTCAGCCAGGCGCAAAACGGATCTTCGCTGGATGTGTTTTGTCCAGTGCGCATGCCGCATGGAAACCTGCATTGAGGACGATTTTCGGTATCCAATCCTGCATGATCGCGACGGTCATCGATCCGAACACTTGGAGACTGCCAAGTCATTCTACGACCGAGTGCGGCAAGCAGGTGCAAGCGCGGAACTGTTGTCAGGAGGTTTTGTGGCGCTGTTAGCTCCGTTTCTATGTCCCGCAGCCTATGCAGAATCGTTGTATCACATTCGAGTGAAGTCTTCTGCTTCCGGAGCAGGTGGCAATGTGCTCTTCTTCTGCGTAGCGGGCCAGAACCGCTCAGCCACACTGGCGGTGGCAGTGCAGATCCTGCAGGGAAAGAAATTGGAGGAGATCCTCACCGTTTGTGCCGGCAGCTCAGCTCCAGCCAATTCCATGCCCTTAGTGCCTTTTCCGATAAAGCCCTCCTCCAGTCGAAGTGCCGGCCCTTCATCCTCGAGAACGTCGGGTTCCAGCGGCAGCTCGTGGAGCTGGAAATCATCGAGGAGCGGTTGAGGCGCCGCTCGTCGGATGTCCCTGGCGCTCTCTTGTGCACAGCACTTCCAGGGGTCGAGAGCCCTCTCCGCAGCTGCGGCCGCTGCCTGATCCGCCCAAGGCCCGGGTGATGAAGTTCGTGCTCCCCCGATCCTGCCCTGCTCGCCGGTCTCAGGGGAAGAGGCTGAAGGTGGAGACGTTCCCAGACTCCTCCCAAGTGGAGGTAGAGCTCCTGGTTTCGGGCGTCTGTACGATGGCGGCAGTCATCCCCGCTTCTTGGAGAGTACGAGTATGGTGCAGTTCAGATTTTTGTGGACCTGGAGATTCCTAGACCCCCCAACTACTAGTACCCTCTAACATCCGGTATTATACCCAACTACTAGTATTCTCTAACAGTACCTACGAAAGGGTCCTTGGAGGGTCTGGGACTTTGCGGAGTGTGTCCGAGGTGGAGGCGACGATCGACGCTGTTCGGCACATCCTGAACGATCGCGTCAACTCCTACTTGACCTGCGAGAAGTGGCTTTGATTTGGATATATGTTGGCCGGAAAGAAGATTGAGTGCTTAAGAATTTACCTTGCGCGCTTTTTTGACAGGCAGTGCATCATCGGGAAGAGTTGGCTGATGTTCACCATGTTCGGCTTGCCTCCGGAGTTCGACCTCGTCCTCGAGGAGGCAGCCGTCGAGGCGCGGGCCCCTGAAACAGAGAGCGGAAGAGGCGACAGAGAGATCTTTCGGAGCCCAAGGTCGGTGTTCAAATCGCACGTTTGCAATCGACCTTCGGCTTAGAGATCGTGAAAACCGGCAGCGACTCCCTCGGTGCCTCACTCGGTCAAGTTCCATGGGCTGTCGCAGTTGAACTGCTGCGGACTTGCTGATTGTAGGCGCGTCGACGATCATCTGCTGGAACTCTCGATGTCGTTTCGAACTGGCGATCTTCTCCGTGCAGCCTGGCTTGAGTGGAGGCAGAAGAGGTTGTTCGGTGCCAGATTCCCAAGTTGAGGTTGAAGGGCGACAAGGAAGCGCACGAGCCTTTCACCTTCCGCCCCGGGCCCAGAAGCGTGGCCCGCGTGGCCCCCTTAACCGGTGCGTGCGGGTGCGTCCTTCGGCTGCGAGGCCACGAGGAGCGGCCCGGAGCTCCCGGGACGTTGCTGGCGGAGAACTTCCTGGACACGAACCTGAGGGCCTGGGATTTTACCTCCGGCGAGGCCTTCCGGTCGACGCATCCGATCATCTTCAGCTATTCCGACGACCCCCGCAGCAAGCGAGCTTCTTGGCGCAAGCATACAGTACCTTTGCAGCTTTTCTGTCCTCGGGTGCTTCAGGACTTCATGAACATCTCGACCAGCAAGATGGAAAGGCATGTCCCGCCTTTCTTCTTCCTACGAAGCCCGAATGCCGTAAGGGTCCTAAAGTATCTCGCAGAGATCGGAGGCAGCAGTTCGATCATCCCGGAGAGGGCGGCATCCTGGGCATGGGTGGCTCGGGCTCGCTTCTGCCTTTCAGTTCTGCATTGGCAAAGGGGGACTCCCTCTCGTTATGGTCCTGGCCCGAGGGGCCAACGCCATCGTGCATCGGGTGGAGCTGGAGGCGGTGGAAAAGGCGCAAAGACAGTCAGCACCCTTGCATTTCGGTGGCGAGAAGCCGTGCTGCAGGACCCGGAGCCTGTCCGAAGGGGCTTGAGACTGCGCCCTTCGGTTGCAAGCGAGTGGAGGTGAGAAGTCTAGACAGCAGAGGTCCGCAGAACGTATCCTCACGGCTTCTTCATACTTTGTGTGTGTGTGGGCACGACAAACAATCCCAACGCATGGACAGGGTCAGTTGATCCCTGGTTTTCAGCTGGGATCTTCAAGCTGACTAGCTGGTAATTTCGAGAGCATCCGATGTTATCCGTCATCCGGATGCAGTCCTCTGAACAACCTTCTGCGACATATGTTTCGGGAGAATGCGTAGCAAATCCTAGTAAAAGCCGATGCGGTGTATGTTGTCAGGGCGCCTGAGCTCGGACCACTCCTTCGAACGGCGTTGGGACGCCGCCGTGAAGCGACCCTTCAGCCCGGGGCCCCAAGAAAGCGAATAGCAGCGCGAGATCTGAGAAAATGCCATGCATCCCTCCAGGCCTCTGGAAGATGCTGGCCTCCATGGAGCACAAGTCGGAAGCCGGTGTGGCCAAGAGGTTCCTGGTTGGCCGGATTCGGTGAGATCTGCTTCGCCACCGTGTTGGCGGGAGGTTGCGCATGGCCGGGGCGCTGAACAAGCAGGGCCGGCTCCTCTACTTCTACGGCCTGGGCCGGGTGCCCAGCATGAAAAGGACCTGGGGGGCCGGGCCTGGGGGGTTTTTGTTGTGGATTCAGGAATCGCCCTCGCCTCCAACAACAACAACCACGACGAATACAAGTTCGAGGTAGGGATGCGGATTCTGACAAGTGCTTCCCTTCGCCAGCCTGAGGGAGCTCAGAGCTTGACAGGTAACCCTGCTGTCGCAGTACCAGGAGGACTTTTCAGCCTACACGCTGAAGATGTTTATGGAGGACTACACCAAGGCTCGTGTCAAGTCGAGGCTCGGGGCTGCAGGTCCCCTGATGCTGGTCAGGTCCTGGCCTCGGGCGACCTCTCGCCAGAGGTGGGTGCAGGGGGAAGTTCGACCTGCGCTTTAACTGGTTCTCGAAATTTCCCGAAAAGGAGCATTGGCGCATCAAAGACATGCAGTCCAAGTTCTCTCTCATCAAGGTGAAGGTCTTGCTGGTGACCCGGCGCCTGTTTTTTTTTCAATGCCTCCAATGCCTCAAAAGGGCTCCTGCGAACCGAGGTGAGTCTCCTGAATGGCTTCAGGGACCTGACGTTGATGGGGGTGCAGGTGGGGGGGGCAGGGGTGGGGGGGAAAAGCGGCGACCAGCGGTTTTTTAAGGGCTCCAGGAAGATGTCTTCTGCTCAGAGGCCTTCGATTTCAACCACATGAACAACGTCCTCGTCTCCAGGGACTGCCGCAAGGCCCGGCTCATCGACATCGACGGCGACAGCAAGGGCTCCATCCAGCCGGGACCCCTCTTCCTCTTCGTCATATCTTGGTGGGGTGGGGAGGGACCAGGGAGCTTTCCGAAGGTTCCCCTCCGAGTACATCCAAGGGTCACAGACACAAGATGAGCCCGAGGACCCAAAGAGAGTTCGGTCGCGGGGGGGGATGGCAGTGCAGAGCGGACAGTACTAGGACCTGCACAAGCCAGCCTTGGACGTCGACCTTTGCACGATGCTGCCGCTTGTGATTCAGCACCTCATCTGTGGCAAAGGCGCAAGAAAATGCAAGAGTCGCGACTCGTACCGTAGCCTTGAAGTCTTTGGTGTCTGGAGTGTGTAGAGGCCGTGGCACGGCTTTCGTGACCAATCTCATCAGCAAGGTGAGGCCAGGAGCTTCGAAGCTTCCTCCTCGTCAGAGAGCAGTACCGAGTCCTGGCGTGCGTTTTGCGGGGAGGCGGGCGAAGACCGAAGAGGACGCCAAGGAACTCATCCGACAGATTGTCCAGGCACCACCACCACCTCCCTTCTTCGTAGGATGCTGTAGAAGGACCAGGAGCTTCTTTCACGAAAGGTTGGAGCATCTCAGAACGACCTGCCAGGAGGATTTCTTCCCGAAGCTGCCTGCATGTCCGGCGGAGAGGGAAGCTCGGCTTAAGGGCCTGATCTCTCAGACTTCCCAGGGCCCCCCCCCCCCCCGCACGCATCCGACTCTCGGACTCCCCTGTCCTATGCCCTCCTGGGCTCGAGGAGCGCAGTGAGAAGCACCTTGCGAAGGTTGTGGAGTGGCCGCTTGAGCCATACGAGCAAAGCTGTAGTTACACTAACTACAGTGTAGTTGCAGTTACGATTATGCCAGTTGTAGAGTGAGTGTAAGTAAGCATTATGTTCTACATCTTGTGAACTGCTCCCCAGGTTCTATGCTCTTCTTATGAGGAGGTCTCCCTGGACGACTTGGACCAACGATATCTACGATGCGATGCGCTGCATTGACCATTTGCCAATCAGCTAAGAGAGCCAAGAGTGGTGCCGAGTGCCGAGCTTGCAAGAGCTGGAGCCCAAGCGGATCTGCGCCGCCCTGGACACTCTGAACACTGGACAAGTTCAGCAGCCGCAGCGAGAGGCCGAGCACTTGTGGGTGGCGACTGAAGGAGGAGAAGGGAACTCGAGAAGGCGAGCCGACGCAGGGTCATGCCGACGATGCTGCCGACTCTGGAAGCCGCCCGGCCCAACCTGCTGTTGCCACGCCGGCGCAGCCGTCGCGCCGCAAGCTGTCTGCTTGCCCTTGGTGCGAGACCTCTAGCAGGGAGGGAGGTGGAGAAAAGGAAGCCTGTCGAAACCAGTTTATCGTGAGGGAAGAGGGAACGACTTCCGAATTCGGGGTTGCGGAGGCCTGCGTGCAGCTCTTGGAGAAGATTGCTACACAAGACATGAAGGACGGAGGCTGAGCCAGGCTGAGGCTCTCTGCGCTTCGGTCCGGCCTTGTGCTGTACGACGCAGCAGGACATTGCACGGAAAGTCGAAGACAGGCCTTCCTTGGGGCAGCCTGAAGTGCTCATAGGTCTTGATTGTGGCTGCTTGCAGCCATCGTTCCAGGATGGAGGATGAAGACGAGCATGTTCGCGACTCCGCGCAACTTCGCAGCACTTGCATCCTGCGCTGCTCTGTCTTGAGTGTGCGACACCGAAGAGGTACTATTCCTTGGAGGCCCAAGAAGTTCTTGCATGGCATTAGCCATTAGCATTCTCCTGCAAATTGCGGTTTTGAGACTGCCTTTTTCATGGCTTTTCTCCGCAGCTTTGGCTCAGTCATGGCTGAAGGGCTCCACTCCCCAGTCCCGGGCCTCCGGGCGCTGGGGGATGTGGCAGGCGTGGAAGAATCTGAATTTTTTGGTTTTGTTTCCATATGACATATAGGTTTAGATTACATTTAGATGGTGCACCCTGCATTCCCTGTGTTACTATGAAAAACTGCTGCCATGTTGTAGTGATGTAGTGTCGTGCGTGGCATGTGTGGCTAGAGTTTTGTCCCCATGAAAAAGGCTTCGGGCGATGACTTGAGCGAGCTCTACAAAGCCAAGGCCGCACAATTCCGAAACAGGAACAGGGGCGCTGAGGCTTGGGATCTACACAGGTTTAGAGACAGACGGGGACATAGACTCTATACTGTAGACAATGTTTAGAACATCTGCCTCGGTCTCTCTAGCTTCTGCCTCTCTCCCTCTCTCTCTCGCTCCCTCTCCCCCTCCCTCCCTCCCTCCCTCCCTCCCTCCCTCCCTCCCTCCCTCGCTCTCTCTCTCTCTCTCTCTGTCTCTCTCTCTCTCTCTCGCTCTGTGTATCAGTGCAGTTCTTACATCTCCGACATCTGCCAGGGAGGAGCCGCAGCCCAGCTCTTCCTCCAGGCGCAGCGGAAACGGGTTAGGGGCGGGCAGTTGACTCTCGGATAGGGGAAAGTGGGTGGAGGGGTGTCTGAGAAGGGAGGCGAGTAAACAGCCTCTGAGAAGGATCCCGTTGGATGCCCGCTGCAGGCCGAGGAATTGCTGGCCTCTGAGCGCTACGGGGAAGCGGAGGCAGAAGCTCGGCCCCTCGGCAGAATTCGTGTCGAGAGGACCCCCCCAAGAAAGTCTTTGTGGGGGCCGCTAAAATCTCTGTCAAGTTTCAGGAGGGCGGCGCAGAGCTTCCGCGATGCGGGCAGCACCGAAGGTGCTGCCGACGCGGTGCGCCTGGTGGTGAAGTCCCTGCTCGGGCAGGCTCGGGAAATAGCAAAAGGATGGTGAGTGAGTGCCATCATCGCTTCTTTCGGGAGTCGGCGCTGTGTGAATTCCGAACCAATTCAATATCAGGGACGCCGCGTCGAGGCTTTGGCCTTCGCGCAAGAGGAAGCGTGGGCAATTCAGTCGCTCAAGAGGTTTGTGACTCTGGCATTGTCATTGCAGAAGGAGAAGGAGAAGGCAGAAGACCGCGGTGCTGTCGCGAAACTTCTGGTGTCCGTGGCAGAGGCCGAGCTGCTGCAGGCTTTTAAACCGTCTGCGTGCAGCAGACTGCGCAGGCCTCCCTGGGCCTGCAGGGCGATGGAAGCCAGGCGGGAGCGAGAGGCTCAGCAGAGGTGCAGTCCAGAAAGGAAGAAAATCCAAAGAGCGATGCTCTCCGCTCTCTGGAGGCGCAGGCCAAGGCCGGGCTGCAGGAGGCGAGGCGGGCGCTCAGCGGCGCCATGGAGGCCCACGGCCCACGCTAGCGCCCATCTCCGAGCGCGCGGTGTGTCTGTGCGTGCCGCCGTGTGCGTGTGCGCACCTTTGGCTTCTGCAGGCGCGAGCACTACTGGCCCTGGCCGCCCTGGAGATGGAGAGGCAGCTGAGTCTGCGAGTCTGCGCCTGCGCTTTTCGTTCTCTCGCATCTGACGCCCGAGCCTGGGCCAGGGGCGATGGTGACCTCGCAGGCTTGGAGATGGGGCTCAGGCACGCCGGCGAGGTCCGGCTTTGGGATGCCCCTCGCCCCGCAGCACTCGTTTGTGGCAGAAAATTGCAGGCGAAGCAGAAGGCTCTGGAACTCGGCAATCGTCGCCTTGAGGCCTTGGGTGGAGAGCCGACGGAACTGCGCTTCGCCGCTTCGCCGCTTCGCTTCCTGACATCCGAGGCGATGTCGCTGCTGCTGATGGTGGACGGCAAGGGGATGATGGCATCCCCGGAAGATGCCCTGGAAGTGGCCGACGAGCTGCTGGACTTGAGCTTAGAGCTGAAGGACGGGATGGGATGGGGCTTCCGCAGCATCGACTGCACCGAAAGCTTCTGTCTAAGTCTCACAGATGCACAGATCAGACGCAGAGGACAAGCGCTTGGAGGCCTGCACATTGAGAAAGCTCTCGGAGCCTCGGGCAGAGAAAAGTCAGTGTGATCGGATGAAGTTTCCGGGAGACACGGCGACAACAGCGTCGTAAGGTGTGGAACAGCAAGCTCGGGGATCGTGATCGCGCCATTTCGGACGCGGAAGAAGCCTGGGAGATCTACTGTGACCTGGAGTCTCCTCAGGCGAAGCTTCGATGAACAAAACGTGTGGAAGCATGCAGTGCGATGTCGGGCCGTGTCGGGAAGCGAGGAGCCCCAAGCTCTGCGGGCCCTTGTGGAAGGCCCACCTGCTGATCGCTGACTCTCTCTCTCTCTCTCTCTCCCTCTCCCTTCCTCCCTCTCCCATCTCCCTCTCTTAACTCCGCTGGCTCTGACGCTGTCGCTTGCTTGTGAGGCCTCCTTCCCGTGGACCCCCGTCGCGCCCGGCGCCTCTGCACCGAGTCCTTGAGCCGACTGCGCACCTGGGACTTGATTTGAAAGCCTCCATTAACTGAGAGCGCTGCACCTGCTTGGCCTTGGCCTACCGCAGGCCAGAAGGGCCAGAAGCTGGCGGAGGTGGAGGTCGTGCGTCTGCTCGTGGAGGCAGCGGGTCGTGCGCGGCGCCACCCTGCGACTCTTTGGACAGTTCCCTGTGGCCCGTGGCCCTGTCACAGGTTCTTCTCAGACTTGGGAGGGTGCAGGACCACGGAATTCTACAAAGCCAAAGCCATCACCTCAGGCAGACGTTCCCCTTCGCAGGAGGCGGCCTCTGCGGCACAAGACTGCATCCCCATCTGCAAGGACTTCCAAGGAGCCTGTCATCGAAAGCACGTGGTGGAGACTCCCGCATCCGCCAGGAGATTGGAGCCACCGAGGCGCAGGCGGCCCTGATCGTCCGCCTGGCCCGGGCGCGCCTGCAGGCGTCGCTGTGTGGTGGCGTCGTAAGACTTTCTGTAGCATCGGAGGGATGGGACTTGGCCTCAGAGGCCTCAGAGGGGAGCCAGGGCTGGGATTGGGACTAGCTGGCAATTCTTGGTGAGAATGGTAGTGGGCTGGAAGCACGCAAAGCACGAGCAGTAATGAGAAAAGTTATCCTAAAGTTCAGAGGCTCCCACACGTCAGGGAGATGCGCTCTTGCTGGCTGTTGCTCGCACCCCTCCCTTCTGCCTGAGCTTCTCAACTTGGGTGACAGCTTCTGCTCGTCGACTCGTCGAGCGCAAAGAGAGCTCCCATTTTGACGTCTTAGCGAGGCGTTGTCTAAGAAAGCGTGCACATGGAAGATGCGTCGACTCGGGCACTGTCGCGGTGCCACGCAGTTCGAGTTGCACGAAGAGTCTGAGAGCCGAATTTTCTGCCTGGCAGGCCGGTGACTTCGAGAAGGCCGGACGGGCTTTCAACCGTCTTTCAACGACTCTCAGCCTTCAGATCTCTTGACAATCCTGGGTTTGGGGCACTGGATTGGTCCCACTTGCAGTGGCAACACCAAGACTCTTGTGAGCTGGAGGGGGGGGGAGAAGAGCTTGACATCGAAGCAGGAATTTACAGAGGTCACAAGCGGAGGAGTCCTGGTGATGCGTGAAAGCTCGCCGTTATCCTTGGGGCTGACTTGTCGAAGGCCAAGACCATGGCAGAGAATGCGTGGACGTCATCGGCTCAGCACGTTCATTTTGCAGCTCAGCAGATGCTGGTCGGAAGCATTCGGGCTGTGCAGTGCCGCCGAGGATGCTCGACGAAGCCAAGGCCACGGCACAAGCCGAGAAGGCACGGAGAAAGGGCATGCAGGGCATGCGTGAACGAGACGCACGAAGGCTTGACCTCGGCGCAGGCAGATGCCATGGAGGTGCTTTGCGATGCCCAGGTCCAGTCGACCGACCTCGAGGAAGACAGTCTGTGCAAAGGGAAATGCCTGCTTGATGGCGGTCGGCTTCGCCATGTAGGATGCACTAGCGCGTGCCACCGACTTTCGCGAGCACTTCGCGGTGGCTGGCGACGTTTGCCGGCTGAGTCCAGATTCTCCGTTCCGGGATTCGAGAAGCAGGGCGTGTGCAAAAGCGCCTAGGCGAGGGGCCAGGCGAGGGCCTTGCTGCGATGCGCTCAGCTTCAGCGGGCTGCCCAGCATTCCCTCGGCGTTTCCTCTGTTTCTCCCGTCTTGGGCGGCAATGCAGCAATGCAGGCTGGAGATGGGCGACTACGAGATGGCGTTCCAGAGCGCACAGAAGGCCTGCAATCTCTACCACCAGGCGCCCGAGCAGTGCATGTGCGTGCAGCCGTGCAGCTCCCTGACAAGAATCTTTCCCTGGCCAGGAGAGGCAGAAGCGAGAGGAGGCGGACGCGAAGCTACTGTGTGGTAAGATCTTTTGGCGGAAAGCCGACCACAAGGTGGGACATGCAGCTGAGGAGCAGCATCCTGCAATACCTTCCGACATGTGAATCCAGGCGGCCGTGACGTGGGCTGAACGAGTGCCGGCCTCATTGCTTTCGCCAGCAGATTACGCTGGCTCTGTGTTCCACGCAGCTCCTATACTAGAGTCAGAAGAGGGGGTGCGGTGGCATATCCCATTCCATGGAGATGATCTGACCCAGGCACGAGCTGCGTACCGTGAGCTGGAGCAGACGGAAGACGAGGTGCCCAGACCTCCGCTTGCTTGGTGTTTCTCAAGCATGTGCTGCGCTTTGCTCAGGTGGCTTGCCTCTGTGTCATTTCCGAAAATGCAGCACGCCTGGCTGCTCGCGAAGGCACAACGCATCCGAGGGCCCCACGACATTGTCGAAGGGAGGGTGGCGGGGATTTTCTGCTTGCCTGGAGGAGCCAGCCTGGACGTGTCGGAGCCTGCGCCGCGGGCCGCCAGAGATGCGGGGTGCCGACTGGGTGTCACTGTAGGGTCTGTAGGTTCTTGTCGGGGTGAAAGCTCCTGCGAGATGCTCGCTTGCTCACAGTATAAGATGTTGTAGATAGCACGATGCCACTTAGTGCGAGCGACTGCGCATGTTCGCATTGACTTTGGTTGCGGATTTCTACACTCTGCCTAGGCTTTAGAGAAGTCCTTGAAGTCCGCGGAGGCCCGGCTGGAAACCCGACTCTGCGCGCTGGGTCCCCCCCCCGTCTCGTTTGAGGCTGGGCTGAAGCTGCTGAAGGTCTCCTCGGCAGCTCCGGAGCTCCACGGGCAGCTGCTCTGCGCCCGGGCGCAGGCACGCAAGAACGGGGCCGGCCGGTGCGCAGCTTGCGGTTGCGCTGTGTCGGGGATCGCGGCGGGTGCACGCCCCTCCCCCCCAGGCACTGACTTTCCAAGGGCGCTTCGAGGAGGCGCTGGGCAGCCTCGACGAGGCCGCCGCAGCCCTCAGAGTTTTTTATCAGGAGCTGAAGGGCTCGCACGGCCTGAGACTCCGGGGGCATACCGGCATACCTTGCTCTCAAGGTTCTTCGATTTCGGGAGCTCGACGAGTACGGATTGGAGGTTCCACATGCGGCCCTTGCGTCACGGAGCAGCAAATGATAAAAGAGAGCTTCAGGCCAATGCGCTCCTGCTCGCATGCGACAACCTCTTCGCGCAGGGCTCAGCTGTTTCGGGATGTACTTGTCGTGGGCTGGAGTTGCCGTTGCAGAAGTCACTACATCTTTGAGAATTCAGTGATTTTGAGGCCTTGAATCGGGCACGGGAAGCCGCAGAGGCGAGCGGCAAATCATGGGGAGGATTTCTGCAAACTTGAAACACAGAACGCAGACAACGTGGCCCTCTTTATGTGAAGCGTCGCGCAACTCTGACAAGACAGTGCAGGCAGCGACAGAGGCACTGACGCTGTACCAGCACTGCCAGGACGCAGCCACGGTGAGGGGAATGTAGCTCAGGCTCATTCAAAATGCTGCGCCGCAACTTTTCAGAGCTCATCGTAGAGATAGAGGTCGTGTGTTGTGGCTTTTTCTCAGGGGCCCCTGTCTTGAGTATGCCATCGATCCATCTCGATCACGTTCTCCTCAAGAGTCATACCTGCTGGGGTACAGTGGGTTGAGACTCTGCTTGCTGAGGACCTGGACGGCGAGGAGCGGGCCAGGGTGGTCGGGGCCTGACGGTGCCGATCAAGATCATGTCGTGGCCATCCCAAAAATCTAGTCGGGTACTTAAGCAACCTGTAATACGCAAGTCCGTCGGTGGCCGCAGGGTTGTGAGGGGACTGGCAATGGGGTCGCTGCAGAAGGTGAAAGGTGTGGGTGTGCTGGGGGTGAGGGCTGCCCACACCGAGAAGCAAATCTCAAGGTGTGTCTTACCCCTCCAAAGCTGTGGGGTGTGGGCAGCGTTGCCCACCCGCCTGAAAGCGCGTTCGCCTTTGAGGCCTTTAGGTGCTGTGGGCAGTGCGCGCGGTGAGGGCTAGCGGCTAACCCTTTAGCTCGACAGGTTGCGTCCGCTGAGTCACTGAGGGTGGTGTGTGCGGCGGTATCGGGCGGCGGATAGAGAATAAGAAGCGATCAAGGCAAGAGTGGATTATGGCCAGACTCATGCTAACTGCAAGAGGCGGTGCACGTGCCAGTATGAATCAGTCCAGTCCAGTATGAATCAGTCCAGTCCAGCACAGCTTCATCACTACTATATACAACAGAGCAATGTGGCTGAGTTGCTGAAGCACCCTAGCCTCATCGCCACCGCCCGGCGGCAAGCTGAGATGACGCGACTTCCGGACACGCCGAGGTTTCCACAAGTCACTCGCGGTCCCGAGGCCCAGCGAGCCGAGACCGGGTGTACCGGGACCCATGCCGGGAGCAGACGTGACGCCGGTGCCCGACACTTGGGAAGGAAGCCGTCTACCAGTCTGGTGGGCTTGTGTGCCGCCGCTCACTTTCGAGGTGGTTGCAACAGGCTGATGCTCCATCGGAGGCCGTCTTGTGTCAAAGCGGAGGGTCCTGCCCCAATGCTAAGTCCTTGCAGGAGGCCGCGCCCGTCGCCGCGCGGGCCGTACAGCGCTCCACTGGGATCGGCGCTCAGCGGAACGGCGGAACGCTGCCTCTTTCTTCGCAGCTGGGTCTGCTCGCAGCTGGGGGGTACCGTGCGCCGAGGCCAGCCCTGGACATGGCGGCCATCACCCCCGAGGCAGTCATGGCGAAGGCGCGGAGGGAAACGTCGCAGCAGAGTTCTCATAGAATTCCACTTGGCAACAACTGCGAGGTTCGCGACATCGTCGCTGCAGTCACTGGGACGGAGCTTGAGGAAATCGACACAGAGACACCTCTCATGGAGGCCAATCTGCACTGCGAAACGTGTCGTGGGATGGACGTTTGAGCAAGCGGAGTGATGTACTGCGCTGTCTCAGGCGGGTCTCACAAGCAGTTCCGCGATCGTGATGCAAGAGACGCTGAGCAAGGCCTCAAGGGGCTCAAGGGGTCCTTCGAGTCGCCTTTGAATCGGTATGTGGCTGCTTCTTTAATCATGCTTTGTCAGGAACTTGGCATGAAGCTCCCCATGACACTGGCAGGGACCTCGCATGCGCCAGAAGAGTGGAGCTTGGAAAGAGCCACCGGCCCTGACTGTTAAGGTCTTTGACTACCCGACCATTTCCGACATGCCCAGCCCTGAGTGTGTGTGAGCTTCCTTTGATGTCTCCCTCTGTTCTTGGAGCTTCAATACGCAGGGCAGAGATGGTCCAAGAGCAGACCTCGCAGAAGGCTATCCAGGGCTGAGAGGCAACTCAGCGCCTCCACCTCACCCGTCCCCCGTCAGATCTTCCGCGCGTGCCGCCTGGAGGAAGGAAAAGAGCGCGTGCAGTGTGGACAGAGCGGAGCAAGCAGGAGGCTGTGAGGCTGCATTGGTGCTTCGTGCCTTCAGGCAATCAAGGCCAACCTGCCTGGGCGCCGCCGGCACGCTCCTCGGACAACTGCTCCCACAGAGCGGCCCCTGGCCTTTCGCGGACCGCGGACTCCTGTACAATTTCAGGTGGATTTCGGACCTTCCTGACCTGGGCGATTTGGATCGCATCGGGTCCGGCACTTGGCCCTCGGCGACGGCTGCGAGATGCCCGCCGCAGAATGCAAGTTGACCTACCTTGTCGCGGATTGAAGGCTGGACTCGTCGGACGAGGAGGATGAGAAGGGCGACCGCTGGTAGGGCACGCGACCGGCGGGCTGCGGACGTTGCACAAAATGACATCCGCACGCCAAGCGAATCATCTTTGAGAAGTTGAAGTTCAAGCCAACTAAACTGCAACAAGTGCTTGTTTTGTCGAACCCGTAGAAAAGGGCAGCTGAGGCGTGCATGCCGTTGGCATCTGCTTTGGGCTGCTGCTTCCCTGCGAAGATTCCGCTAATGCCTCCGCTGGGTGAGGTGTCAAGAACCAGAAGCCAGCAGTTGGCCATGGGCCCCGCAAAGAGTCCGTTAGTGCCTCCGCTGAGTCCGTTGGGCCTTCTGTCTTGCTGGTTTCGCGGTTCTCTCGAAAAACTGATACTGTCACATCCGGACCAACAATACCATATAGGCCTTATGAGCCCAACATAGCCCAACGATAGCAAACTCACAGTGAGCCGCAAGGTGTGGGCTCCAGGAGCACGCAGCCAGTGACCCATGCAGATCTATGGCTCAAGACGGAGGAAGTTGTGCGGAGCTCGCCCTGCCAGGACGTAGCCCGGTGAGGGGAATGTAGTTCAGGCTCATGCAGATCTATAGTTTCATGCCAAAACATGCTGCGCCACAGAGCTTTTCGTGGAGATGGAGGTCGCATGTAGTGCAATTTTGTGGGGCACTGTGCCTGGGGTGGTCGGGACCTGACGGTGCCGATCAAGCCATGGCAAACTCGGAAGGAGAGTAGTAGCCGAATAGCTGTATGGAAGAGCAGTTGTCCACCCAGCAGCTGCCTTGAAGGCTGCTGCCGTCCCTCGCGTACGACTTACAACTTAAATCGAAATCGTACGGACAGCTCATATGTTATGCAGGTGCATCATACTTCTTCTGCAGGCTTTGTGGAGACTGGAACTGGGGTTACTGCGGAAGGTGTAAACATTGTCAACAGTAATTAGGTGTGCTGGGGGCGCGGGCTGATGGAGCTCCCCACAAAGCCTTTAGGCCCTTCGGCGCTGTGGGCAGTCGACCTTAACCTGAGGGCCGTGTGGGCGGGCGGGCTCCGTGGGCGAAGGAAGGTATGAGAGATCGTGACCAGACTCGTGCTGACATCTGGGAGAGGCGGCGCACGTGCCAGTATGAATCAGTCCAGTCCAGCACAGCTTCATGACTACTATTTAGCAATGTGGCTGAGTTGCTGAAGCACCCCAGCCTCATCGCCACCGCCCGGCGGCAAGCTGAGATGACGCGACTTACGGACGCACCGAGGTTTCCACAAGTCGCTCGCGGTCCCGAGGCCCAGCGAGCCGAGACCGGGTGTACCGGGACCCATGCCGGGAGCAGACGTGACGCCGGTGCCCGACACTTGGGAAGGAAGCTGTCTACCAGTCCGGTGGGCTTGTGTGCCGCCGCTCACTTTCGAGGTGGTTGCACTAGGCTGATGCTCCATTGGAGGCCGTCTTGTGCCAAAGCGGAGGGTCCTGCCCGAATGCTCAGTCCTTGCAGGAGGCCGCGCCCGTCGCCGCGCGGGCCGTATACAGCGCTCCACTGGGATCGGCGCTCAGCGGAACGGCGGAACGCTGCCTCTTTCTTCGCAGCTGGGTCTGCTCGCAGCTGGGGGGTACCGTGCGCCGAGGCCAACCCTGGACATGGCGGCGCCATCACCCCCCAGGCAGTCAGTCATGGCGAAGACGCGGAGGGAAACGTCGCAGCAGAGTTCTCATAGACTTCCACATGGCAACGACTGCGAGGTTCGCGACATCGTCGCTGCGGTCACTGGGACGGAGCTTGAGGAAATCGACACAGAGACACCGCTCATGGAGGCCAATCTGCGCTGCGAAACGTCGCGGGATGCACGTTTTGAGCAAGTGGAGTGATGTACGGCGCTGTCTCAGGTGGGTCTCACAAGCAGTTCCGCGATCGTGATGCAAGAGACGCTGAGCAAGGCCTCAAGGGGCTCAAGGGGTCCTTCGAGTCGCCTTTGAATCGGTATGTGGCTGCTTCTTTAATCATGCTTTGTCAGGAACTTGGCATGAAGCTCCCCATGACTGGCAGGGACCTCGCATGCGTCTAGTTTGTGTAGGCTTGTGTGCAGCCGCTGCACTTTCGAGGTGGTGGCAGTTGGAGGCCGTCTGAAGCGGAAGTGAGCGGAAGACGGATGAACGCGGCTTGCCGTTCCCTTTGTTTGCAGCCTCATTCATCCCCGCGCTTATGCTCAGCGATTTGGATCGCATCTGGTCCGCCGATTGGACTTTAGCGGCTGACGGCTTGCAGGCGCTCAAAAAGATTAGTTGCAGCAGTTGCAGAGAGTTTGTACTGCTATTGTCACGATAACTAGCTCTGCGGAGATTGAGGCAAGCAACCTTTGGCTTTGGGGTTGGCTTTCTTGCTGGACTGCGCAAATTGCATTGCTTCGACATCAAGTGAATGCCATGTGACTGCCGCTACGGGGCTCGTAGGAACGTCCAGGGCCTCCGCCTGCTTGCGCTTGGCTTCCTCTGCCTTTGCTCGGCCTCGTCCTCCTGCTTCGACCTCAGATGCGTTATGCCGTTATGCATCAGCAACAGGGAGCGTGCGAGATCGACCTAGTGTGAAGACCTGCGGGATTTTGATGGCCGCAGCTGGATCATGCAGCACGCACCAGTCACACGGATGAAGTTCTTAGCATATCGAAGCACTCGTACATGTTATCAATGCATGTTGCAAGCTCGTGTTCGCGCATATGCCTGCAGCCGCAACTACGCATATCTCATGGCAGAAACTGCTCACTAAATTGAATGTCGCCGCCGGTAGCACGCCATCGCCGCTGGGTCCGGCAGAAGCTGGAGACGTGGGCGTGTCTTGGCATACAACATGAGCATTAGTCTGCAAGGCTCTGGCTCTGATGGCTCTGTCCGAGGAAGTGTCCCGACAGTGTTCATCTGTTCTTCGTGCGGCAGCTGGTCGAGGACCTCTTGGAGCAGTTGGATGTGGCCCACGATGCTTCATCCCGGCAGCTCGCTCGCCTGTCTGTCATGCAGAGAGTCACCCCCAAACGGAAAGGGAGAGCTGAATTTGAACCACGGGAACTTGCCCGGACCTCCGCAGCTTCAGGGTCTCAGATGTCGTGCCACATCAGGCAGAACGGATGGATCCGGAACCTGAAGAAGCAGCAAGGGCCTGAGGATCAGGAGCAGACAGTGAGAGCGAGCGTGGGAGTGTGATGGAGTCAGTGCCTGCAGGTTGTCGAGGCGGAACAAGAAGATCTCCGAACTCGAGCGCAGTCTCTACGAGACGCAGTTTGCCGGCTGCACGAAATCCCCCATGCGAGCCAACTTCGCTGACATGCTGGCATGCTGGCCAACAGCACTAATTAGCACAAGCCCAGGCACTGCAAAACGGAGCAGCCCCTGGCAGAGGACTGTGCTGCCGAGGTGAGATTTTGGGGAGCATGTGTGTGTAATATCGTGGAACATCATGGAACTCTGCAGAAGGGCAGACCTGTTCAAACCCTCCTCCACGTCTGCATGGACGCAGGAGGCCGCGGTGGTAAAGCAGGTCGAACTACCAAGCGCTGCTCAGCTCTTCCGGCATGGTGGTACTGAACAGAGGCTTGGGCAGCAATGCGTCGTTTTTTCGACTCGTCGGCGTGGGCGGTCGCGGGGATTTGACAGCAAACGGCAAGCCGCCAGAAGGCGGGATTGAGCAGCAGCACTATCGCAAGCCCAGGCACTGCAAAGCGGAGCAGCCCCTGGCAGAGAACTGTGCTGCCGAGGTGAGATTTTGGGGAGCATGTGTGTGTAATATCGTGGAACATCATGGAACTCTGCAGAAGGGCAGACCTGTTCAAACCCTCCTCCACGTCTGCATGGACGCAGGAGGCCGCGGTGGTAAAGCAGGTCGAACTACCAAGCGCTGCTCAGCTCTTCCGGCATGGTGGTACTGAACAGAGGCTTGGGCAGCAATGCGTCGTTTTTTCGACTCGTCGGCGTGGGCGGTCGCGGGGATTTGACAGCAAACGGCAAGCTGCCAGAAGGCGGGATTGAGCAGCAGCACTATCGCAAGCCCAGGCACTGCAAAGCGGAGCAGCCCCTGGCAGAGAACTGTGCTGCCGAGGTGAGATTTTGGGGAGCATGTGATGTTTATCTGCCAGGGAGATGACTCCAATGCTTTTCAATCTGGGCCTTTGGATCAGAATCGGTAAAATAATCGTGGAACATCATGGAACTCTGCAGAAGGGCAGACCTGTTCAAACCCTCCTCCACGTCTGCATGAACGCAGGAGGCCGCCGTGAAGCCGTGCTTGGTGTTCGGTGTGCCTCAGCAGCAGTCCATAGCTCACCACTTTGGCTCGTAGCCACCCATAAACTTTCATCGATGCTGCTCCGAAGCCCCAATCAGTCCCACAACTCCGGCACGTCAATCATGCATAGCTTGTAAGGGTTCTTTGACTATTCCGCTATGTTTCGAGAAGGGGTCGCACGTGGCTGCAAGACATAATTAGCAGGGCTTGTGATTGTGTGGGTACGGATATTCGTTGGCATTGGACTTTCGGGCTGAGCGCATGCGAGGTCAAGGGGGCCCTTGCGGGTTGTGAAGAGTGTCTCCCAATGGATTCCCAAGAACAAGTCCCCGAGAAGTTTGGACAACTGTTGAAATCTGTTGTCCGATCATTCCAGCATTTCTAGCTCTTTGTACCTGCAGAGAGCATGCAGTCCTCACAAAGCCTGGGAGCCTGCAGGAGCATATCTCTTTGGAGGATGGCTGGGGGCAGTTGCCAAGCTGCAAGTATCTGTGCCGCGGACCTTGTCATATCCATCTGCTTCAGCTGCCTCAGCCTTCTGTAAGGTGCAGCCCAGTTCCCGTTTGCACGGAGTGCTCTGTAATGACTTGCAGTATGGTTCGGCAATCAATCTACATTGTACAATACTGGATGACGATGATCTCCATTGACCATGAAGTAAGATTTGTCAGGTGGAACAGCTGCCTGAGTTTACGGAGCCATCTGACCTGAGGTCACAGCCTCTGATGATGACGCCAACCAGTGCAAGCAAGGACAAGAACGCCACTTTCTTTGGTCTGTGGCCGCCTGAGCTTATGGAAATCTTCTGAACAGTTCTCTTATCTGCTTGCCTTCAATCCACGTTGCACTCGATTTTCTCTAATCTCCGCTCCATGGTCTGCATTCACAATCTGGTACCACAGGTGGGTTTTGATAGAATTTGGATTCGCGATAACACGAAGGTGCGAAAGGGGCATACACTTCTCTGCAAGCAATGTGGCAGAGGCACAGAGACAGCATCGGCGAAAGAAGTACCCTGGCGCCGTCCCGCGCAGCATCTCCTGTGTCGGCGGCTGGCTCTGAGGCGGCTAGCTGCCCGTGAAGCAGTCTGGATGTGGATGTCTGTATTTTCAGGTTTTCAGGCTGGCACACGGGTTGGAGTCGCCCTCAGGGTGCAGCAGAACACTCCAAGCTACAACGAGCGTGTAGTCCTCAACAAGCTTATGCGCTTGCAGGATGCCTCCTGGGAAAGTGCTCTCGCGGAGAACGGCGAGCACCATTCTCAGCGATTACGACGTGATTGGAAGAACGTGTTTGACAACCCGAAAAGACGAAGAGGGGCTTTGAGCAACTACACAGAGGAGCTCGCGAAGAGCCAACACAACGACTCGAATCAACATGGAGAAATGCCAACATGAGGATTTGAGTTGAGTAGTTTGTGTCAATTAATGCAGGGGGCAAATAGCAAGAGACATAGGCAACCCGAAGAGACCAAACGAGGGCTTGCCTGGTTTTAACCGTCAATTCGGAGCGCATAGTGGAACGAACTATACACACAAAGACGGGTCGAAGCCTGTGTATAGTCGGATCCCGCAACCCATGCAACGAAAGGATTGGAGTGGCCCTAATATTATTTACAACTTTCAACAACTGATGCAAAAGCTGGAGAAGTCTTGGAGGGATGTAGCACTTGATTTAACCTTACGGAGGGCAAGTCAACCCATCCATTGGGAGACTAGGCCATGTATCCGACGCCGAGGTGGCCGAGAGTCCGTGAGCACCCAGCTGATTTGGATATGCTGGAGGCCTGGCACCAGATGCCTGGCAACTGGCACCGCTGGCACCACTGGCAGTGTAGCTTCCGACTTCTCTTGTTCGCACTCAGCCGCTAGGAGGCGAGCGAGAATGAGATGGGGGAGGACGAGTCGCTTCAGGAGTCAGATGGCGCTCCACGCTGCGATCCTCGAGAAGCTGTGCAAGAGGTGCAGACACTTGTCTGAAGCTTCTGCAGGGTTCGCGCTATCAAGTGTCTCGCACACGGGCCTGCAGCCCAGGTCCATCAAGGATGGCCTGGCGACAACTGCCAGGGATGTCGAGGTTCGGGACCCGTTCGACCCCTCAAAGAACGCATTGCAACTTGGCATCCAGATGTTTGAATCAGAGAGGACACATGAAATTGGACTCTACGAGCGAGCAAGTCTTAAGGCCCAGTCTGTTGCAGTGCCTTACCGCGCCCTGTCTGCAACGGTAGTGGCTTTCGAGGATTTGCTGTGGAAGGGCCTGAGGGCATCTCAAGCGGGGTAGCCCTCCGGCAGAAGGGGCACCGGCAGCTGCCCGCAGGTGGATGAAATTATGGAGTGGCGCCTGACGTCTCGGCAGGCCAGCAGTCCCAGGGCCGAGAGCTTGGTTGGGGCAGTTTCAAGTTGAGCAGGTTTTCTGGGAAGACTGGGATGCACGTGCTGCAACCTGAGGCCTTGATACACCACCTGGCCGAACTGGGCAGGCTTGACAGGCGCGGATCACTAGCAGGTTGTGTGGCCACAGACAAGCAGGAGTTGTGCACCGTGAGTTCCGCTGGAGCAGGTCCGAGTCAATCTGCGACTTTGCTGAGAAATGGACATCTGGCATCGCCGACCCGGATACCTTTAATGCCGAGATTGCGAAGGATCTCACGAAACAGAAATTCTTTGAGTGTCTCTCGGCCTTGAATGAACGACACGAGGAAAAAAATATTTTATCTGGCGAACAGCGTCGTCTTTTTTTTCAATCCGAGGCCGCTGGTGGTGCATGAAGCTGGCGCATGCAGAGCAAACACATTTCCCAGAAAGTGATGTCCGCAAAATCGTCAGCGCAAACCTTGCAGACTTGCTTGTGCACTGCAGCCACCCGGATGAAACTGTGAGGAGGGCAGCGCGCGACATTGTGTGGTTCTATGGGGTTGGCAGCCTCCCCTTTGTGCAGCAGTTGATCGCGGAAGCCATGCTTGGCCAGATGGGGGACCTGTTACTGCCAGAGTCCTCGGACATCAGCCGAGAGACCTCGACTGAGGCAATGCAGTGTAGCCAGTACCTTAAATGCGTACTGCGCGCACTGTCGAAGCCTCAGCGCCAAAAGTGGGTGTCCCTGCTGGTCAGAGTCCTGCAAAGTCAGAACCCGTGCCAGAACAGAGTGATGGAACACCTGAAGCTTCTGTGGCGAGCTGATGACGATCCAAGACGAAGCTACGCAGAAGCCAAGCAGCAGCTGAAGGCTTTCTCAGAGCACGCCAATCGAGATTTGAGGAGACAGCTTTGGAGTCTGTACAACTGCTGAAATCTGTCTCGCGCAGCCAAACGCGTGGTAACAGCTTCGACAAAAGATGCGGGTATGTACTTTGAACGAGCAACATTGCTGCGAACTTGCTTTCTTATCAGACTCGTATCTGTGCGTAGGTCATGCCGCAGCTGGGCGGCGACGCAGAGCAAGCCGAGCTGGGCGGCGACGTGCAGGGGTCGGCAGCAGAGCCAGCAGAGCTGGGCGCTCGGCTGGCACGAGATGTCTCAACTGCAGCAAGGGCAGCTGGATGATCGCGCAGTGTGGCTGCATGCTAGAGGTGCCCGCAGTGCAGAGTTCTTCACGCAGGGAGTCCCAGCACGATTCACTCTCTGGCACTCTCTCTCCTCTCTCTCTTTCTCTCGCTCTTTCTCACTTGGCGCGCAGAGTCGCAGGCGGAGATCAGACGGCTGCACGGGTCTCTGATAATGGCGATGTACACGTGTGGCTCAAGTCTTCCTGTCCGCCTTTCCAGGAAGCAGCGGATCGCCGTCTTGACCCAGGCAAGTCAGTAGCAACTTGTTTGTGTTTGCATCACGGGGTCTGGGCATTGAGTGGCGAGCGCACTCCAAACGAGTTCTGAGTGCTGCTGCACGCAGCTTAAACTGGGGTTCATCATTACCGCTGGTATGTTATGGGCATGCTATATGCGGTCGTCGGACACAGGAGGCCGAAGTCCTAAAAGTTGTTTTGTGAACACCGGACTTGTCTCACATTCTGTTTATGCTCTTCGCCATCCGGCTGCGTCTCTCCATCCAAGTTGCTATTCGAGCATTGGGTGTGAGCTACCTGTTTCCAAAGACATGCCAGGTTCAGTCTGTGTCTATCTGCTTTGTTAAGCGCATAGCAACGGCAAGTGCCGTTGCCGAGTGAAAGCGCGTTCTCGGCCAGGGGGAACTTTCTGGATTGTGCTTTTTTCCTGGACTTCCAGCTTCACTGTTGTGGATGGTGAGACTATGCTATGGTTGCTGCGGTCTGCCTGCCTCTCAAATCGTTGATCGCATACAGCATCGCATCGGACCGCGCGGGTGGAAGGTGGACCAGCTGACACCCGGTGATCTCTGGCTCGTGGATTCTAGCATCGACGGATCACTATCCGTCCGGCCTTTCCGAGTTCAGCCACCGTTTTAGATCGTTTTAGATTTCTTTGTGTTAGGAGTCCTGAGATGAAGCGGAAGGTGTGAAAGCTAGCTCACGTCATGACACTCCTGTTTCGGGTTGGGCCTGAGCTGCCAGAACTGACGCGCTTGGACATAATTCAAACCAAAGCAGAAGGCTTCGTTTGCATATGACACACGGCTTCTTGTTTTCATAGAAGGTCTTGCCCACCCCATGGAAGGAGACGCAACGGCCGTAGTGGAACAGTGCGCTTTGCTAAACATTGCAGCTTCAGGCCGAAACGCAGCTGCACAAACAAGCCACATGTTTCGATCATGCAATGCAAGAACGCAGTGTATGTCCTTGCTGAGCTTGACAATGATCTTCAGGTTTGGGATTGAATTTGCGATGGCTTGATCGTTTCTATGGCAATGTTGTAAACCGGCCGACCAGATATTTTCGAATCATCCAGTACATGAAAATGAACTTCAACATTCGCCTAGCAGCCGTTGCAGGTGGTCCGTGTTGATGCGATGAGCTTATAGATGCAATAATTAATAGTTCTGGAAGATATCTGGAGACCAATGGTTCATTGCGAACCAAGCTTGTCAAGAAATCTTGTGTCGATGAGGATCTCCCTCTGTGCATACTATTTACCGCACGTCTTCGCATTCCGACGACGATGCTTTCCGAATCGTGAGCGGACAAGACTTTCCGGATGCGCACCATGTGAGTTTTAAGGGCGTCGGTGGCTCCGTTCACCTGTAGTCCGCTGTTCTTTAGCGTGCCGATGTCCATTTCCGAACCGTGCTAGAACATGCCCTGCTTGATGCGTGCCATGTGTTTTGTTGAGGGCGTTTGCCGCTCAGAGCATGCTGTTTTACTGCTTGTCTTCCGCATCACGAAGGCGATGTTGTACAGGGTTTATGTACAGGATGGGCACTGTAGGGAGTTTGGATTAGGATTTAAGGGTTCATGGTTTCAGAGTAGAGCCGTTTACCAGGCTTTAGGCCCGCCGGTTTTCCAGGGCCCCCGTGCCACATTGTAACCCTTCAGTTTTGCCGTTGCGTTGTAATCTCCAAAAAAGAGCCTGCCCTTGCCAGGCCGGCAAGCGCACCTGGGATCTCTTGATTTTGTCGAACCAGGCGACTCACTTGCACTTCTGGAAAGGCCCATCGGAATGAAACCGCCTCCCCCGAAGTCCGGCTGTAGGGGCGCCGCACACCTGCCTCCCCCCTCTTTCCCCCAGTTAATACATGTTGAGACCAGTCTGAGACCGACAACTTGAGAGCTCTGCAAAATCCGAAGCCCCCACAATTCAATGAACTATGAGTTCCGTTGCCATGCCATGCCACGACAGAAGATGCCCCATCGCGATGCAAGACATGACACTTCCAAAGCAAGTCTCCTCTCCCTCTCTCGCTGCATCGTGCCGCTCTTTATTTCCAACATTCAAACCCCACCTGAGTCTAAGGAGGTGGTCCGACTGCGCAGAGAAGCCCGGGGACCTTGCACTGGGTTTGGGGACATGTTTGGGTGAGGGTAGGATGATGAAGGGCTTGGGGGCTTCACAGTGTATGAACTTGGGTTCCGTGTTGCGCCAACTTCGGAGTTCCAACAGCTCTTGGATGCTTGCGTGACTACACAGATATTTCCCCAAATTCGGGCTGCCTATTGAGTATTGTTGTTTATCTCAATCTTAGTTGTAGTCTGATTCTTAGTATAAGTTTTAGTAAAAGACCCATCTGACAGATACAAGGAGTAGCCTTGTGTTCGGAAATCCTTTCTGCGATCGGCGAATGGCTGGGCTTAGGGTTTTCTGAAACTTGCCGCAAGGCCAGCAAGCACACGTGCCAACCAGCAACGCCCACAACCAACTCCCCCCGCGTCCCCGACCTGCGCGCGCAACATCGCACAACCACAGCATGGAACCTGAAATTGAGACCACTTCACTGCAGTGGGGCCAAGCGACCAGAATCCCTGCACACGGTCCCAAGGTGGCCAGACTGGAGACCTGTGTGGGAGTGCAGAGCAAACTTCCAGGTAGGTACTTCAATAAGTGTTTCAGGTTTTGCATTCCCTCCAGCCGCCCGTCTCACCGAGCCGTTCTTTTGACCAGCCAGCTATAGCCAGCTTCGATCATCGTCTAACCACAACGGTTAATTGGCCCTACTTTGCTACTTTGTGACATTGGCGCCGCCCACATCAAGAGCACCCTGCCTGCCTTGCCATGCCTGTATCTGCCAAAGTTCCTATCTTCGTTTGCTCCCCCCTCGCTTCTGTCATGCTCCCGCTCCAACATCCTTTGCTCAGCAGTTCCAAACTGCTTGAACTCAGTTTTTTCGCTCTTGTAGTCTTCCTTTGTGTTGTTGAAAGTTGCAGGCTCGTTGATTTTGCTCGTGTTGTTGCCTCCGTTTTTGCCTCGCTATCAAGTCATGCAGATCGTGTCGTCCTGCAGGTGCAAGTGATTCACAACTCGTCTCGTGATCTTTTGATATTGCAGCTTTTGATAGTATTGGTGTCCAGTTGCATGGAGTCTGACGAAAGAGTTGCAGCATTAGGTATCGTGCGTTATTGCTCGCTGTGATGGATATGTCAAAAGGTGCGAGACTAGTGTGCTGTGCTTCTTCAGCCTTCTTAGCGGTGGCTTTGGCAGAGCAGACCGCTACTTCTTGTTCCATCGAAGCGGCTGGGTCGTCCGAGTTCAAAATGGTGTTGGTGGCCTCGATAAAGCTATCCCACTGAGCTTCTGTGAGCCTCTCTGCTCGTTTTGGTGGGCCCTTTCAGATGTTCCTTTAGCGAGGGACTTGCGACTGCAGTCTTTCCACTCTGACACGTCCATAATAGCGCAATGCCGCGGTACAGTTGTGTACTACGTTTACCCACCCTCAGCATGCCATACGCCGTGAGCGACTTGTTCTAGTTGCCGCTCCCAGCTATGCACGCGAATACCCTTTGCACTGTGATTTCTTGACACGCTTGGTTCGCAATGAAACATTGGTCTCCAGATATCTTCCAAAACTATTAATTATTGCACCTATAACTCGGAGGACAGGGCTGGGCTTGAATGCATTCAGGGTTATACATTTCGGGAACTTGCACATCTGCATCTTTCCCAGGTCCGATCGAAAACCCGCCAGCTGCCACCACCAGCCGAGTTGGAGGCCCCATCACTCGGACCCTGCCGAACCCTACTCCCTCTGAAGCCGAAACACAACCGCGACCCAAGGCACAGCAGAAGAGCTCCGCCTGTCCCTGGCCCATAGAGACCAGCAGGCCGTGCGCATGGGTGAATGTCCATTTCGTATTCAGCACCCACCCACCCACCCACCCAGCCCCAAGTGCAAACCTTAAGGGCTTCATCCTTCCAGACCTCTGGCCCAGGGCTTGGGGTTGAGAGGCTTAGGGGCTTCGGGTTGACGTCTCAGCGCAAGGAGTTTACGATTGGAGCTTGGGGCTTGGACGGGACGGTTGAGAATTACGGGATTCCTCATATATATATATATATATATGCACACACATACACACACAGATATATATATATATATATATAGATATGGATATATATATATATATATATATATTGTTTTTGCTTTGCGGGCTTTCAGAGGTCTGCACGCAGCCTAATTAAATAAATAAATAAATAAATAAATAAATATATATATATATATATATAGAAACTGCGCTGCGCAAGTGGAGGTGCAGGAGCTGCGTGCTGCGCTCTTCTCCGAGCGTGGGGAGGTGCAGGACCTGCGCGCTGCGCTCCTCGCGGAGCGCCAAAAGAACGCTGCGCTCGAGGCCCTGGAATTCCCATTCGATTCCCGCGCTGAGGATTTGGCTCTATTCTCGTCCCCTGCCTTGCCAGGCGCTTCTTGCGCGCATCTTACAAGAAGGCGGCAGCGGCTTGGGGGACGTAACCCGCCCCTGTGTTTTGAAGGAGTCTTCAGGCGGATCTCCCCCCACCAAACACATCGTCCTGTCAGGTTGTTTTTGACCCTAAACCCTAATGTGATTTGTCACAGACATGCGTACATGTGCTTCTGCCTTCTGGTTAGGATTCAGGCCAACTGTGTCTCACTACGCAGCTTGACTGCTCAAGACCGACCTTGCGTCAGGTCCAGCAAAAGATCCGCTAGTGCCTGGGGGTTCTAGTGCTGTCTTTCCGCTGAGCGTCAAACTTACGGTTTTAATCTCTGATTGTCCTGCATTGCTCCGCTGCTTTGCTTTTATCTACGATTGGTTGCCTTGGGCTTTGTGACCGAGAGTTGAGTGGAATCCTCCGCTTTTCACAGGTTATCAGCCGTAAGGCCTCCGCATCCGATTGTGGATTGCTGCTTCGCTGCTGCTGCTTGGCACTCGGACCGCCTGATCCAATCAGTGTCTGATCACTACCGTTTTCCTGGCTCAGACCAAGTTCGGAACTTGTGATTGGCCACGCCACCGAGAGAATGGCGACTCCGATCGGTTCTCCCCGTGTCCCCTCGACTGTCGGTTCTTCACTAGTGACGCCAGTTGCTCGGGATGTCGTGGAGCCCGATGATAGTGCCCACGCATCTCGCTGCACTGCACCCGCCTCGCACGCTTCGCTCGCTCGCTCTGCTTCGCTGCTTGCTTCGCCGCCTGCTGAGGACGATCAGAGAGCTCAGCACCATGCGCCGCTTTTGCCATGCTCTGCTGCCGCTTTCGCAACGCCTGGCACGATGCACGCCGGCATGCTGCCTGCTTCTGCCACCGCTCGTGCTTTGCCTTTGTTGCCTGCCTTTTCTGCGTCCGCTGCTCCTGCTGCTTCCGCACCTGCCCTTCTTCCGACCGATTCTTCTTCTTGTCCTCTGTCCCTTCGCGGGGATCCAGAGGGCGCTCGGGCCATCTTTGGGTCCGGGCCGGACGGCCGTGGTCCACCGATTTCGGACCCGGCGTCCTTTCGTCCACCGCGCCCCGATTCTTATGGGCCGGTGGCAGGCCGCGGTGGAGCCTCGCTCCCCGACGAGCCCATGAGCGAGCACCCGGGTGCACCCCATGTTTCCGTCGCAACGATTACCGCGGCGGATCATGGTGGTGCTGCCCCCGCCACCGATAACGGCGGGAGGCTTCCCGGTCCCTGCGCTGTCAGGGCCCTGGTCGATGAAGCCATTGGGTCGGAAGCATCCGCGCGTATCGCCACCGATATTCTGGCGATCGCGCAGGGTGTGACCAACACCCAAGCCGACCTCGATATTCTGAGGAACGGCGTCTCGGACATTGCTGAAGCACTTGAAAACAAGATCCGAGAAATGTGGGAGCTTCTACAGGCCGAGTTGAGGAAGGAGCGTGAACTGCACACGATCTTTCAGGACTCCGTCCGCGAAAGGCGGATTTCGGACCATGAAACTATTGAAGAGCATTTTGCGAGGCTCAACTCGATGGTCAACGATCGATTCATTGAGCTCGATGAGCGGATCCACCGATTCAACGAAAAGCGTGCTGGGTCGATATCCATGCAGCTTGCTGAGACGATCCGCCACATCAAGCAGTACCCTGATGCGCTGCAGCAAATTCAGATCAATATCTCAAATGCTGAGGCGCGCATCGCTACGGTTGAGCAGAATGCTACTCACCGTATCGAGGTCATTAGAACCGAAATGAGCCGTGCTCTCTACGATCATAAGGAGAGTAACCGAGTTCTCATCGATCAGCTCACTGCTCGCATTCAGCATCTTGAGAATGCTCATGTCCGCAGGGGTGGTTCTGACATGTCGACGCCTTCGCGTCCGGAACGGACGCAGGTCTTCGACATCAGTGACCATGATGGGGATATCCCACGTCCCGCGGACTTGCCGCCAGTTCCTGGTGCTCTATTCCCTGGCGGACCGACTACAGCCATTCCGAGATCTTCTTTGTTAGGTCCGATTGACCCTGGCTCTCCGCCGGGATGCAATGCTGCGCCTGCTGAAAAGGCCTCAACGGTGCACTCTCAGACGAGTGGCATCAATCTTGATGAGATTCTGAGGCGCGCGCAGCAACGAGTCGCTGATGATCATCCTCCTGAAAGTCGCGGGCAAAATAATCCTGTTGAGCCTGTCCGACAAAATTATGGCCAAACGTCTGCCTCTTTTTCAGGAAGATCTCCGATTCCGGCCGTTCCGTCCACAAATGCCGCCGGAGCGACATCCGGTCAGGCTCCGAGCCTCAGGCCCTATCCTGTCATTGAGGCTCCTCGAGCTGACATGCGACCTATCCCTGAAGCTCGAAGCTTCGCTCCTGAGCCCAGGCCGAGCCCGACCTTCCCGTGTCAGATTTCCTACGATACTCGAACTGTTCCGGCAGGGAAGGGACCTTCAAGATGGTATGATGCAATGCTTGGCCGATCCAATCTCATTGGCAGCAGTTCTGGTGCACCTGTTCTCCATAGCGAGACTGGTACCTTCACGCTGGCACCGAACACAAGCGTCGCTGCAACGCTTCGACCTGCTGCCACTGATGACATCGATGGATGGACTATGCCTCCGATGGGCTAGCCAAGATCATGGATCCGAACATGAGCGATGACAATGTGTTCCAGGGTGCCATGTATCCTCCGGGTGACTATGCGCTTGACGCTGTCACGAACCGGTTGGCCCAAGGCAGGCGTCGGGTCGAATCGAACAGCAATCTCATCAGGGAGATGGCCAGCGACCGATTTACGCCTGTGCTCATCAACCGAGATACTGGTGAGACCGTGTCCGCCATCGATGCACGATGGACCCCGGAGTATGGAAACAGGGGGGAGCTTGAAGCTAAGGTTGGTGCGATTATTTCCAACCTGGATGCAGTGGTTGCAAGCATGTCAACCCTCCCTGTGTTCCATCCGCACATTCCCTCGACGTACGGTGTGGCTCGATCGCTTCTCAACACATACCAGTCGTTGCAGATTGCCATCCGACACCGTGGCATGGGTGCGATGTCTTTCGAACAGATGGTGTTCAAACCAGAGGACCTTGAGGTTCCGACTCCCGATGATTGGCCGGACCTCATTGCGCCTACCCCTGGAAAAGTCATTCAGTCCATGCGGGTGGCCCTGGTGAACAATACAGCGGCGAGGTTGACGAGAGAGGATCTCAGCTGCCACCGGGCTTCGCCATGCAGCGGCGAGTGACTGAGTTCCGTAAGCCGGATGAAGATCCGGTGCAGAGCCTAATGGGACTCACCGATGACTTGAGCTACGGCACTACCGGCCGAACTGGGGATGACAGGTTGTCCCAGTTCCAGCGCAGTGTTGCGGTACAGCTGCGGAACACTGCAGGATTCATTGCGAGTGAGTTCCAGAAGCATGCCCGATCTATTGCCGCTTCCTCCTCGCGTCGCAGTGATGCCTCAGGCGCCCTGAGTAGTCAGGGTGAAGGCGCGGCGGACAACGATCTTCCGTCCACCGAGCAGGCCAGTTTCGCATCTGAGCGTGCGGCAATGCCGCCTCCGCCAAACGAGGCTCCTCCTCTTCCGCCTCCAGCAGCAGCACCTCCGAGGGCGTCCGAAGAGAGTGCAAAGGAGGATGACGATGATACCAATGGATGATGACACGGCCGATCAGAAGCCTGAGCAGAAACCCGAGGAGGACGTGGATATGGGTAGCGGAAAGGAGCTGCAAGACGAGGTCCCCGGCAAGGCCCCGCCGCCAGCTGCCCGAACCGCTGAGAACCCTCCGGAACACGGCGTGCGTTCCAGTTCTCCGAATGTCATGGTTGCTCAGTCAGGGAGCCGTGCTCTCCGGTGCTCGAGGGCCGGATGTCGACATTGACCCGGCCAGTACCACAGCCGATCAGGCAGCAAATGATCCGAGAAACTGCAGGATCGAGGGCCCTGGTATCAAGGCGACAACGATTCATCGCCCTGACCAGATGCCTGAAAGGGGTATTGACTCCATTGCGCCGATCGTGCAGTACGAAATGACGTCCGTCCCGATTGCACTGCCGGACTTCGTCGTCCCGGGACTCGACATGGGCATCGATGACTCCGTCCATGGTCGACTGGTCTCCGCGACCTGTCTCCCACCGACCGACGAACAACGCAAGTATTCGAGGCGCCGATTCGCTATGCTATCCTCGAATCAGACAGTGTACTTGAACGTGGCACTTCACAAGAAACCTGTCAAAGGAGATCGCGATTCTTTCCTCCGACCGGAGTCTTACGAGGACTGCCGCGAGATTCATGACGCTGTCCGGGCCTATAATGCTAAGGAGGCAAAGTTCCGATCTGTCGGCGGAACATCCGTGTCATGCAGCCGATTGCTTATTGACGATGCACAAAACATCCCTGCCGCTAAGATTCCGGACGCAGGAATGATCAATTTGGTGCGGAAACTGATGTTCCGAGTGCTGACGCAAACGAAGGAATACCCTTCCGCTACTGCCGTGAGAGCGCAGAATCGCCCCCAGGATCAAGAAAGGGGCGTTCCCTTGTATTCACACTTCGACCAGAGTGGCATCATCGCTTTCGGTGTCATTCCGATGTACATGGAGCGTGAGAGGGAATACATGAAGGCCAACGCTGGAGAAAACGATGGCCGAATTCTTCTCCAGACAAATATTCTGGATGAACACGATGAACCGACCGAGCTTACTACCTTATGCATCATGGAGATCGCTCGGACGGACAACAACCGGATGTTTGAGTTCTTCTACTCGACAATCGACAACGATGGAAGTCCTCAGTTTGTTGGCATCCGAGCCACCTACGGTTTCGGCCCTGATAATTTCAGCCGATTCCGACTGCTGACCAAGTGTCAGCACGGGCCATTTGTTCAGCTCGCTCAGGACCATTATGTCGGTGGCGAGAGGAAAAGAAATGTGGCCCGATACCATCCTCAGTACGGATGGGGATGCGCAACGATTCGCGAATTCTTCGGGTACATGAGCGATTGCAAAATCAATCCTCCGAAGGGACGGCTGTTCCTCACTCTGCTCCCGTATGCTCCCGGATCTGGGAACAACAATGAGTGGGAAGAGGTGTACATGAACGTCCGAATGAACCCGGGGCGTGAGACGCTCTCGAACACCGCGTCGTCACAATCCATGCTCCCTGAAAGGATGGGATCCAACCGCATGATCGTGTTTGCGATTGATTTGCACATGATTGCGGCGGGAATCAATCCGATTGCATTCCATCCGAGGGGATACTATGCGATCAAAGACAGTATCCCTCTTGCCTGTATGCCCATTGCATACTTCATGGACACGGGATCTCTAGTGTTCAACACGGCCTTCAAATACACTGGAGGTCCGAAATTTGGCACTGGCCCCAAGAGAGGAGACCACAAACGAGAAACGTGGCCACTCGCTAGTTTTGACTGCCCCATGTGCGGAGCTTCATTCCCGGTAGGTCTCCACATGTGCCACTCTTGCACAAAGCCGATTCACTATCCTGATGGGATGTTCTACGCCGATCCTGTGAACCCCTTCCAGGTCGAATACTACGGAAGTCATGCCGAGTGGCTCAACGAGCTCATCGAGCGAAACGAGCTTACCGAGTTCCGACTTCACGAGTACCCTGCGATCAAACAGCTGAGGAATTTCCCGGTGTCTAGGTCTCTCGCTGAGGACCACAGGCAAACTCATTCTTCGGGGTGCCACCAATCAAATGTACTGCAGCTGACACATCGCCAAAGGAAGTGGAATTGTTCAAGAAGAGCGTGCGCGGAACGATTCAAGGCGCCATTCGCTTGGACATTTCCATTGAGAGGCTTGTTGCCGGTATCACTGGCAAGGAGGCTCGATGCGGCGTGGAGGAGTTCTTCAACTCACAATCGATCGCCTGTGCAACCACGATTGTCAAGCACTTCGGAGCGGTCTTCGCCACATGCCGCGAAAAGCCGCTGTGCTACTATGCACGATGGTCGATTCACTGTCAACGCGCATACCGAGTCTGCCTGTCGCATGGATATCTCTCCCCCTTTTACACAGGGGGGACGATCGATTACACCGTCGATTCAGATATGGTCGAGAAAATCCGACTTGCGCACCTGCCATTGCAGAACGCCAATCTGGCGATGAGACGGCGAATTCGACTCTCCACCGAGTTTGATACATTGGATGAGTTCCGTGCCACTATCACGGATACGCAAAAGTATCAGCGATACATGCGTGTCGATAGTGAGAGCCTTTCCGCGCTCCTGGCCAAGGTTACCCTTACGACATGCTACGGCATTCCGATAAAAGGTGAACCTGGCTACATCTCCGACGATGAAGCAGAGGAGATCGAGGGAACCGCAGCGGCAACTGAGAAGCCCAAAGGGAAAGGCAAAGGGGAAGATGAACCCGACGTCCAAGCCATTAACTGGCGTGATTTGGACCCTTTGGGGCGGAAGTTCATTCCGCGCCATACTGATCCCCGATTCACGATTATCGCTGAGGGGAATACGGCACTCCTTGATGCCCCTGATACGCCTGATGAGACGCGTAAGGAATTCAAGGAGTTCGTTCGCGATCACTCTCTCAAGATAAAGGAGTGGTTCGACGATGATCGCGCAACTGAGAAGACATTCTTCACTCTTGTTGAAGGAGTGAAGGGTCAGCTCCCCGATACTAAGAGCACTGACCCTGTTCTGATGAAAAGGAATGAAGATGTCTTCGAGGCTCTACCTGATGAACTGGAGGAGCCTCACAGAGTTCGACGTTGCAGCTCGACAGGCACGACGGCGTGAAGATATGCCTCAGCGCAGAGTGCAAGCCACCGAGCAACGACAAGCGTCGATTCCTGAGGCTCATGCCGTCCCCGTTCCTCCGGATGATGAGGATGAGGATGATGCTGAGCTAGAACGGGTGATCCGACCCGGTCCGACATCACAACGCACTGGACGAGAGCATCTCGGAGGTGTCGCCCCTGAGACGACTCCGCCCCCGCCTCGCGAAATGCCACCGCCGTCAAATCCACCGAGTCGGAAGATGCCGAGGCAGTCGGGCTACAATGTCCCCCACGCTGAAGGGGAGACACTGATGGTCTCAGGAAGGGCGCCCTACTCCGATCAAATGGGTCTGCCCTTGGTACTGCGAATGAAGACCCGGGTTCCGGAACCTGATCTGGACAACCCGACGATTGAAGGTATTATTCGCATGTATCATGATGCACCGAACACGCTGCCTGTTGTCAGGAAGAAAGCCGCCAACGTCATCATTTCAATGAATGCAAATCCCGATGACCCTATCAACATGAAGGCGGCTGGCGTGATTGCTCCCTCTGCCGAGGAAACAGGAGCGGGAAGAACCGCCTCGCCTGGAGGCACATCCGCTACCACTCAGGAGCGGATCAACCCCAAGTTCCCTGCACCGAGTGTTCGCACTGCTTCGAACCCACCTTCGAAGTCAGCCCGCGACGAGAAATGGGCTCCTTCGATTGTGCGACCGACCCCTGGTCGGGTGATCACGAGTGCAGAGGCACGGGGACGCCCACAACAGCGCGTTGTTGAGACCGCAGATACCGCACCTCCAGCCCCATCCGATTCCGCTTCGACTGAGCCACGATCTCGCACGATGGGCCCGGCCAAAGAAACAACGGCCAAGGGCAAATCCCGAACTGGCTCAAATGTGGCAGGCCTCATCGATGAAGCTGATGACACGAGGCAGCCGACGAAGGGCAAAGGAAAAGGGAAAGCCGAGAAAGGAAAAGGAAAGCAGGAGAAAGGCCGAGGGAAGGGTGATAAGGGAAACAAAGGAAGGGGCGGTCCTGGACGAGGAAACAAGGACCGTACCCGTAGCCCCACAAATCGTAGGTAACGACCGTCGACCTACGTGGCGACGTATTGTGTCACTGCAAGGTGAATCCAGTTGAGTCTTTCTGACCCATGTTCCACACGTCAATAGGGTCAGGCGGATTCTGATGGTGAAACCCGGCTATGATACAATTTCCGCTACTTCCTCAGCCTTCCTTGCCTGCGCCGCGCTGAGAAGACCCACAGGGGTACAATGGCTAGCCATGGTATTTTCCTCGTGTGTCCCTCTCTTTTCACGGACACTCGATGCTGCCGAGTCTACACTCTGAGCGCGTTGAGTCTAGTGTGTTACCCCCGCATAGATCCGATGGAACATCCGATTGCCAACGATCACACGGCAATTCGCTATGCGCCTGACGATCACATAAAGGCTGCGTTTGTACAGAAGTGAAACATAGGTATGATCCAGATGCAGAGACCGACCCACATCTAATGGTCCTTAATTGCTGCAAGCTTAGCTGACCGGAAGAGGTGTGGCTCGGTGCACAATCAGTGAATGTGACTCTCCTAAACTCCGCTCTTCTCACGCGTGAGCTCGCGTCGAGGGGGGTGTGATTTGTCACAGACATGCGTACATGTGCTTCTGCCTTCTGGTTAGGATTCAGGCCAACTTTGTCTCACTACGCAGCTTGACTGCTCAAGACCGACCTTGCGTCAGGTCCAGCAAAAGATCCGCTAGTGCCTGGGGGTTCTAGTGCTGTCTTTCCGCTGAGCGTCAAACTTACGGTTTTAATCTCTGATTGTCCTGCATTGCTCCGCTGCTTTGCTTTTATCTACGATTGGTTGCCTTGGGCTTTGTGACCGAGAGTTGAGTGGAATCCTCCGCTTTTCACACCTAACTAAATAAGGAGGGTCGAACGAACGGGGAGGAGGGAGTTGCTTGGCAATCAGGGCGGTGTGCATTTCGGCGAAGTCTTATGCTTGCGGCCCAGATTTTGAGCTTGCCGTCATCCTGAACCTACTGTAGCCTCAAATTAAAGGGTCTGTTCGCTTGAGCGAGCGTCAAGCCCATGCAGAGATTGCATGCATGCCAACACTGTATGCTACTGCATTGTATTGCACTGTTGTTTCCCAGTAGTGCATTGTACTATAAGTTTTGCTGCATTGTCCTGAATTGTGCTGCAGCGTACCACTTTACCGCATTGTGCTGCACTGGGCTGTGCTGGAGTTGGAGCATTGCATCGCACGGCATTGTATGGTTTGGCGTTGTATTGCGTGGCATTGTATTGTATGGTGTTGTGTTGTGCTGTGTTGCTGTGTCTTGCAAAGCATGCACTGAATGTCTTGTTGCGGCCATGTCTTTGTACTTGTTTTGTTGGTGCTGTATTGTGCTGCACAGCATTGTATTTTGTTGCATTATGTTGCATTGTTTTGTACTGGGCTGCACGCTCGTATGCTTTGTGTGCAGGTATGGTGCGTAGGTATGCATTAGTACGTGTTAGAAAGCATGGTAGAATGTCTGTATGCATGGTAAACTGTGTGTCGTCATGTCTGATTATGTACCAATGTCTTGATTGATCGATCGGTCGATTGTATGTCTGCCCGACGCCCAAACACCGAGCCCAAACCCTCAACCCGAACCTTAAACCTCAAACCATCACCAAACACCATCAAGTCTGTCTAGTCTTGTAGTTTAAGTGCTTTTGTTCTAGGTCGCCTCTTTCGCTGGACCTGTCCCGACGCACGCGAGCAGAGTGGTTCGTCTGAAAAGAAGCGATGAGCTCTCGCGGCTTTGTTTTGTTAGCTTTGCATTGTGCTTAGTTTTTGAGTTTTTGAGTGTTTCATGCGTTTACGTTTCACAGGTTCAGGGTTTAGGGCCGCATCGCCGTCATTCGCAGAGTAAGGCTCCTGAGTGTTCCGTCGAGGTCCGGGATCTCCCTCTGTTTAATTAAAGGTCTTTGCGCACGATGTTTGGCTAAACATCATGAGTACCTAAAACCGCGAAGCCCTACAGCATCAGACCTCGCTGTTGATTTCAATGGTGATGGTGAGTCAGACGTGCAAGATGGACAAAAAACTTACACGTTAGCTTGTCGGCTGCCGCACAGAGGGTTGAGTGGGCTGGACGCAGCGACAAGCATCTGGCGCTGCAGTGAATCAGTAAAGTATACAACATATTAGTAACCTCATGTTTCCAGACTTTTTTGTAGCTATATTGGAGCTCCCAAGCAGCCTGCGAAGACCGCGGAGCTGCGAAGCCTCGTAGCCCCAGAGCACATAATGGACTGCGAGAGAGCTGCAATCACGTCTGGGGCTGTTGCGCCGAGGCCAGGCTTGTACATGGCATCCCTGGCATCCCCCAAGGTTGAAAGTTGCAAAGTTATCGTGGAATTCGGCATGGCATCAGATGCCAGGTGCGCGACGCCGTGTTTGCAGCCATTGGGACGGAGTTTGAGGAAATCGAGGCGGAGACACCGCTCATGGAGGCCACGTTGGGCTTCGAGATGTGATCTGGACAAGTGTGAGCATGTCGGAAGCTTTCGCAACCTTGCTGAGAACCGGCGATTTCCATCAGGTTCAAAAGCGCTTCAAACAGCAAAGGCCAGCCCCGAATAGCCGAAGCCACCCCAAAGCATCCCGAAGCCAGATGTGAGTAGCCAGCACAGTCGTCGCAACATGGGACAAATAAGCCATGTGCGAGTGGCTCGGTGGCCCGCCGCGCTTCTGCGACCCCCGCCGCTCCAGTGCGGCACGTTCACGAGCCTCGCCCGTATTTGGTGGGAAGGATGAAGGGGAGGATGCCAGAAACCGTCAGAAGGAGCTGCAGGAGCTCATCGTCAGTGCCGAGAGCGTGGAAAGCATTTTGGCAACGGTGCGGGAGCTCGAAGGTGCCATCGTCATCTCCACGGCGCTGCATCGACTGGGGAAGGTTCCGGTGACTGCAGAGGTGTTCAGGGATCCCCGCTTCCTCTTATTGTTGGAGCGCTTCAGATCACGGCTACCCTTCTTCGGCTCGCGGCAACTCGTCAAGAAGTCGATTCGGCACATAATCATACTCCGCCAAAATAGGTAGATTCAAGTAGAAGGTGGCCATGTCGGCCGGTAGGCAGGCCGGTATGTCCGTGGGTCTGTGGGTTTCGGTGCTATTCGTGCTAGTCTCCAACAATGTCGCTCACAAGGTTTTGTGAACATGTGTAAACGCGCTGCGTATACGTGCATCTGCGCGTTACTATACATGCATGCACGCGTCTACGTTATATCTATGTACGCAAGCACGGCGCTCGGTGATACGTTGCACTATCAGATATGTTTGGACACGTCTGTGAACTTGCATAGGTACACATGCACATACTATGCATGCATGCGCACGCGAGCACATACATACATTGAGGAAGATAGGCAGATAGATGGATTGATAGGTTGATAGATGGACTGATAGATGGATAGATAGATGTATAGCTGGATTCATGGAGAGATTTCTGGATGGACAAATGGATAGGTCGATTGATAGATAATACATGACAATTAATTTTAGGGCTTATGACGTGTTAAGTTTAGGTAGTGTTTAGGTAGGGCAATGATGTAGTATGTCTGTATGCTGGCATGATTACATGCATGTACAAAGTTGAGTACACATTCATGCATGCCACTCCCACAAACATGTACGTTGTTGGAGATAGTGTGTCTGTCCGGAGTCGCTGTAGGCCATATAGGTGAAGACTGATCGCATCAGGCAGATCGCCAACTCCTTGCACGGGCTCGGAGTAGTCTGCTACCGTGGTGGAGGCGCCTGGGTTGAGATGGTTTCTGTTCAAACGCAGCGGCGAATCCATGAGTTCGAGCCACAACATGTGTCCAATACACTTTGGGCTTGTGCGCGTATGCAGTTGCAAGAGCCACTGATGCTCCGGGCACTAACATCTCGGGCCATTGAAGACATTCAGCGCTTCTGTCCGTTGGACATCTCTATCTGCACGTGGGCCTTCGCAACCATGAAACGCCGTGAGCCTGAGTGGCTCCGTGCCGTGGTCCGTGCACGCTGCGAGTTCGGCGACTTCTCGCCTCAAAACATGTCAAACTTTGTGTGGGGACTGAGCACGCTAGGTTTCCGGAATGACAATATGGTGCTTGCTGTCGGGCGGGAGGCATCGAAAAAAATCCAGGATTTCATTCCACAGGAGCTTTCCAATTTCTCCTGGGCTCTGGCCACCATGGACCTGTGTGACAACCTGATGCTGCGGGCCATCGCAGAGGAGGTGGACAGACGAGGGCCCGAGGTGAACAGCTGGGATCCGCAGAGTCTCTCGAACATGATGTGGGCCTATGCAACCCTGGCTCTCAAGGACGATCCACTGTTTCGGCGCCTGCTGGATGCCTCCATCGAGCGCATCCAGGATCATGATACGCAGAATCTGGCCAACAGCAGCTGGGCCGCGGCCATGGTCGGTTTCCGCTGCTCCCGCTGGCTTACGGCGGCTTCCGCAGCTGCGGTTCGAAAGATCCGGGACTGCCAAACCCTGCACTTGGCGCAGCTCGCCTTCGCCTTCGCGCGCTTCGTCTTCCCCGGCGAGGCCCAGGGCTTCCTCCAGGCGCTCCTGGAGGCCGGGGCCCGGCGGGAAGAGCTCGGCTTAGCCTGTAATTAGCCTGTAGCATCGTAGCTGCTGTGTTGCCGCTGTTGCCTTCTGCAAGTCCTCCAGTCCTCCTGGAGGAGACCTTACGCCGGGTGGAGGAGTTCCCGCCGCAGTCTCTCTTCGATGTGCACGATGCCTTGAGGTTCTTCCAGGTGCTGCCCAAGGCGACGAGCATCGAAAGGCGCCTCACTTGCTGCTACGAGGAGACGTTGCGGCGACTGGAGTCCTTCGCCAGGTTAGCAGCAAATGGCCGGCCTTCGGCAGAGCAGGTGTCGACATACCAACGCAGCGTGGAGCAAAGTGACATCGTTACCCTCGGTGAGTATTGGACCATACAGTTTCTGAAGCACTTTGGTCTCCTGTGTCCCAGCAGTGATCCTTTCATTCCGGAGGGTCGGCAACGGATCCTGGACTTTCGTGAGGAGGAGGCACAGAAGGATCCGGTGAGCCGCTCCATCTTCCACCGGGCCCAGTGTGCCTGGCAGCTCGGTTTAAGCGAAGCGGAGAACGCGGAGAAGGACACCTTGGCAGACGGGCTCTTCGAAAGTGGCGAGCCCGTAGCCGGGGCTCCGGCGGGTCACGGCCTCTACGTTTGCCGTCTCCGTCACACTCGCGAAGGGGATGCGGAGGTGCAGGCCTTGTGTGCAGCCTTGGATACCAGTGTCCTCCGAAGTGGCCGGGTACCTAAAGGCCTCACCTTGAACCTTCACCTTTCGGACGTACCTTGCGTCTCCTGTTTGGGCTGTACGCTGCAATTTCAGTTCCGCTTTCCGGGGGTGCTGCGCGTGTCCTTTGACAGGGGGCGGGTCCTCAGAAAAGACTCTGTGCCCATCCCAAGGCCACCCCCGCCTCCGTCGAGGAAGGGCAATCCGATCCCTTATGCCCCGATGCCCGATGCGCCGCGATCAGACGGTGTGGATCGTAGCATGATCCGCAAGGAGCTATCGGACAGGAGTGCCGACACAACTTCGTTCTACCTCAACCCACTCCTTGCATCGCGGAGGCCAAACGGTGCCAGCAAAGGTGGCGAAGAAGCGGTTCCGCATAAAATGGTGCAAAGCCGGAACGGCAGTCAGCAAACCTACTATTTTTCCTCTGCGCCGGCCTTCTTCGACACTGACGATTATGAGTCCTACTAGATGTTCTACCTGCTCCTCTTGCGAATCATACATGGTGCCCCGATTCGGCCAGTTGTGTTCTCGGACATGTACACCGCCGCCATGTGATTTAAGATGTTTTCCCTGCAGTCTTGGAGTGCAGGAGCCGTGGTGCGACGGCATGGCATCTGTGTATATCAGCACGGAAACCCTTCACACGCCGCAGGTCTTCTCGCCGCGCAAGACCCAGACCAGAAGGACTGCATATCGAGTTCGCTTGGCTTCGTCGCTTCAGAGAGGGAGAGCGGCTCGGCGCCGTCCCGGCACGGTGGCAACCGGTGACGGAAAAAGATGCTGGCTAAAACTTTTTCGGAAAGCTTGGATCCTTAGAGTACGTGGTTAATTAGTTCGCTGATTTGCGTAGTTGCTCGTTGCGGATGAAAGACTTTTCCCAATCGTTGTTGAGAACACCGCAAATACCTGCCGCAGCATGAAGCAGCGCTGCACCAAAATGTTGTTGATCCAGAGGTGAGCATCACATTCCAAGCCTTGTGTGTGACTGCGTACAGCCTTATCGCGATCGCCTCGTCGATAGGCAGCACCGGCAGAAGCTGAACTCGTAGGCACGAGTCTGAGAAGCAGCCGGTTGCGGATGTTCTGACCTCGGACAGCCAGCAATTCTTTTCGGCCAGGTTGACATGGATGCCACAGGCGCCTCCCGAAGTTGCGGCAGCACTCGCTCCAGAGCCCGGAGCCCAGCAGTCGCAGTGCTCCCCCAGCGACTCGCTAGATCCCGCAGCACAGTGCGGCTTGAGCGCATGTTTAGTCTTGCGAAAGGCTGTCGAGTTGAAGCTTCCCTCGTGCACAGCGATGCTTGCACTGAGCACGCCCATGTGTCTGTGGTGGTGGTGGGCCGGGACACTCGGCCTGATCTGTGTCATGCTCAACATGATTCAGGCGGGCTTCGAGGTCGCAAGGGCACCGCCATTCCTGACATTTGCACTTTGTGGAATGTGTGCTTCAGACATGATCTGGCTTGCAACCAACGTGGGCTTCGAAGTGCTGGGCGGCGAGATGCAGCGCTGGAGGATTGCACCGGATCCCAAGCAGCCTGCAAGGACATCCGCGTATGCCCTGCAGCAGATCAATTCCAAATTCGCAGGCTCCTGGCTGGACGTGTGCATTTTCACAGGCATTTGGTTCGCCAGCAATCTGTCCTTCAACTGTCAGGGCAGCCTTCTCCGATCAGTGGTCGGATTGCTGCTGATGCTCTGTTTGCTGGACTTGGGTCTGTCGTTGTGGCACCGCATTTTGCACCTGCCCTGCATGTACAAGTACCACAAGATGCACCACTCGGTTCACATTACGCAACCATGGACGAACGAGGTGGAGCATCCGGTTGAGGCGCTGGGCAACGCGGTGGTCAAGCACGGCAGCGTTGTGCTGGTGTCCAGCTGTTTTGAGCTGAGCCCCAACGTCGCCCTTGCTTACTTCCTGTTTTCGACTTGGTACGGTGTCGTGGTACATTCCGGCTACAATCCGCCACCCTTTGATTGGATTGAGCGGGTGCCAGCGTTGCGGTTCATCATAACTCCCAAGCACCACCAGGACCATCACTCGAACGGCGCGAGGAACCTTGGCGCCATCACGTCGATCTGGGACACGCTCTTCCAGAAAGCCTTGTCCATAGTTGAAGGACCTTCGGCACGCTGCAAGAGCACCGAGGCCAGCACGCCCGGCCGCATGGGAAAGACCTGGAAGCTTGCCAGCCTCCGTGACATCAGCGATGATCAGCTTGCAGATTTGGTCCAAGCAGTCCGCGAACATGGGATGATTGTGATCCCAAACCAATCATGGAGCCTCGAGGAGCAGGAGGCGTTCACTTCGCGCTTGGGGGAAGTTACTGCTACTGTCGTGGGCCAGGCTCCGGATTATTTCGAGGTTCACCCGAGAATCGTTCGGCTGTCTAACTTCCGTGCCGATGGCACCTGGAAGGGTGCAAGGTATCAAGGGGCCGAGGTGTGGCACCAAGACGGTGACTACATGAGGATGTCCGAGCGGCACATCCTCACCGTCCTGTGCGCGGACAAGATTCCAAAGAAGGGAGGTGGCACCGGCTTCGTTGACCTGGTCGCTGCTGCTGCAGCCCTGCCGCCCTCATTGCGAGCCAAGGCTAAAGGCCTAAGCTGCTTCACGTCGGCTCGGCGGAATGCCGAGTACATGAAGAGAGACTTCACCGCGGAAGATGCCGAAAGATATCCGGACCAGCGTATGCCCGTGCTTCACCGACACCCTCGGGACGGGCGGGAGCTGCTTCTCATGGGTTCGGAGCTGTCAGTCTTCGAGGATCGGAAGCATCAGCCAGATGTGGAGACGACCCTGTCACTGTTCGAACACGTCCTGTCTCCCCAGTGGATGTACTTCCATCAGTACAGGCCAGGCGATGTGATCATCTGGGACAACTTGCAAACCCTTCATAAGGCCATGCCCTTTGTCAACGACGGGTCGGATTGCCGTCTGCTCTGGCGCGCTCAGGCGCGGGTGACTGAAGCCTTCCAATGGTGATGTGGCGCAAGTTGCCGTGCTTGTGTGCCTTTGGCCTTTGCCTCTGTCCCTCGGGACGATGCGACACCTGTAAAGTGTAAAGCCGGATCGTCGTACCGGAGTTTTGTGACACAGCATGCCTGAGGCATGCTCTTTCGCTGTACAGCGCGGCAGCTGCGCGAGATGCTAGCTGCTAGCCCCCCCAGTGTGGCATCAATCCGGGCCTTTGACTTAAAGGCATCGGCCCAGTATTGTATAATAATAAAGTATAGTGACCGTGCACAGACGCACGCGACGCTCTTGGTGCCACGGCGCTCGGGAGCCTTGCATGCATTGTCCATTTACAGGCCTTGCTACGAGAGGCTCGCAGCATTTGCATCGGCGGGACGCTTCCAATCAGTCGATTGCTGGAGACATCCTGGTGATGCGATGCTGCCATGAACGAGCTCCGGAGCCGGAGCATGACTACTTTCTTCGCAGCAGAAGAAGTGCAGCAGGCTCTGGAAAACGACACCTGCACTGTCAGTACATGTCAGTACTGTTTCTGCAGCTTCTGTTGGAAGGGGGGGTTTTTGACAGTTTGATTTCAAGCAGAAATCTCCGACCCAGGACTCCGGCTCCGGCATCCCAGTGCCGAAGAGGCCCGGCACTTCGTCTTCGAATCTCAACAAAACTGGCTGAAAAGGTGCCCAGGCCCAGCTCTTTCCCAGCCTATGGACATGTTAGGCTTCCGCCGTCAGATGCAGTCGCCAAGGCTTGAAATGTTGTCGTGGAGATAGTGCGGTCCACTACAGTAGATACCCGTAAGGCGCCACAGCATAGAGCTGTCAAGGTCCGTGCCAGTCCATGCCTCATGTACCTCGTTAGTCCAATATGTGTTGGAAATGCTGGAATCCCATGACAGATACACTCCGTCTTGGAATGCAGGGCTCGCCGTGCAGACAAGCACGGCATCAGTTTCCGATGTAGCCGCCAGACAGCCAGACAGCATCTGGCTTGCGGCAGCCAGGTTTTCCTTCGAGAGCTCTCGCTCATTCCTGTCAGAGGGGCACCTCCCAGAAAAAGCACCGTCCTCAGCTGGCCCTTGGGGAAGGACGGATGGTTTGGGTTGCATACAGCGACGTTGCTCAGGTGGCAGGCATGCTCGTTGCATGGCACTGGCCCGGAGCCCAGCAGTCGCAGTGCTCCCCCAGCGACTCGCTAGATCCCGCAGCACAGTGCGGCTTGAGCGCATGTTTAGTCTTGCGAAAGGCTGTCGAGTTGAAGCTTCTCTCGTGCACAGCCATGCTTGCACTGAGCACGCCCATGTGTCTGTGGTGGTGGGCCGGGACACTCGGCCTGATCTGTGTCATGCTCAACATGATTCAGGCGGGCTTCGAGGTCGCAAGGGCACCGCCATTCCTGACATTTGCACTTTGTGGAATGTGTGCTTCAGACATGATCTGGCTTGCAACCAACGTGGGCTTCGAAGTGCTGGGCGGCGAGATGCAGCGCTGGAGGATTACACCGGATCCCAAGCAGCATGCAAGGACATCCGCGTATGCCCTGCAGCAGATCAAGTCCAAATTCGCAGGCTCCTGGCTGGACGTGTGCATTTTCACAGGCGTTTGGTTCGCCAGCAATCTGTCCTTCAACTGTCAGGGCAGCCTTCTCCGATCAGTGGTCGGATTGCTGCTGATGTTCTGTTTGCTGGACTTCGGTCTGTCGTTGTGGCACCGCATTTTGCACCTGCCCTGCATGTACAAGTACCACAAGATGCACCACTCGGTTCACATTACGCAGCCATGGACGAACGAGGTGGAGCATCCGGTTGAGGCGCTGGGCAACGCCGTGGTCAAGCACGGCAGCGTTGTGCTGGTGTCCAGCTGTTTTGAGCTGAGCCCCAACGTCGCCCTTGCTTACTTCATGTTGTCGACTTGGTACGGTGTCGTGGTACATTCCGGCTACAATCCGCCACCCTTTGATTGGATTGAGTGGGTGCCAGCGTTGCGGTTCATCATAACTCCCAAGCACCACCAGGACCATCACTCGAACGGCGCGAGGAACCTTGGGGCCATCACGTCGATCTGGGACACGCTCTTCCAGAAAGCCTTGTCCATAGTTGAAGGACCTTCGGCACGCTGCAAGAGCACCGAGGCCAGCACGCCCGGCCGCATGGGAAAGACCTGGAAGCTTGCCAGCCTCCGTGACATCAGCGATGATCAGCTTGCAGATTTGGTCCAAGCAGTCCGCGAACATGGGATGATTGTGATCCCAAACCAATCATGGAGCCTCGAGGAGCAGGAGGCGTTCACTTCGCGCTTGGGGGAAGTTACTGCTACTGTCGTGGGCCAGGCTCCGGATTATTTCGAGGTTCACCCGAGAATCGTTCGGCTGTCTAACTTCCGTGCCGATGGCACCTGGAAGGGTGCAAGGTATCAAGGGGCCGAGGTGTGGCACCAAGACGGTGACTACATGAGGATGTCGGAGCGGCACATCCTCACCGTCCTGTGCGCGGACAAGATTCCAAAGAAGGGAGGCGGCACCGGCTTCGTTGACCTGGTCGCTGCTGCTGCAGCTCTGCCGCCCTCATTGCGAGCCAAGGCTAAAGGCCTAAGCTGCTTCACGTCGGCTCGGCGGAATGCCGAGTACATGAAGAGAGACTTCACCGCGGAAGATGCCGAAAGATATCCGGACCAGCGTATGCCCGTGCTTCACCGACACCCTCGGGACGGGCGGGAGCTGCTTCTCATGGGTTCGGAGCTGTCAGTCTTCGAGGATCGGAAGCATCAGCCAGATGTGGAGACGACCCAGTCACTGTTCGAACACGTCCTGTCTCCCCAGTGGATGTACTTCCATCAGTACAGGCCAGGCGATGTGATCATCTGGGACAACTTGCAAACCCTTCATAAGGCCATACCCTTTGTCAACGACGGGTCGGATTGTCGTCTGCTCTGGCGCGCTCAGGCGCGGGTGACTGAAGCCTTCCAATGGTGATGTGGCGCAAGTTGCCGTGCTTGTGTGCCTTTGGCCTTTGCCTCTGTCCCTCGGGTCGATGCGACACCTGTATAGTGTAAAGCCGGATCGTCGTATCGGAGTTTTGTGACACAGCATGCCTGAGGCATGCTCTTCCGCTGTACAGCGCAGCAGCTGCGCGAGCTGCAAATGGGTTGGTCGCCCAGCATTTGGAATTTTACAGCGCGCGCGGACGCATGCGACGGTTCTTGCTGCAACACACGGCAAGGTTAAGTTTCGGCTTGATCTTTGGTGTACAGTTCAGCAACCGCACCAGCGGCAGACGGGCTTACTGCCCACCACCCGATTTACAGTGCACGCACGGGTGCATGCGACGAGGGTTCGTGCGAAACGCTCACGGTAAGGCTGAGTTTCGGCCGAGCCTAACTGCCAAAGATACGCCGCACAGTTCGCGATCCATGCCTTCCTTGTCGAATTCAGCGGCACTACAAACGAGGCTGCCAAGCATCACCCACAGAACAGATGGTGAGGTTTCTTTCATAGGAATCTAACCGAATCTAACCCCCGCCTAGAAGCAAAATTCGGTGATTTTGCGGTGATGTTTTTAATTACTATGTTGGGGGTTCTAATTATTATTATTATGATTATTATGATTATTATTTTTATATAATATAATATTATTCTTATTATTATTGTTATTATGATTAGTATTATTATTAATATAATCATTGTTCTTATGATTAAGGCCCCTTTTTTGAGGGCGATGCTTGTTGCGCCTCGGCCGGAGCGCCTCATAGCTCCCGCTCCCCTCGAGAGCCGAAGAAGCGAGAAGCCGCCGCTCCCGGCAACAGCAAAAGGGGCACCCGGAGATCCTGCGTTCGCTTGCCATCAGAGGTTGCTTCGCGGTATAATATAGTATACATATATATAAATATATATATATATACACACACACACAATAGTATATATATATATATATATATATATACATACATAAGTCTGCAGAGCACCGCAGAGCGTCGAGTTGGTGCTTGGGATGTGTTGCTGCGATTCCGAGGCTGCACTACTGGTTCTTCGAAGGCCCCCCTTCGGGCCGCTCTTTTGTAGAGCTGGGCCTTTGCTGCAACTCTGCAGAGCTGACGTCGACGTGTGGACGGAATCGAGTTTGCTCTCAACTTGTGAACTACAGTATGAAGACGGCACCGGCGGTGAGCCGGACTACTCACACCTACCACTCAAACCTTGGGATGGGTTTAGGTGCAGAGCGTCGGTAACCTGCATGTAGGACAACTTTCTCTATGACTCTATGTTAAACTAGACAGTAGACCATGCAACAAGGATCTGTAACAAGAGAATAGATGTCATGCTTCTGGGTGCAGGGCCCAGTTTTGAAGGGCTTTCCACTCGCACTAAGTCCCCCAAGTCCCATTCCCAAAGTCTAAACACCAAGCTCTAAACCCCGTATTCGTTGGTTTATTGGTGGTAGTCCTGGCAGTGTGGTGAGCCACGGTGTCCTAGAAGCTGAATTGCTGCGTGTCGTTCCACCTCAGTACTATCGTTTTAGTACTATAGCATTAGAGTTTTTTTTGCAATATGATAAATGTCTGAGCTTTGGACCTCAAGCCATGGCCTTAGCGGCCTTAGCGCTGCTGCAAGGGACGGAAAATGAAAAGGCTGGAGGACGCAGGAGTACGACCGAGCCTCAGCTTTCACTGCACATGACTTCTGTACCACACCTCTCGTGGAAGCATCTCCGAATGTTGATGTTAAAGATCTGGCCCAAGGCTTTAAGTTGCCCTTCACATTAGCCAGGCTTGGGCCAGGTAGGCAGAAGACGCCATGTCCGCAAGCGAAGTCCAGGCCCAGGAAGCCACAGCTAGGCGAATGTTCAATCGGAGGCTCTACGTGATCGGGGCCATGAGGCTCATCGACAGCATGAACGTGAACATGATCATGCCTTATGGACTTGAATTGGTGTCGATGTTTCTCAACAAGGCAAGAGACAGTCCTGAATCGGCCACAGCCTACGCCTGGCTCGTTGGGCTTTACTCCCTCTTCGAAATCGTTTTCTCGCCATTTTGGGGCGTGGCGGCCGACGTCGTCGGCAGGAGGCCTATCCTCCTCATCGGTATCGCCGGGACCGCGATTGCGCCTGTTCTTCTTGGCATCGGACAGTCTTTGACGGCCGTCTTGCTGTTCCGCGCCATGGGTGGCTTCTTCTGCGGCAACCAAGCGATCTTGCGAACCTACCTCGGCGAGATTGCGAACAAGACCAACGAGGCGCGTGCCTTCGGGTTTCTGGTGCTCTGCTTTGTGCTGGGCCTAATTGCAGGGCCTTTCCTAGGTGGCTTGGCATTCCCTGCGCACTGGGCACCTGAAATATTTGCCGGGACAGTCTTCGAGCATTATCCCGTCCTTTTCCCGAACCTACTTTTCGGAATCTTCACAGCGATTGTTTGCATCATCGGCTTCGTGTTCCTAGAGGAGACGCTGCCCGCGGGCAAGCGAAGCATGTGTGGGCAGAAAAACGAAGCTGGCGACGAGGAGTTGGCAGACACGCCATGCGAGGCTGACACCAAGCGCTGCTATCCACTGCATGTGCTCCAAGCGATCCTGGCATTCTGCGCACTCACAGGCGCCGTAGAGGCACAGAACACCTTGGTCATTTTGCTTTGGCAGTACCCTGTGTCTTCGGGAGGCTTTGGCTTTAACCCGCAGCAGGTCTCGATTGTCCAAATCTCCGGCGGTCTTGGACCGATCCTCTGTCACCTGACCTTCCAGAAACTGGCTAAGAGGTTGGGCTTGTTGAACGTCCTTGTGTTGGGGTTTGTCCTTAACAGCCTGGCTTACGGCCTTTATCCTGTCTATGCTCTCGCTGCCGATCCGCTGAAGCATGGCCTGTGGAGATTCGTCGTGTTGGGCCTCGCCGAGTTTGTGGGCATGATCGGGACGTTTCTGCTATTCTCTTCTGTCTTTGTTTTCGTGAACCGTGCATCAGAAGGTCTGAATCGTGCGACGGTTAACGGCTGGGCGAACTCCGGGCGCGCACTGAGCCGTGCGATCGCCCCGTTCTTTGCTTCCCAGCTCTTGCAGGCTGCAGAAGTGCTTGGTCCGTTTGGACGCTACCTCTCGTTTTACATCACGACGGCCTGTTTGGGACTTTGTTTCGCCATCTCATGGACAGGGCTGCGCAAGCTGACCACGTGAATCTGGCGAATAGGCCGTGGCTCTGCTTAAGGAGCGATCTGCTCTTGAGCCTACCGGTACAAGTACACTCTGACCAGAAGATCGGCTCCGCAGCAAGCAAAGGATCTCCTTGGCTGTGAGTTGGCGGTGTTCAGCCATTTGTAAAGCTCGGCAGCCTCTTGTAAAGCTTGCACGCTGCTGTGCCTGCCGATCAGCTGTGATTGTGAGTAGGAAGTACAGATTGGGGTCGCGTAAGTCGCGCAAAGTTTCACCGCTGCAATGTGCACCCCATGACAAAATGCAAGCCGAATGAAGTTCCGACTTGTTGACGCTGATGATCTGGCATTGCACGCACTTCTTGGGCGCGAGCTGTCACTGCCTAACGAGCATGATCCAATGTGAACCCTTAGACACCACTCCGTTTTCCGGCCATGCGCAGCGAGGCATCACCTTACTCACAATTACAGCTGATCGGCAGGCACAGCAGCGTGCAGCGGCATCACGACAGCACAGAGCCTTACGTGAGGTGCAACATCGGTATGTTCCTTTCTTGGGTTTTCTGCGTAGTCAATTAGATTCTCAGACGGTTCTTCGCAGTAATTAGTGGATCGGATTTTGGCGTGAATCCCCAATCGAATCTCATCCTTACCTTCGGTGTGGGCTCTTCAGGTGTGGGCGCCTGGCCTTGGTCGCGGGGGAGCCAGGATGAGACCGGCGAGAGCTCGGCAGCGCAGCGAAAAGAAAGTGACAGCACCGAGAAGTTCGCAGAAACTCGGTTTTACCTGGAGGGGCTCCCTAGTACTTCCTTTTTGAGGTTCAGATTCAGAATCCTATAAGGTAATTCCAAGAGGAACTACTATGGAGCCTATGGACAAGGGTTCACAAGAAGCTGAGCGAGCGCAGCAGTACTCTATGGCTTCCTGCTTTAACAGTGGGCTCTCAGATCGAGCATGGCGAAGCCACCACCATTTTGGGGGAATCTACAGTACGGGCATTTGAAGCCAACACTGGATTGCAGACATTCTCCTTCGCGTCTCTATTTCGAGGGGACCTCAACTTGCAATGCCTGCTGACTTGCTGGCGGCTAGCAGGTGGCATCAAAACGCACTTCTCGAAGGAGTGCTCTTGACTCTTGATATGAACCTGATGAGCAGACCTCGAAAGGTAAGCGTTGAAACGCCCGTGTCCCATGGCATTCTCTCGTCGGCTGAGGGCGCCCTTGGCCGTAGTTGCCCGAGTGATGTGTTGGTGGAGATCTGGATGGCTGTGGGCGTTCCTTGTGAGTTCATGGCATCGGATGACTTGTGACTTGTTTGCGCGCACTTGCTGTTGTGATGAGGCTTGGAGCAATGCGCCACCCCTTCTTCGGCATGTGGAAAGGCAATTTCATGGTGTAGGGTTCCTGGACTCAACACGTTCTCAACAGAAGCCTTACGGGCACAGGTTAATTTCGAAGGTTTCTTGTTCAGATTTCCGTTCTGGGAGTAGGCCGGAGCCTTTTGGACGGGTAGCTGTCATGCTTGCTGCTCCTTGCACTTGTTTCCAACTTGAATTAGCAAGTCTTTCGAAGCGCGTGCAGGGACGGCAAGGCGGCCGGCCTCAGCAAAAGAGCTTAAGAAAGCTTCAAAGGTTCAACCTAAGACCACGCCCAACAGCAGTGTCTCCCTCACAGCTGCAGGCGATCCTTCAGCAACAGTGCGAATTCTGCTGAACCGTCTGCCGGAGAGAGGGCGGCAAGCTCGGCTTCCCAAAATCACCTGTCCGGGACGTTCGTTGCAGCTCGTTGCTCCTTGCCAGGCAAAGAAGGCCCAGCAACTCTGGAGGATGATGGCTCGATCCTCAGTGAGAGAACGAGAGGGCGAGAGCAGCTCGGACTTGCCTGGGCGGCCTTTGCCTCACTCGTCCCCTTGTGCCCGAGAGAAGAGAGAGCTTGGGGAAGAGGAGGGAGAGGAAGCAGGCTAGGGAAATGTTGCTGCAGCCTTGGCTAGCAAGACAGGCAGTTCCAACCATGGCGTGCTGGCAGATCACAACTGAGTCGAGATAAAGCCTGCTCAGCTTACTCTTCTTGCTTCGTGCACTGCTTTTGCAGAGGGCGGTGGAAATCTGTGTTTCAGCCACAGTGCTGAGGTCCCGGAGCAGCACTGGGACTTTCGTGAACGGATCTCAGATTTCGAAGCGGCATGCATCAGGATGTGATGTGTCAGTTCATTACGTGGTTCTGTGCCAAGAGCCCGATGATCCCGACGCTGATCCTGTTCATCGTTTTCTTGCAGTATCTGATCAGGCTGTGATCTGGGTGCGGTGTGAATGCTTTGTTTGAGGGTCGGATACACCGAAAGTAGAAACGTTCATTGAGAGTTGCACGAGTCTCGCATGTGATGCCACCCTCCATCTGCCTCCTGCGCAGTCAGAAGCAGTCAGACGTGGCGGAGTCACTCCGGCCTTGCTTGCAACAGCTGATTCGGAGCGGCTGTTTCATCTCCCTTTGCTTGGATTTCCAGCAAGAAGCCCCCTCCCCAGACCTGCAGAAGCTCGAACGAGCCTCCCACTCCCGCCAGGAAGGAGAGGGAGGAGGTTCGCCTCCTGCAAGACGAGCGGAGGGCGCGGCGCGCGGCCAGCGAGAAAGCTTTGGAGGAGTAAAGAAAAGCCTGCGGGGGCAGGGTCTTTCAGTAAAGGGTTTTTGGCAGGGAACCTCCGAGTTAGGAGAGTTCTAAAGATGTCAGGTTGAGTCTGTTGAGCCATGCGCGCTTGATCAGGCCTGTTTTCCGTGACCTCGCTCACTAATTTTCTGCTCTGACAGCTTGCTGAGCCGTTGGGGTAAGCCATGATGTGGTAACTGTGGGAACTACATGCCGAGGTTCTGTTAGTTAGTTGGGATAGGCCTCCTGTTTCAAGACTGGAAGACTCAAAGACCTCGGCCGAGCTATGAGCCTGTGCCGTACTAGGGCGCATGGATGAGGTGTTGCCAAACTCTGTGGTTCCACAGGGAACCATGCCGCTGACGGGCGGCACAGAAGGGGCCTTGCCGCATTCGGTGGTCCCGCAAGGAACTGTGCCGCTGACCAGCATTGGGGCTGACACCTTGTCGCCTGCCAAGCTGGCAGGTTTCTCAACCAAGACTAACAAGTCCGGGGGCGGAACGCAGACCGCGGTCATGCACCAGGCCCTCGACGGTCAGCTGGAGGAGATCTACACCGTTCTGGAAGAAGGGATGGACTCTGCAAATTGTAGATCGCTCTTGGATGGCTCCTATCCTTTCACCTTCCAGGACCCGGCCTTGCATTTTGCAACCTCCGAGCTGCCGTACTAGCATTACTAGCGGCGTTCTTCCAACTCCTGTGACTTGCGTGTCTTAAGAGTTGCTGTGCCCTGCGTGCCAGTACAAGAAGCGGAAGTGCACGGGCGGGGCCATCCACATCGCTGCGCTGCAATCCGATGGGCAACTCCTCGAGCAGCTCCTGGACCTCAACGTCGACATCAACGTGGAGTGCCGCTACATGACCTTCGAGAAGGAGGGCCGGGCAATGCCCATCCACCTGGCCGTGCAGGCGCGCATCAGAATCAGAGGAGGAATTTGCATGTGTCGTGTCCTCTGAGTCCACGACATGAAGGCTTTTTTGTCTGACGACATGTCTTAAGACTCTGCAGGGCTGTCTGGAGAACGTTCAGCTGCTGATAAATGCTGGCGCGGACGTGAACGCTCGAGTCAAGGTGGATGGTTCAGATCACTTTTGCCCTCTCCACGACGACACTTGCTTGCACAGTCTTTTTCGCTTTCAGTGTGAAAATATCTTCGCGCCCGCGCGACTGTTGGCTACTGTCGACCGTTGACTCCCATTGCAAAGTGCCAACGCAGGCTGTGTTCTTCCGCGATGTCGACATGGTCCAGTACTTGTTGGAGAAGGCTGCCAGCGTCAATGCGCTGAACATGGATCGTGCCGCGGTCAGAAAGCACCATCTTCAATCACCCTCCCTACACTTTTTCCCCCCGAACCCACCCCTAAGTTCCCCTAAGCCCTATAAGCCCCTACCAGACCTGTCACCGCTTTCCCGACCCCCGAGGAATGACTCCGCTCCATGTGGCTGCAAAGCTACTTGGCTCTGAAATCTGAGCTGTGCGCGCAAGCCAGAAGGCTTAATTTACAGGTTTCCTCTCTCCAACCCTAGATAAGCTCCTATATGACCTTGTGAGCTGGTAGACAAGACGCATAGAACCCTGACAAATCCGTGTAAATCGTTTCAGCAACAACCCAACACGGAGCTCCAAGCGAGTCGACTGGAGGCCGTTAACGGAGCGCACGGACGTTAAACCCCAAGCCGACAACCCTGAACCTGAAAACCCGAGACCCTTGGAAACCCAAAATGGCCGTACTATCTCTATATACAGATTTACACTTCATATACATACTGTAAGTACATACATCTACATATATACATATAAATAGAAGGTAAACATATAGTTACATAAATAAATAAATAGAGCTGTATACACACGCACATATATAATATACTATATATTGTACTTACATGCTCAGGATGGGTGCTTCGGAGGTGGCGGAGGTCTTGGTGCGCCACGAGGCCGACACCGAGCTCAGGGACGAGAGCCAGCGGAGCGCGCTGGAGGCTTCAAATTCACATATTACACACATATATATATAATGTGTATATATATATATATATGTATATATATATAGAGAGAGAGAGAGAGAGAGAGAGAGAGAGAGAGAGAGAGAGAGAGAGAGAGAGAGAGAGAGAGTGAGAGAGAGTGTGTATATATGTATATATATATATGTATATATATATATATATATATATAGTATGTAGTACATGTAATATGTAGTATATAGTATATGGTATAAAGTATGTATGTGTGTATGTATGTATATATATATATATACATACCTGCACATGCAGGATTGAGGCTGTTTGGGGTTCAGGGCTTGAGTAATGCTTTCGGCACGGTGGGGTGAGGAATTCTAGGGCAACTAGTTGTACGGGCTTTGGTGGCTTCTTGGCCAAGTGTGAGACACAGATCAGTCAACAACCAACTCCACACCGATGGGTCAGCTGGAATCGCTTGTGTTTGGAAGATCACTTTTGCAGGTGGCCGTTGAGTCCGGAGTATTTCCTCAGCGTCGGCTTCATCTTCTGGCGAGATTTCGCATTGGCGACATCATGATCGTATCCGAGCACTGCCCCAGTGCCACAACGGAGTTCATTCGGAATCTTTTGTGCGACTACGCTGGTGCAGAGTCGGCGGACCAAGTGGCGCACAAGACCAACGTCGCAGATGAGCTGCAGACGGAGGAAAACCTGACGGTCGAGCACTGGATAGCGCTTCTGGACAACACCCCAGATGCCGCAGACTATCTGCTGGAAATCCTGACCGTGGAGCCTGACGAGGACAGCGTCTACTACCATCCATTGCCCAACCAGGCCATCCTCAAGGACCGAGCATAAGCCGTGCGGTAACCGGTAACCTAGTTCAGAGCTCCGAGCTCCTTCGCGTGGGTTTTTGTTCTCGTGAAACTCTGCAGGAGCTCAGGGCAGACTACAACACGGACGACAGCTGGAAATGCGACACTGAAACCGGTGACAGGGCCAAGGCGTGGCCCGCTTGGCATGACCGCCTGGCCCCTGGCGCCCGCGCCGTGCGGAAGGGACGGCGGATTTCCCACGCCCCTTCCAATCGCATCTCGAAGTTTGTGATGCGCCAACCGAACCCTCGGACGAACCAGCCAAAGTTTGTGGACTCGCGCGACTTGCAGCCAGTGCACATGCGGCAACTGCGATTGAAAGGCATTGTTTGCCCCGAGGTGTTGCAGGCACTCAGTGAGACCAAGTATGTCGAGATTTTCAGAAATCCCGCCGTCACTGCAACCTTGACATACTGTTGGGATGCCTTCGTGTTGAAATGGTACTTACTCCAGCTGCTGCACCGGCTTCTGGAATTGATCGTGCTGTCTGCATGGACCTACTCCAAGTCTCAGGACTTCAACAACAAGCAGGCCCCATGAAAAAAAACAAACCCAAGGACTGCGAGGGTGTTAAGACAGAGTTCTTGGTGGCACCTGAGGTCCCTTACTGGCAGCGCCGCATCTCCTGGACCTTCATGTTTGAAAGCGCTGTTCGAGATACCTACATAGAAGCCTTCCAAGCCTACGGCTACTGCATCCAGCTTCAGAACCCTGGGTCTTATTTTGGCAATGGAGGCAACTACGTGGATGTCGCGGTTATCTCCATCTTCAATGTGGTGGTTGGACAGGCTTTGTATTCTGGCCAGTTCAACTTGGATGCAGAGGAGGAGCTTTTTGCCCTGTTGGTCTTTGTTCGCTGGTTCCAGATGCTTTTCGCACTGCGTGCTTTCAAGCTGGGCATGATTGGCGTAAAAGGAATTATTCCCATTCTGCACTCTGTCAAGAAGATAGGGGGCATGGGGATCATCTGCAACTCCGCTGCAAGCAAGGAGCACTCCCACATTGGCTGTTCAGGGGGAGCTGTTGAGGAGTGTAGGCATAGGAAATGGGTCAGATGGGCCTTTACATGTTATCTTGAAGACAACCAGAAAAGGTGGCTTCGTTTTTGCCGGATTCTGGCATGCCTTCATGATCCTGGACAACGGTCTCGAAGGCACCTCGGCTTCACATAACTGTCCCCCCGCACGCTGAATCTGCCACTTTGGGGTCTCCAAGGCCCTTATAAAATTCTTGTGGGAACGGTGAAGCTGCTTTTCATGGTGGATGGCGATGGCATCGTGCAAGTCTTGAAGCTTGGCAACCGTGGTGATGAGGCTGGCAACGGGGACTACATCACGCTGGCCAGCTTGATGGTTGCGGTGATCATCTTCTGTATTAGTTTGCTGAATTTATTTATTGCTGTACATGGAAGGGCATACTCCGAAGCCCACATGCATGCCACCAACCTATTCCTCCAGGAAAGGGCTTCCATTTGTGTGCACTGCATGGTGCAGCTACGGTTACCCATGTGCTGCGGCCACCAGAGGAAATGGTGGCAGCTGGGCTACTTCGTTTTGGCCTTTCTGGCATTCGGAGGATGGGTTCTATGTATTCTTATTGAAGATTGTCCTGCCATCATTCCTGCAGTGCTGCTCTCCTTGGCTTTCTACCTGCCGGATCCTCAGCCCCCCTTCCAGTGCTTTCTTCGTTAGTTCTTCTTGGCCCGTATGATGGTTTTTCTTAAACTACATCCAGATTTCGTTTTTCAAAGCCCAATGCCAGGCAGCCCGAACCCGAACGCACGAGCTGGACCGTGTAGAATTGCGGACTTTTAAATTATCGGGACAAGAGAGGAGACTCTAAATTGGAAGGCCAGAAGGTGATGGGAGTAATTCTTGTAGTAATCGAGCCGAGCATTTCGGGACCATGCAGACTAGGAACACAAATATCCTTTTGCCATGCAGAAACACGTCCCAGGTTCAACGGACTGCTGCTGGAGCGGCCATGGACTAACGAAGATGTCTGCAGTCGTAGCTACCTTTGGTGGTGTGCACCGACAAGCAAGCAATACGGCATCTCCGGTGAAGCGGAGCAAGCGCAGATGGTGGAAGACATGGCCGAGAGGTGTGTGTGTGTGTGTGTGTGCGTGCAAAGCTTTGCGTGCGGTTTAGGGTTTATTGGGTTTTAGGGCTTATGACGGTTTTAGGTAGGGCAATGATGTAGTACAGTATGTCTTTAAGCTGGCAGTCCCAGTCACTTTCAGTCCTCTTCCGCAGTACGTAGAGACCTACCGTTCCGGTCTAAAGATCTGCACGCATGCCTGTCTTTCTGTCTGTCCGTCCGTCCGTCTCTGTCTGCCTGCATGCATGTATGTATGTAATTATGCATGCATGTATGCATGTATAGGCAGATAGATCGATCGATAGACGGAGATCATGCGGGATAGAGAGGATGGAGAGATAGATAGGTACTGTAGACATGGATGTTTGGGCATAGATATCTCGTCACAAACCAGTGTTTGGCTTTCAGGCTGGTGCGGCTTGAGAAGTCGCTGGAAGAGCTGCGGCAAAGCACCCTCCTCCAGGCGGGGCGGCCGCAGACACGCGGTGGTCGGATGGGCAACACTCGGCTGGGGGGGCGATGGCATTGAGGCCTTTTAGTGTTTTAGGGTTTAGGGTAGGTGCATACGAGGTTTACGATGGTTCTGATTCTGGGTGTGGGGTTACAGGCTTCGGGCGAGATTGCGATGTCAATGACACCGCATCTTGCTATGTACAAAGACATCAGAATGTCCGTGTGCGAGCTTATGCATCAAGGGAGGTCTGAGGTCCTGAATACCAGGATCAGGTCAGGCCGTGTTTGAGGAGACATCTCCTGCTTTGCGAGCATCGCGATTGCGAAGCTTGTCCTGTAGGTTTATGGCGCTCCGGCCGACTTCAGTGGGACGATGTAGTGGCTTCCGCAAAAAAGAGCAGAACCTAGCTGCCTGGGATGATGCCACAGCAAGAACTCAATCGCACTCAGCTCACCGTCACCCCGCCCATGCAGAGTGCACTAGAGCGCACAAGCGCGCGGGGCGGATGCAGCATTTGGAAGATGTTGTTTGATGCAAGCCTGCTGCGCAACTTTGTGTGGTCACGTTGAGGCGCTGCACTAAAGTATGACAGACGCGGGGCAATGTTTAACAGTCGTTGCGAGTTTCGTTCCTTGCATAGACGCTGAGGCCATGGAGAATATCACCGTGTCATGATCAAGACAACAGCAAGTCGTAGAAACCATTGGAAGCATCGAACCCCCACGGTGGCGCCCTCTGGGGCAACTCGTGCCTCGTTGTTCAAGATGCCGGTCTCGATTTTGGGTTCTAAGAAGGGATGTTGGTGGCTGAGTTTCTTCTGTCTGAACTTGTCTCACACACCACTGTTATGGGTTTCGGGGCCATGCCTGATCGCATTGTTGCGATTGCGGTCGCGCAGGAAGGCCACTACATCGCGGCACCACTGCAGGAAGCGCTGCTAACTCTCCTCGTTGGTCCGGCGGCCCGTAGTTAGTCTGGCTCGCCTCATAGCGCGCCCAGCCCGTCGACGCCCAAAGCCTGCCTCTGCAACCCGGCTCTGCCGTCGCTGCTGCACGCGGCCGAGCCCCGGCAGAGTCCCCCACAGCCTTAAGCACCCACTCCCGATGCTCCTGCTCTCAACGAGCATGGTCGTGAAGAGGTGACTGCACTCGATGCTGAAGCCCCGGATCGGGACGAGGACGAGCGGGCGCATACCATTGCAGAGCGCAGTGCCCGAGCCACGGGCCGGGCTGGAGGACGTGAAGGAGGTTACTGGACGAGGTCCTCACGCAGCCACTGATGAGCGCCAACCGAGGCCCCTAGGAGCAAGCGGTGTTGCAGCAACTTGTAGCCCAACGGCGAGCTGCTGATAGCAGCTGATGCAAGCTTCCAACGTGGCCTGGCCTCGCTGGGCGAGATCTCGCTCCACACTGAAATGCGAAATCGAGCTTTTACGTTGCAGACTGTTCCTGCGAGGGTCCGAGGGGCAACGCGCCTCGATTTGTGGGCTGGCCTGCCACTTGCTGCGGACCAAGCACCACCTGACCACAAAATACGTGGTTGGAACCTTTTTGTGCTTGCCCAGTGCTTGCCCCTCGCATGCTTCTGTACCGGAACCATGTGTTGCTCGCGTCACGCTCTTCCTGCGGGAGGCATGACCAGTACACTTCTCGCAGCGGGAGCGGGGCCCCACCAACACCACAGCACACCAGAGCGCTGCGCACGACGCGAAGGCGACGTGGGCCGCGCGTGCTACTGCCCTCGTCCAGCTCGGTAAGTTATCTGCGGCTGGGCGTGCGCTTAGCTAGTTAATAGCTAGTTGCAAGATCATGAAACGACATTGGCGGAACTCAAGGCTTCAAGACCCTGCACACCGCCCGTCCCCGCCTGACGCGCCCATCAACACACATTGTAGATTTTCATACGGAACGCAGCTGGGAGCTGCCAGCGCATCTTTTCTTCATCGCCGTCTGCAGCGCCAGGCATGGCACCGTGTCCGGACGTTCCGGAATGACGAACGAGCATCTACTAGCACGTATCTTTAAGTGTTCTTATCGGTAATGAAAAAAATCTCATGCACGCCGCCGCTGAGCAACTGGTGCAAGCCTGCCATGCCCGCCCCTCCGGCCGCCATCGAAGCGCTCCATGTCGGCCGATTAGTGGCCTCGCATGCTGGATAACAGTGGAAAATGCCCCCAGCACGCGTTCGTCATCACGGCTTCGTCGCTGTCGGGGAGCCAACACAGCAATTTGGAGTACATCCCACTGTGATGCGGCGTGGCTTTGTGACGGAAGTAAGCTGGTGATTGCTGTGCAACGGCGATTGGATGCGTTTGATCCGGAAACGGGTTGCAGCATCCCAGCAGCCGCGGCCGGCGCCCGCGCCTGCAGCATGGGGAGCGTGTGGCACAAGATGCCGAGTGTGCTGCAAGCCGGTCTGCTGTGACTGAACAGAAGCCGAGGCCGTCATGTGTCGTCGGGTGTAGCATGGTGTGGCCGATCTTGCAGACACATGCCCGATTTCCACATATTTCCATGTCGATGACTATACACTGCCTGTTTTTGTACCTGCGAAAGTTTGCCGCGAAGTTCCGCGAAGCTGGAGTGCGGGTTGCGCTCAATGTGGGTTTCGCCGACATGAACTGTGATGTTCTCCTGCGCTAGGCACGGTGGAACGAAGTTGAGTGCTGCTGCTTTCAGAAGCTGGACCCCAGTCAACCCGTGCCCTCACTGTCCTCCCGACGTCAGCCGCTGTCACCCTGACACCCGACCTCCGAGTGCTCCTTCTGTAACGGCTTCGTTTGCCACTACCCCTCGCGCCGCGCGCTTGCCGTTGCCGGGGCCGCTTCGACCCGCTCGGTAACCACCGCTCCGCTTGTGCCACATCCGGAGTGTTGGTGTCCCGAGCCCTTCCGCTCGAGCATGCGGTCGCCCGCGTCTGCCGGGAAAGCAGCGCGCGAATTGCCCGCAACGTCCGGCTCGCTGAAATTGGACATTGATGTTCCTGTCAGCGACGCGCGGTGCGTTGAAGTCGTCGCAAAAACGGCCTGCCGTTCTGGCACGGGGTGCAGCTCGCGCTTGACGCTATGCTCGTGCGTCCTGTCGCGCGGAACGGGGACCCGCAGCCGGGCTCCACGAAGTCCTTGCCGAAGTCCGAAGCGGCCCTCCGCTGGTCGCTCGCCGCCTGCCGGCGCCCTGAAACGAACAACATCGAACAACCGAACCAGCCCGTAGGCCGCAACCTTCACGTGCACTGGGACCGCGTCACTGTTCGATACTCTTCGACAAGGTGCGTATGCCAAAAGAAAAATTTAAACAACAACTAAAAAGTTGTTGTTGCCATGGGTCATAGGTTGCGACCGTTGGCATGGACAATGAGGACACAGCTTCGCGGTTGACGCCACCCTCGTTAGCCCAGTCGGGTGTGACGGGGAGCTCTGGGACGGCCCATGCCCGCGCTGGATCGACCATGCCCCGGAGCTCAGCACGGCACGCCGGTGCCGTGTAGTCAATCCGATTTCGGCCTCGAAGTTGGGGACTTGGGCACCTGAAGCATCTGAAGCCGACGACTTCGTTTGTTTGCTTGCGCCAGTGTGCGTTTTTGCTGCACCCGCCAACGAGTGCAGCGGTGGAGGGGAAACCCGCTTTGCACGAGCTTTTGGCTGACGTGCGCACGCACGAACCGCCGGAACGCAGTCGCCCGTGCTGCGGGGATCGCGCGTTTTCGGGGGGTTGCAAAATAGTGCGCGAACCAAGAGACACAAGCAGCCCGACCACCTGAACACACAACGAGCGTTGGTTGGACATGGCTGAAAGCCCGAGTGCAGATGCGGCTGCGGCTGCCAGCGTGTTTCCAGCACGGACCATACCGACCTGTAAGGCATGGGGTTTTCAGCACGCCGCTGATATATGTTTGCCGCAACCCGCGCAATCGCTTGCATATTGCCAAGCGGCTCTGGGTTTCAAGCGGAAATTAATCTCTTTTGCAACGACGAGATGATGCATGGTTATCAAAGGATGGTTCTGTGGAGCGTGATCTATCCAAACAAATCAGCCGTTCCGTTGCTGCGGGCCGGAGTGGCTGGCTGGACCACTTATGATTGGACAGCTACGCAGAGGATTCGCAGCCGAATGTGGACTTGCGCGATGATGACGGCACGTCGTGGAAAGTTACTTCATGCAGAGTCATTGGCAAAACATTTTCCGGACGTACAATGGGCCGTTCGTGCCATTTCAATGATCATCCAATTGGCTTGGCTCTACCAGTTGACGCGGGGCCGTTCAATGATGAGGAGATGCAGCAGCCTCACGTTCGCGCAACAAAGCGACAGGGACCGACCAAGTGCCAACAGAATTCTGGACAACTAAACAACAAGTACTTGTCGCGGAGCTTCTCCCGCGTGTAAGCGGGCCGGCCCATCATAATTTGCAACGTAATCCCTGAGCATGTGGCTCCAAGCGCACTGGTTCTTGCACATTCACCACATCCCACAGGCAGAAGCCCCGGTGAAATACAACACGACGGCTTCAGCCCAGCAAAATCACAAGGCAAACTACGGCCTGACTACGGCCATGTGACGTTGCAGGGCCGTTAATGAGGGACGTTGGAGTGCGCCAAGGACATGATATGGCGTAGCAAATGCGGAGATTGAGGAGAGAACTGATGCACCGGGTGGTTCGTGTTGCCCGCGGCAGCATTGGTTTTCATGAACTGGCATGCGTGCCTTCCACATTTAGTCGTAGCTAATTACTCTGCCAAGGTTGGCCCGGCCGCGTGCCACTGTAGCCGTGGGCAAGGACTGTTGTAGCAAAACAGCACTATTTGTAGCTGCACCGAACCACATTGAAGCGCTGGCGTATATGTGTGTTTTTCTCCACACACCTTCTTCCGTCCGCTGCACAGTCGTGGACGAAATGCATCGTCTCAAGTCCGGGAGTTTGTCCGCAGACGGACGATATACCAACATGGCTCAGCGATGCTTGCCTTTTTCATCTTTCAAGCCAGCGAGACCATGGATCAGCGAACACACATTACGTTTATTGGAAGCTCGATCGAAACCGTTGCAGGGGTAACAGCGACCGCATCATGGAGCGCGCTTAGATCGCACGCGTTGGCTGTTGTTATCTGATGGCAACGGGGATGAAATCCGACGGCTGCGTCGAAGCTAGAACTCACAAAAATATACAAAAATTAGAACGTTTGCGTGGTCGATTGTTGCTTGCTTGGAATCCTCGCTGTGTTATAGCTAGTTATCTTGGTTAACATGAGTTAAGTAATTTTTTATAACTAGTTAGGTGGAGTTAGCTAACTAGTTATAACTCTGTTTTTGGGTGTGGCTTTCGTGGCAAAGACTTACACTAAATGTATGGGATGGAACAGCCATGAAGTATGGGAGCTATGTGGAAATCGGCTGGCCATATAGGCTTTCACATGGGTTATATGTCATATGTAGCTGGCCATATATAGGCGGTGTCATGGATATCTTGTGAGCAAGAGGGCCTTTTAAAACAAGAATGAGAAAGGCATCAGCTGAAAGCTTATAGAAACCATGCATGAAAACGAACCCTAAACCCCCCTTTGGAAGTCCAAATCTCTAGGTAGGCACGATGATCAGGGCGAAACCCAAACCTGCACTGAATAGGTGAAGCATGGATGTTTTACAGCCTGCAGTTGAGCTGGTACGGGATGAGCACCGTGGCCTCTTGGTCTGAGGCTTTACTATACAGCAGTGGGTACTGGATGGAGTCGATGGGAACGAAGCCTTGCTCGTTCGCGATGGTGCATTTCGCAGAGTGGGATGCTTTGTTCACCGTGGGAGTCCACCGCTGGAGAAGTGTGACCTGTTGAGCACCCACTTCCAAGTGGAACCAAACTTGGCCGACTTCCCAACGTCCGTCTTGCTGCTGGAAGACAACCACATCGTGGGCATGAATGGTGCCACCTTTGGCAAGCTTCGCACTCGAAGCAACCATGGCTTCGTTCAATGGGCCATCCACGAAGTCGCGGAGGACTTGGACTTGCTGCTTGGTAGCTTTCTTTGGCTTCAGCAGCTGGCAGGTGTCCGGGTGCAGACCTGGCTCCTTCAAAGTGGTGATCTCCATGGCCACGACCTGCTGCATCAAATGGCTTTCGAAAGCCGTGGTCTTCTGCAAGTTGGTGGCATACTTGGCAATGGTTTTGTGCTTGCGCTCAGTGGTGAAAGCGCTTGGCAACATCCCATACCTCTCCAAGAAATCAGGCAGGTGCAGAAGCCAGTGCCACTTCTTTATTAAGGAAACTCCGAAGTTGGCTTCCACGAAACTCTGGATGGCCAACTCAGCAGCTGGTAGTAGGCTTGCCCTGGTAGTGGCCCCATACATGGTTCCTTGGTGCACCTGGTCGAGCAGGTCTGCATGGGCCAAGAATGCCTCGCAGGCCTTAATGGGGCAGCCGCCCACCGGCATAACCATGGTGTGGAGATAATGCCGCACAATGGGGAATATACTCAAGAGGTCGCTGGCCTGGCAGGAAAACTTATAACTTGCCTGGTGTTTGCTCACCATCCTGGAGGAAAACAAAGCTTTCAGGTGCCCTGCTTTGGAAGCCCCTGGACAGGACCAGAGCTGGATGTACTTTTCCATGGAATCCCAAGCATTGAAACCCATTGCCATGCCAATGGTCTCCATTGTCTGGAAGAGGACGACAGGGCCAGTGCCTTGCAAGATCCCATGCATCCAATCGTGGCAAAACTGGCTCACTGGTCGAATGTGGCCTCTGGACAACAGCGGCTGGTTCAAGAGGAGGGCATGGGCATTCCACGTCCACCCTGCGGCCTGCTGCCAGTGCTGGAAATCCGCCTTGGTGCATGTTTGCTGCCTTTGGTCCAAACGATGGTAGGACTGGATGACCTCAGTGTCGGTTGTCAAGCGCAGTTGGTGGTATTTGGTCGTCGCATGGTCAATGACATCCTGGCCTGCAGCCATGGTGGCTGCTGAGTGGATGTTTGCGCATAACATGCAAAATCGGGTACCAGCGTCGCCTTTGGAAGACCAGATCTGCTTCTGGGCAGCCCCATCAGCGAGGCATATACCCCAATTGAAATGGAGGCGGATGTTGCCCATGGGCCCATGTGGACTTTTCAAGAGCAGGCCTCCACATGGTTCAGCCATGGGGCAGCAAAAGATGGCTTCCAGAATCTTGGCGAACACCTGGCCTATGCCACCTGGCAATTGGGCCACGAAGGTGGATCTTTCTAGGCTGATGGTCAGCCACATGTCTTCGTGGCCCATGGCTTCTTGGCCTAGCTGGAGGAATGTGGCGTAAATGGCCCATAGCTTGCGTTCAGCACGACCAAGAACATTGCCAGGGATCACCTCGTCGCAATACAAGATCAAGGACCAGGGCTGGTCCAGCGACGAGGGATTGGCCGCATGCTTCCTTTGGAGCAGATCATGGAAGCTGCCCCCCATGGCGAAAAGACTGGTGATATAGACCAGAAGGTTGGCAAAATGGATGGTCACTGTGGCACCGTCGCTCATGGGCAGTTCTGCCTGCTGGATCAATGGTCCCAGGGGGCCGCCATCACAGCTTTCAAGAAGCTGTTGCCGTGCCTTTCGCTGGTCGTTGGAAGAACTGGCTTCCGGGAGGCCCTGCTCTTTGGCTGCTTTGACGAAGCCCGCCAAAGCACTTTGGGAATGGCCTGGCAGGCTGGCCTTGAACGTCAGAAGGTGTTGAAGTTTGGCTTTCTTTTTGGAAGGCTCCATGGTCACCCAGGGCTTCGGACAGTGCCTACTTGGTTTACAAATGATGGATCCGAACTTCTATATATATATATATATGTAAACACATACTTTAAGATATTTCGATGTATCTGAGCTGTCTGCATCCATCTGGTCTGCACGTAATCAACGGGAAACGTTCCATCGACAAGCATATATATATATATATATGCACGGTTTTGCAGAGGGGAGCTCGGGGCACCATGTTCAAACTAGTCCTGCATGCATTGCCTCTGCTGGTACTTCTTGTTTGGAGCAACAAGCTTCACGGACAGAAGTCATGCATTCTCAGAGATGGCAGGACAGAAATGGAAAGGGCACTCACCGATTGCTATGTCGCCAAAAAGAAACCCTGCATGCCATATAGAGGCCCTTTGTCAGGAATATATGATTCTTGCAGTATCATACCTCAAGAGAAATACATATATTCCAGCTACAAGAAGAAATTGACCGTCCACAGACGTCAAATTCATGCTCGCACATGAAAAATATATATATATATATATATATGTATAGATATAAAAGTATATATATATATATATATGCAAATAAGACTATATATACATATGTATATATATATACATATAAATATGTATATTTATTGCATGTATATAGGCATATATTTTTCAGTTATTGAATGAAAAGCGAAAGTAATTGGAGAAATAGAACCTTATTATATATGCGACATAAACCATTGTATACACCATTTCTCTATATATATATATATACGTGTGTGTGTGTGTGTGTGTCTGTGTATCTCTACACGGAGACGACAGCGAGAGAGAGAGAGAGAGAGAGAGAGAGAGAGAGACGAGCATTGCATGCAAAGCAAACAACTTGCGAGAAACTTTTGCCCCAATGCAAGGCCCGTGGTTAAGCCAACGGATCTGGTCAGCCAAAATGGCCAATTATGGTGACACGGGAGGTCTCCCCGCCATGGCCCTGGAGCTCACTTGGCCATCCTGGCCTTTCGGGCCATATGGGCCCGATAGGCTTCTCGGCCTGGGAGCCGCAGGCCTGTGTACGTTGGGCTCAGGCACTGCCCACAACCGCTTGGATTCCCTCGGCATTTGGGGCACCCGAAAATCGGTGGATCCCGCTTGTGCGGCGGCAGGTGGTCCTGGTTCTTGGCCACTGGCTTCGCTTGGTTCGCCTTTGCCTTGGGGGTGGCCTTGGCCTTGGCCTTAGCCTTGGGATTGGCCTTAGCCTTGGGATTGGCCTTAGCCTTGGGATTGGCCTTGGCCTTGGGATTGGCCTTGGCCTTGGCTTTGGCCTTCGCTTTGGCTTTTGCCTTTGGCACGGCCTTCTCTTTGGCCTCAAGCTTCCTCTTCCTGAGTTCCTCGAAGTGCTGGTCCTCAAACTCCTGCAAAGTCTTTGGCTTGGAATTGCAGGGCTTCTCCGTACACATGTCTGGCTCGGCTGTGGCGAGCATGGGATCCGGCGGCACTGCTGCTTGGCTGCCCGCCTCATCATGGGCCGTAGCAGAAGTCTGCTGCAGTGCTGTTTGCTGCGACGGCTGCTGCAGCTGCAGTGGCTGGGGCGAGGGCTGCTGCAGTTGCAGTGGCTGCTGCGAGGGCTGCTGCAGCTGCACTGGCTGCTGCAACGGCTGCTGCTGCTGCAGCGGCTGCTGCTGCTGCAGCGGCTGCTGCTGCACCGCTTGGTTCTGCTCGTTCTGCACCGGCAGAAGTGCAAGCTGCGATGGTTGCTGCTGCGGTGTTGGCAGGTTCTGCAGAGCCAGCCGGTCCTGGCGAGGCTGCAAGAGTTTAATCTCTGGCTCTGCAGGTGGTGAAGCCCACCGTTCTGCCAATTGGGAGAGCATTTGGGCAGCTTTGGCCAGATGGTCATGGCTTCCATGTGCCTTGTTGGACTCCGCCGGCACATGATAGCCAACCAGCAAATGATGGTTCTTCCTCATGGGCACCTTCCTGTACCAAGCATGCAGAGGAAGCTTTTTATTGGCTGGACTGCAGCCATTCGTGTATGCTTGGCTCAGCCAGGCCTCGCCATTCTGGAGAGGATCCTCCGAGTAAGTGGCCAGTTTGGGCACAGCCTCAATCTTGGCCGTGCCGTGGAATATGGCCTGGAAGTCGTCTACCATGGAATGTATGGCACTCGGCTGCATCTGTGGTTGGCCTCGGCTGTGGTTGACGTAGAGCAGGGTGGCGAGCACCTGGTGCACCGTGTTCTCCTTCAGGGAGGTAAGGCCCATTGCTCGGAGCCTTTTGGCCATGACAGACATCTGGTCATCCTTGGATACGGCAGATTCGAGAGCCTGCCAATCCGCCGTGGTCAAGTATGCTGGCACATGGGCTATCTTCTGGCCGCAACTGGAGAGCTTGATGTGGGAGGCTTCGTTGGTCTGGCATGTCTCAACGGCCTCCTGGATGCTCTCCTTTATGGCATCTGGCAGCTCCATGCTTTGGACTTCACCGATCAATTGGATGATGCCTGCCGATGTCCAATTCTTGGCCGCACGGATCCTTTCCACGAATGTGGTCGCCATGGTAGTGACGACCAGGCTCCCTGGCCGCAACTTAGTGAGCTGGCCCAGATGGCGAAGTTCAGACAAAAAGTCAGAAATGCTCCACACTTGGGACATGGCGGCACAAGTGTGGTCCTAAAACAAATTGGGAAGCAGGCCAAGGTGGCTGCGAGGATGGCAGAGAAAGCACATCTCAAGCAATCTATAGCGGCACGTTGAAAGGCACATCCTATAGATACATTAGGACACACAGAAGACATGTATATGTAAAGACAGATATGCATATCTATATATGTATATACACATAAAATATATGTCTGTGTCTCTTTATGTATGGACAACAACAGAAAACAGTACAGAATATAGAACACAGCGATTGTTGATTCTGGAAGGAGACATCATGCAAGCCAAAGTTGTCTGGATTTCTGCCAAAACAACATGAAGTTCGTGAGAGTTTAGATGAAGAAGAAAAGACACACACACACCCATGTACAGATACCATGTCAAACATATACAGTATCCAGCTTTCTTGGCTAGCCAACAGAAAGAATGTATATATATATATATATATAAGTTATATACTTCAATTAAATGAATGTATGTATGTATAAATATGTACATATGTAGATAAACAGACAGATACACACATATATATATATATATAGATATCTAAGTAATTATATATTATGTAGAAGACTCTATATGGAAAGAAAAAAACCTAGTGGCTAGCCATGTGGCTTTATCACCATCTATACGTTTGCTTATATATATATATATATAAGCACAGTGATTGTATGTAACTGGATATATAGGTGTGTATAATGAAACAAATATATGTATGTATGTGTATATATACACACACACATACGTACATATAGACACATATACATGTATGCAGCCTATACACAGAAACAAGAAACACATATATATATATATATAGATAGATATAAACATATATGTGTGTGTATATATATATATATATATTTATACATATATATAGAGAGAGCAAGAAAACAAAAACAACCAATAAGTTTGATTCTTTCTGTATAGTTACTGTGCTGGCCACAAAAATGGCGAACTGTGCTGGCCACAAAAAATGGCGAAGTGTGCTGGCCACAAAACTGGCGAATACATGACATGGACATGGTGCATGCACGGACCTCTGGTGTTTTACTGGTGCTGCCTGAAGCGGTCTGGCTGCAGTGGGTCATGGCCGTGCTCCTCCACCACCATAGCATGCTCAGCCAAGTACTGGGCCATCTGGGACTCCGTGCTGAACCTTAATGGACAGCGGTTGTGTCGGTCGAAAAAAACGAACTTGGACTATTGTTTCAAACTCCTTTCAAAGAAAGCTTATCTGGGGCTTAGCTTATTTATGGCTTTCCGATCCATATTTATCTCAGCAATGCTTTAGAAAAGATTCGGAACTATATGGTTTCTGGAAAACCTAAACAATCAGGTCCATGGTGCCACTGGTAGAGTCTGTGGCAGCGAGCATAGTCGCCCTGGGTCCAATGGTCAATGAACCATTGGACCTTCCTGGCCCACGTTGGTTTCCCGTCCAGCCACAGCACTGGTTCGTGGTCATGGAGCTCCTTTTGGAAGCTGCTGCACAGCTCCTGGACCCCTCTCCAATCTTCTTGGCTGTATCTGGTCAACAGCCAACATGCTTTGTGTTTCCAGCCTGTGTGTCGGTGTGGCACATCTGGCATGGCACCGGCTGGTGCAGCAGCAGTGGGTCGCCTGGCCTTTGGTGGTTCTTTTCCCACTTGCTTTGGCCGGAATCCAGGTGGTGGGTAGTCTGGTTCTCGTGGCTGCAGCTTGGGCGGCGGTCCTTGGAAAGCCCATGGCTCGTGGGAGGAGGTGGCCGGCTCTGGTGTTTGCTTCGGTGGCGGAACGACCATGGGTGTGTGGCCCAATGCTTGCTTTCGGAATGCGGCCGGGATGTTGGATTCTTTGCCTTTGCCCTTCATAACGTTGGCTTTGCTGATTGGGCCCACTGGTCGAGTGGGTTCCATTGGTGGCCTCGCCTTTTCCGTTGCTGACTTTGCTGGTTCCTTTGGTGGCCTCGCCGCTTCCGCTGCTGACTTTGGTGGTGCTGGCTGTGGTGCTTGTTGTCGCCGCCAGGGACGTTGCTGCTGCTGTGGCTGTTGCTCTGCTGTGGGTGGCTGCTGCCGTGGCTGCTGCTGTGTTGTTGGCCCGGCTGCTTGGGATGGTGGTTGTTGCTGTTCCTTCCCTTGGGCCTCAGGGCCTTGTTGTTCTGTTGGTGGTGCTGCCTGCTGTGCTGGTCTTGCTGCCGCCTCTGCTGGGGGTTGTCGTGGCTGACTGGGTCCCCTGCCTCCGAATCTTACCTCCATGCTGTGTGTGGTTGCCTCTGGCTGCCAACCATGGACCCATTCAGCTGGAGGAAATGCTGCCGCTGGAGGCACCATCGGTTGCAGCAGTGGTGCTGCTGAAGGCAAGCATGGTGCCACTGGGGGCACCATTGGTCCAACTGAAGGCAGCCATGCTGCTCTTGGAGGAGTCAGGAATGGTGCTGTCGGAGGCACCAATGGTGCTGTCGGAGCCAGCAATGGTGCTGTTGGAGGCACCAAGGGTGCTGTTGGAGGCACCAGTGGTGCTGTCGGCCCAAACTGTCCCAGCACTGGTCCCATTCGGCCCACCACCGCTGCTTGTTGGGCAGCAGCCTGTAGGTTCACCCAATCTGGTGGTGTCGGCCATGCGAAGACTTGGGTCCGTGCCTTGGCCGTGGACCTCTCCTGCACCACTGTCTCATGGGAGACTTCACTCATCGCAGGGCTGTGGGGATCGTACTCTGGACTCGGTGTCGTCGGCACCACAGTCCTGTTGCCATCATCCATGGCTGCAGGCCACGTGGAGAAATGGAAAACGCCAAACAATGGCTTATTGCACTTAGGATTGTAATTGCAATCCTAAGTGCAGAAATTTTGCACTTAGGATTGTAATTGCAATCCTAAGTGCAGAAATTCTGCACTTAGGATTGTAATTGCAATCCTAAGTGCAAAACTCTTGTACTTAGGATTGTAGGTGCAATCCTAAATGCAACCACTGTTTGTTGAACACTGCTTGTAAGTTTCCATCTACTCAGTCTGCTCGCATGGTCTGGGTGAGGCTTGTTTGGTGCTTGCGACTCTACTGAACCGCTGGAGAGAACGGGCGCGGATTACAACATTATGTGATGCACATGTGCCTGCGACTGGGGTCTGCTACCAGCTCACACTGGCACTCGGACAGGAGGTGCATGCACTATAGGGCTGCTGGGTTTGACATTGCTTATGGTGCTGCACTGGTTGCTGGGACTGGTGTTGGAGCTTGCTGGCCATGCTGGCTATATCCATATAAAACAAAAACTGGCCACGATGGCTGTCTTTCAATATGTGGATGAGAAATCTAAAGAAGCTGGCCATGATGGCTGTGGCTACATATAAATGTAAAACAATATGAACATGCTGGCCACACTGGCAATGGGTATACTGGCCATTCTGGCAACAAATCTGTATAAGTAGCAGTATATATACACTAGAATATATATATATATATATATGTATATATCTGAGTCTGTATATATATATATATATATATCTGTCTGTATAAAAAATGATATATATATATATATATATATATATATTCCTGTGGATGTATATATACATGTAGATCTACACTGAAACTTTGAATCCCTATGTTCCCGGACAGCTGAAACAATGTCTCTGTATGTCTTGAAACCTTAATACCTAAAAAAGATTTAAAACCTCCAAACCCTAAACCCTATACAAACTTAAAGACTATAATAATCCCAAAATGAATATCTACATGTCTAGAGATAGAAAGACACAGCCCTATATAAACCCTATTAAACCCTATAAGCACTCAACCCTATAGAAACCCTATAAACCCCTATACTTATAAACCCCATTATATATTATATATTTAAACCCTATATACCTTAACTTCAATAGATTTCTATCTATAATATCTCCAACCATCGAAACCTGAGATCCTTTGCGAATTTTTTGTCATCGCATGGAAGATGCAATGGAAGATCCATGGTGCCCTGCTCGCTCCATGGAAGACCATGCATGGTGCCTTTAGGCCGCTGGTCCTGCATGCCAGGTCACACAACAAAGGCAAGCAGAACATGCTGCTATGCGATGGTCCTGCATGGTCTTGGGACTCCGTGGGCTCGTCCGTGGGCTCCTCCGTGGCCTCCTCCGTGGGCTCCTCCGTGGGCTGCTCCATGGGCTGCTGGTTCTGGGGCTCGTCGAGGTTCTCGGGCTCCTGCAGGGCATTCAGAAAATCCATGACTGCCCAGTCTGGCCAATTTGGAGACGGAAAGGCCTCGTTATCATGGTCGCTCTCGTGGTCCGTTTGGCCCTCGTCTTCTGCAGCCCACCAATCCTGGCCCTCCTGGTTCACCTGGCCCTGGTCCTCGTGGTCGTCCTGGTCGAAGTGGCCCTGGTCCTGCCGTGGCTCATAGATCCACAGCCCACCAAAAATGGACTCGAACCAAGAGTGGCCGCAGCGGATGCAGGATCTGGCCTGGTGGATGTGATGGAGTGACACCATGGCCGCCTGGCACCTGGTGCACTCCACCCAGATCCAGTGGGTGGGCTCTGGATAGTTGAAGTTGGGCCGCTGGTTGGTGAACCTCGCCGTGGCATGCTGTGCACCAGGGTTCTGGACAACAGCAGTGGGTGGGACGTACCACCCGCAGGCCATGGTGAGGGCCGTGACCTGGTTGGCTGGCACCAATGGCCTTGCAAGCACCAATGGTGCAACCGCTGGATTTGGCATGGGTGCCACCCATGGCCCAAGCACCGGACCTTGGCCGGAGGGGCCTTGGCTGGAGCTGCCGTGGGGACCGCTGCCTCCGTGGAGGCTGTGGAGGCTGCCGTGGGCATGGCTGCCTTGCTCTTGGGAGCGGCACCGGACATTATGGTGCAAAATGCAAAAGCAAAGCTGGCCGTGGATGGCAAAAGTGTGCTGGAGCACGAAAGGCTGCAGCACAGTGGCAGGATCAACAATTCGAAACTGTGTTTGTGACTAGACATACTTTGTGTCTACAGCTCTGCCAGTATACATACATAATTCTCTATATATCAAAATCTGTAGAAAATTTAGCTGTTTATATAAAGAAATACCTACATGTCTTTATATATATATATATAGCAAGACATATATAGAAACATGTAAAGTGCACCTACCGAAAAAGCGAGCCATGAAAGGCGAAACTATAGCAGGGACTCTGGAAACCTGGAGCCTTGGTCCTAGATAGGCTTGGAGGCTTTGTGGGATGACATCTAGGATACGGGCCTTCTGACCACATATATATATATATATATATATCTATATATATATATATATATTGACATCTAGAAACATGTCATGTGCTCCTAGCGAAATAGCGAGCCATCAAAGGCGAAACCCTGTATGCTTGGAGCCTTGGGCCGAGATAGGCTTGGAGGCTTAAGGGGTGAGATATAGGCTACGGGCCTTTTGACAAATAAAGGCTTGCAACTTCTCTTTTTCACTCCACCAAGCCATCATGGTCCAAGTGGTCAGTCATGCCATTGGAGCCGGCATCCATGGTCGACAAACGACCGAAGCCAGACTTGCCCGCATTGCACGCAAACCTTCCGCTGGTACAATTTGTGGCACCACACCCAGCTGCTGCAGCCTGGTTTGGAGCAATGGAGTGCCAAATGGCCCCCAATTGGCTCCTCGAAGTTTGGCTCGAAGCCTGGGCCAAACATGGCCTGCAGCTGGGCCTTGGTCATGCCCAAAGTGTCCTCCATGGGGTCCATGGCCTCTGGCTCCACCGTGGTCTTGCTGCCGGCTGGCAAAACTGGCTTCTCCGTGGTCTTGCTGGCGGCCGGCTTCTTCATGTTCTGCTTGGAGACCGTGGCCTTGGAGTCCTGCTGGGCCTTCATGGCTTGTGCCTGCAGGGTCGTTATGTGCCCTTTAGATATCTAAAGCAGGACCCAAATGGAGACCCTGCACCGGCCTTCGGGGCCATCTTGGAGGGCTGGTGGCTTGGGAGCGCTATGGGGCAGGCCAACACTTGGCAAGAATGGCTGCAGCATCCGCACACCATTCAAGAATCTCATGCAAGGTCTCGTTGACTGTCTCTATTCTCTCTCTGTCTCTCTCTCTCTCTCTCTCTCTCTCTCTCTCTCTCTCTCTCTCTCTCTCTCTCTCTCTCTCTCTCTCTCTCTCTCTCTCTCTCTCTCTCTCTCTCTCTCTCTCTCTCTCTCTCTGCTTCTGTCTATAAAAAAACATCATCTGCCATCTGGGCCACTGCAAAGCGAACCGGCCACATTGGCAAATTAAGAAAGAAATGGTGCAAGCCACATCGGCCGATATATATAAATATATACATACATATAAGATGCAAGCCACTCTGGCAGTACAGATAGGGATATGTACATAAATCTGTATGTGTATGTATAAGTATGAACATGTATGTATATATATATATATATATATATATATTACATACATGCATAGCCTGTATTTATGGACATATAGTGGCCACATTGGCACTCTGTAGCAAAACTTCAGAGATGCAACATTTACACAAACATATGTATACAGAGGTATATATCATATACATGTACATCTATAGAAATTTCTACACGATTGCAGAAAAAAATACATTCATAAAACAACTGCTTATATACATATATATATATATACACATGTGTATATGCCTGCAAGCACATGTTTTCACACCGTCCAGGCATGCTCATGGCTGGTGCAGAAGCTCTTTGATTATTCTGGTGAGATCAGCATTGGAGCCTTGGTCACCATGGGTGGCTTCATGCACAGCCACCAATTGAGCTCGAAGCCAGTTTTGGAAGGACGTGGATGCTGTGGATGGCTCCATGGACACTTGGAACTCCTCCATGGTCTCGTCTCGTGGGCATGGAGGAGAAAGGTCCGCACCCGGAGGCTGGCACCGAACCACATGGGCACCCACTTTGGGTTCAAGCGGAGAGGAGTGCCGGTTATGCCGGCGGTGCCGCTGGTCCTTTTGCCCGCAAAGTGGTCCTGCCTGGCCGAGCATCTGCTGGAATGGCTGCCACCTTGGCCGCACTTCCTGCAGCATTTGGTTTGGCCCAAGTTGGCAAACCGCTGGCAGCCTGGAGTTTCGCATGGCTCAGGGGCGGCTGCAGGTGCAAGCTCCATGATGGATTGCTGTGGACAGCCTCTGGCCTTGTCTGGCAAACAGCTGCTGTGCATGGACGAAGAAGAATTATACCAAACATCGCACAATTCATGCATGCTGTCCATTCATGGAAAAGCCACATGGCACATGCATGCAACAATGCACCCCTGCCCTTTCGGGAAACACCTTTGCGAACCTTTCTTCTCCTGCAAAACTCTGGCGGCTGGCTTCAAAACCCGCCATGGTCTTTGGGTCTTTAAAGTGGAGCCCGCTCCCTTGCACCTGCAAAAGCTCTTCACTTCTTGGCCCTCTTGGAAGGAGGCTCAGACTGCTCTTTGGCCTTGGCCTTGGCCTTGGCCTTGGCTTTGGCTTTAGGCTCGGCCTCTGATGGCTCTGGCTCGCCGTGGTCTGCTTCGGAAGCTTCGGCATGGGCCGCCAGGAACAAAAGCGGCTGGTGCTGTTCCAGCGGAGCAGGATTCTCCAAGCATGGGATGGTAATCCCAGACTCGACGACCGTGGAGTGAACCATGGTGACCTCGGAGGTCTCGCTCGTTCGAACTGCGCATTCTGGCGGAACGGCCCAATGGTCCAGCTGTGGCCGCCGTGCTGGATGAGGAGCTTCGTTTCCTTGGCGGTCGACTTGGCTTTGTTCACCGTGCCCAGTGGAACCAAACGAATGGTTTTGCGAATTGTCTTGATCGCAAACAACCCCTGCGGGTTCTGGCCGAAAGCGATGGTCTGGGCATCCACATGGTGCTTTTCCGCCGCTCTGTGGAGAGCCAGCTGGACCTCCGACCTGGCCCGCTCCTCCAACAGAAGCTTCGCCGTCATTCCTTCCCTGGCAAGATCCTGGGGGCACAACATCGGCATCATGGCCTTGGTGGCCTTCCACATTGGCAGCTTCTGCAATGGCACATGGACTTCTTCCTCATCTTGGAAGAGTGGCTTGTGAGTCATGGTGGCATGGTCGTCCGTGACATCCGTCAGCTTGAACACCTTGGCACCGTGGTCCTTGGTGGTGTACCTCAGCACTTGGCATCAAGGAATCTATCCACATCTGCATATTCCTTGCCTATATGCTTATGTATATTCTCTTACAAGGATATTCTGGCTATAGGCCAATTGCTAGCTTCCGCTCCAAGCAACAACTTGCCCAGTTCCATGTGGTTGTTTTGGAGCATGGCAATGGTCTTGTTGCTGGCCGCCAAGACATCCGTCACCTGCATGTTTGGAGTCATGCTGTGGTCCGCAATGGCATCGCCAGCCGAGCTGTCTTGGATCTCCTTGGTGTAGGCAGTCAAGATGGCTTGGAGAGATTGCCAGTGCTTGGTTTCCCGGCCTGCCCTTTGTTTGTTCGTGAGGAACAAACAAACTCTGACTGCAAATCGACCAAAGCATTTGGTTAAGTGGGACGCATGGTGGGTCTGCTCCACAAGAAGATCCTGTTGGACCTTCCAAGCCTCTTGGAGCATGTTTTCGGCTTGGGTAACTTGGTCGAGCATGCCTGGTGCCTTCAGTTTTTGGAGATCGTTGGTGGATAGGATGCGGCTGAACCCGTCTTGGGATTTTGGGCTGGTCAACATGGTAGCCCATGCCGCCACACGAAGCATGGGAAAGATGCACGTCGCTTGCTTGAAATCTAGCGACACCAGGGTGGACATCAGCTCGGTTCCCACCAGAAGTGTGGCATTAAACTGCTTCCCAAAATTGGCAAGGAAATGGAGGAGTGGAAACCCCTGGCTGCCGCCGCCGAAGTTCTGGACGAATTTGGCGATGGCGGGGACACTGGCACGGCATCTCACGTCGCCTTGGCTGGCCTGCTGGATGGCATCTGGAAGGCTCAAGCCCTTCTCAAATGCAGTGGCCACGTGGAGGGCAACCTCCAACTCGTTGATGGCTTTGGATATTGAGTTGGACGAGTTGGCAGCATGCTGAATAAAGTTGGGAAGTTGTGGCATGGCTTCTTCAATGGATGCTGCCAGCACGATCCAGCACCATCCTTGCTCGATCGCTCGCCATGCTGGGTCCGACTTCGCAATGGCGACGTGATAGCCCTCTGGTCCTTGGATGCCCGCCTGGAGGCATCGGAGAAAGGCAACACTGTGGCTCCCTGCAAGGGAGAGGAAGCCTGAGCGGCAGGGAACCAAACATCTACACAGGGCTTATATAATGGTCTATAAACACCAAACAATTTTCAAAACATTATAAGCATGCATGAGCCAGGTGCCTTCCTGGCCACTCACTGGTGCCAGATGGCCCTTGGCCTCAGAGACCAGTTGGCGGTTGGCTTGCACTTGGGCAAGTCTCTTGGTCTCGGCAGTGGCCATTTGGGTGCAGATGGTCTGGCCGTCGAGCAGCTTGGGTTGGAAGCCGACACTGGTCATCTGGCTGCCCTTGGACCAGACGTCGTAGTAGGACACCATGGACTTGCCTCGGTTTTCTGGGTGTACCAAGATCTGACTTGGAGTCAGAACTTGGTCGTGGGCAAGGCCATGTGTCCTTAGAAGTTGGACGATCTGGTCCACTTTCGTATTCACTGGAGCAGTCGAGGACATCATGGCTTCCACTTCTTGGACCACCTTCTCTGGCACACCAGCCATGGCAAGAAGCTTGGAGCTGGCCAAAAGTGGCAAAAGCAAAACTGGGCAGTCTGGGCCCAAACTCATGGTATAGAAACTTGACGTCTGGACAAAGCTTCCCTCTTACTCCATAATGCATGGCTTAGTCGCAGAGGCCCTTTTTTTTCAATCCCAAGCGGTGGGTCGCAGCTGCAGTGGTCGGAAGCCTATTACTGCTTCTTCTTGGCCTTCTTCTTGGGCTGCTGCATGTGGGCCTCCAATTCTTCAACTTTGGCACGAACGTGGTCGATGATGGCACCGATGGTGTTGCTCTCCAGTGGCACTGCCAGGTCTGCAGCCTTGGGCCGGCGGCGATCTTCTGGGAGCAGGCATGGAATAATGGTGTTCCCCACGTGGATGTTGATAGTTTCTGGGAGGTTTTGGATCTTGTGACGCCTGGGCTGCCTCTGGGGTTCCCCATCCTGGTCTTCGAAGAGTTGGTTGGCCTCGTCGCCCTGGTCCTCGTCGCCGTTGGCATAGCGATCCATGGCCTTGTTGCGACTTTCCTGCAACTTCTTGAAGGGCTCGTAGAAGGTCAAGCTGGCTCTGCTGGGATTTTTGGCCCCTGTGAGCAGCTGCACGATGGGCAAACTGGAGGCTCGCATCTGCAGAAACTTTTGGCCACTGGAGCTTTCGACAATCCAGTACTGGGGAATGGCGACGAATGGCTCGTTTTGGTATTTCACGACGACATGGCTGTCAATGGTGACCATGGCTTCTGCAGAGCGGGAAAACGGGCAGGCCAAATTGGATGGCTTGGGTTTGGAAACCTCACGAAAGTATCACAGAATTCTCACAACACTCATGTTGCATTCCTGTATCAATATCAACTTTCCAGCCACATGGCGATATACCACTTGCAAGCAAACATGGTTTCCGGCTTTCAAAAAAAAACTCGGTCTGTGGTTTTGGCATGGTTACGAAGCTCATGGCCAAACCTGGCAATTGGACTTGCAACAGAATCTCTCCAGGTTCGTTTCAAAAATCGTTACGAAAATTTGTGTGCATGCAGAAATATATCTATACAGAAAGCTTTTCCTGCTAGCCACAAAAGCATGTCCACTATACCAAAAACGGATTACAGCTCTATAAAAAAAACATGTCAACACATAGAAAAACATATACATAAAACCTTACCTAAAAAGTTAAAAAAATATAACTAGTTAGCGGACTTGACTTGACTTAGCTAAAAAACTGATTTTATTACTAACATGACATAACACATAACATCTTTTAACCATTATTATACAGACTTAACACATACTTAGTATAGACTTAGCATACACTTATAACCCTTTCGTAACACACTTATACTCCACCCTATCTTGCCTATATCATTATAACACAGCGAGGATTCCAAGTAAGAGACAGATAGATAGGAGACCGGAAGGGGACAATTTGACAATTACTCCCACACCTTACATTCGTCACACATTCAAACAAGGGCTTAGGATGCTTTGGGGGGTTCAATGGGCAGCTGTAAGTATGGTTATATGTACCTTCATCGGGCTTATGAGAGTTTATCAACCACACAACCCTAAACCCCAAACCCTAAACGTCGATACCCCAACTAGCTTCGAGCCTTCTAAAGTAAGTTCTAGATCTGACCGTGGTGCGCACATGGTGCAGGGTATAGGGTTAGAAAGTTTAGAATTTGGGCGACTTTAATGTTTTGAAATTAAGGTGAAGCCTGTCAACCCAATAGAACGCGATAAACCTTAAACGACCAAGTTTGGGGTTTAGGGTTTAGGGGTCAAGCACCCTAAATCCCACATTATACACCTGAAACCTCAAACTCCACACACCCGGCTGCCCCGCCCAAATTCGGCGACCTTCAGGGACCCGGGGAAGTGGGTCCTGGTTTCGTACCCCCCCTGAAGCTTAAATTCTGAAGCTGAAATTCGGCGCCTAAATTCGGTCGGTGCTGGCTGAAGCCGCAAATCGGCTGACGCTCGAATTCGGCGCCGATATTCGATCCGGTGGCTGCAGCCGAAAATGTGCCACTCGAAATCCCTGAAGCTTTAATTCGGTCGGCACGCAGCCTGACGCCGAAAATGTGCCTGACGCCGAAATTCGGCGCTCGAAATCCCTAAAGCTTAAATTCGGTCGGCCCGCAGCCTGACGCCGAAAATGTGCCTGACGCCGAAATTCGGCGCTCGAAATCCCTGAGGCTTAAATTCGGTCGGCCCGC